ATATAGTCCACTCATGAAAGTGATCTTAGATGCTAATCTCCACGTTGATGTAGGTATACCTTTATGTATTTAATTTCATTAAAAAAAATCCTTATTAAACTCTCATTAGTAAGATCTCTTTCATATAGCGCGCAAAAAAAACTAGAACAAATATGACTTTTCAGTTTGACAGTAAAGGCCGATTTCCATGCAATATTTTTTGCCAACCAAAGATTTTCCTAGTTTTTTTTGCTCGTCATGATGCCTACTATCACCGTGAAAACAAGCCTTCAAAACTAGGAAAAACGTTTTCATGAATTAAAAAAAATATATATACTATATAACTAAAAATATAATTTGGTTATGGGGGATTTTCTCTAACATTGCTTACTACTCACTTTTTACAAAACTTCTGGATTCTTCCCGAATCGGTTTTTGCTGAGTCGAACTTGCTCGGCAAAAACAGACGCAGGAGGAATCCAGAAGTTTTGTAAAAACTATTACAGTATCCTACAGAAGTTTCTTTGAAAAAAAATTGCTTACTTACTTAAATAAAAAATTAATTTAGTTTTCTATGCCTAAATTTAACAGCTCAAAAAACATGAAGAGAAAGTGGATTTTATTTTTGTTTTCAAAAACTAGGCAACAAGATACGAAAATAAGTCTAGAATCAAAAAGGATATATATATCCCGCCTGACCTTGCTAGCTCATTGAGCTAGCAAAATAATAAAAAACATGGTATGATGTTGGTAGACTAAACAACAATGGTTCATTCAGCTTAGAATTTATCAAATCTTATGTTATATATTATCATAAAGCTTTACTTACTTGTATTATTAGTTTTTCGGTATAATAATACCACAAAAAAATATCTGAAATGAAATCACTGAAAGCAGTAAGCACAGCACACAAAATACTCAAAATAGACGCTTTACATCGCCAACAAAAGGAAGTCTGAAAAGATGGCGGACGGCGAGACGGAGGAGAAGCCGACGAGACTCGAACGAGTCCGGCACTGCACGACCTCGAGTAGTTGCGTCATTGGTTGCAAATGAATAGTGTTGTGTGTTTTTTTAGGGCTTGATAACACTGACGTCGATGTAGATGAGCACAAAAACGTTTCCAATAAAATGTTTCCCAAAACACTACAAAGCATATTCCTTTTCAGTTGTTCAAAAATTTATTTAGAGGATATCTCTGATATATCGTGTACAGTAAATCCGCAAGCTATCCATTCAGAGGATATCCCTGGAATGTATTTTACATATATGCTAACGTAGAATATCCTCCACATGTCCCGGGACTTGCGACTTAAATGGGACATTGATCGGATATACTGAGGATATTGTGTGCTAGCTGGGTATTAGATCAGCAGTCAGGATAGATGAAGTACGGTGTAGTACCCCCGTTTTTTGTATGAGTGGAATAGGAAAAATATAGAGCAACATTGGGTGAAAAAGAATAGACTAAAAAGGGTTAATTTAACTCCCATCATTCATCAAAATAGTTTGGTTGATTTATGAAAAAATCTCTAATCACCGTTGCATATTAAATGCATATTCAATTAGGAGTATTGAAGCAGTACTTTTTAGAGAGCACTAAATTCTACCCTGTTGGAAGGCATCATCATCATCACCAACAAGATGTCAGTCTCAAGAAAGAAGGTGTTTACTCACGTGGATAAATTCAAGAATAAAAATTAAAAACCTCTCAGACATCATACATATATTTTTTAATTTTAATATTTAAATTACTGCGAAAATTTCTAAAACATTTTATATTTTAGTTTTTAAGGTATAGTTAGTTTTTAATAAGTGATATTGTTCCTAATTTTTATGGTAGCATAGGTGTGCCATGAAAAAGAAATTATGTAAGAATTTTTAAAGTTTATTGTTTTGTTTTACTTACTCTAACCGTTTTTCAGTTATGAAGCAAACATTTATTTTTGTTAAATGGAACACCGTATAAATTATTTTTTACATTAATTGGAAATCGTTTAAGCGTTTCAAAAATAAGTATTAGGATATGATGAAGAGTGAGACAGACTATACAGTTGCATTTCTTTCTATGATTATGTATAATAATTCAATTTATTTTTAATTTGTATAATTTTTTATTTTATTGTAACTTGTCATTAGATATAGTATTATGCTCTGTTCCTTAATGCGAGAAAGTTATAAATCACTATTGAACCCTAAAACTTAGAAGTATCGTGCCTATTATGATTGTCGACGGTCCCGAGAGTTGCAGGTGGTGAACAGGTAATTGACCTACCCGCTGCTTAATGTGTAAACCTAGAATTACAGTTGCTTTCCAACAGTTGCTGACAAAGTTCGTTCTTCAAAATGGCTAGTGATTCTAAATTTGTTGCTAAACTAGGAAAACTAATAATACTGTAAAAAAAGGTGGAATGTAGTTAGAGAGAAGGAAAGAAGGTAGAAAAATACAACAAAATGAAATATAAATTTTCCGAAATATTTGAAATAACAAATAGTACTAAGAGAATGTACAAAATGACAAAAGATTATCTAACAAAACTTAAAGAAAAGGAGAAGCTCTATTTTAGGTGGAAAGAAAATTGAGAATGCATACTGTGAAATTGCATATAAGACCAATTAAACAATTTAAGTAAAAAGCTTCAGAAACAGTACCCTCAAAAGAAGTTTGATGAAGAAAACAAATGATGATGATGATGATGAAACAAAAAAAAAGTGTGCAGGTGGAAAAACAAGCAAAGATAACAAAGAAATTGGTAAGCTAAGAATTGGAGAAACTTTGGCAATCAAAATGAAACAAGAACCAAAAATGAAGCTTATAGAAGATATTGAAGATGGCATAACTACGCTGATAGAAATAGAAAAGAAGATCTCACTAATGTTTTGCAAAATGGAGAAAAAAACAAAGAACTCAAAATCATACCAATGTTCAACGTTGAAAAAATTGAGTTGGATGGGCTTTGATGGGGTGGTGCAGTCAATTGGAGTAGTGGAAGAAAACACTGAACAACAGTAAATGGTAAAAGTGATGATAATCTAAAGTCAAGGTATTTTAAGTTTGCTGATGACGCAGCATTATTGAAGAGCATATTAATAAGAACTTTTTTACAATTTTATTTTGCAATAAAATGTGTCATAACCTTAAACACTATATAAGTAGAAACAGAACATAAATTTTAATTTAATTTAGCTATAGAATATAGAATGTTATCTATTTATTCCTGTAATTGTATGTTATTATTTTCTGAAGTGATGCAGTAAACAATAATAGTATATCTCAAGCAACGTATGTGACAAACGAAAACCGTAAATGCAAAAAATGTAGCTCTCGATGCGACCTACAAATATCCATATTATTCACGAATTTCGATTTACGGCTAATAATTTACTGGCCTCGATGTCTGTCAGTTAATGTTAATAATATTTGTTAATAATAATAGTGTGTGGTGTGCAGGTCTTAAAAACTGAAACACGGAATTATCTTATTATTTGAACTTTATGATACACCCTTGTCCACCCTTTTTAAGAAAGTTAAAAGAACGTGCCTTGCAAAAAATTAAAAAAAAAGGGATTTCTTAAAAATATTATAATTATAAATAAAGGGAATATTCTAATTATATTATATAAACAATTGCTGATATCTAACCTTAATTTGATTTCTATTCTGAATTTACTTAGAGGGATGTCACCGCTCTAATTTTCAGTGCCGTAACAACGTTTTACTGTCTACAAGATGGCGGTACATAATACAAAAAGTTAAACGTTAAAAGTTTTAACGCACAAAACGCAGGTCCGTATTTAAAAACCCGAAGGTACTTCGCACACACGTCACAGATAAAATTTAACCATGTTTTATTTGAATTTTAAAAATAATTTTGGAACGGCGCTTAGAAAATTTTCGCAAATTTTGAAATTGTCAAATTATTTCTAATCGTAGAACGCTCGTCGTAACTTTAACCGTAGCCGATATACCAATATTAGTATTAGTAATGTGATAGACGCGCTATTAAGTGCCTCGCCCTTTTATTATCGAATGAGAACACAACGTCATGCGTTATAAAGTGTCCACAAAATTCGACCGATGATATACTTAGAAACCGTATCGCTGACTCTACCGGCAACCGATACGGATTCATTTTTGGTATACATATGTTGAAATGATATGGGAAACTTTTTTATTATCAATTTTGCAGTTACCCGATATCGTTTATTAAACACTCGCTCCGCTCGTGTCAAATAAACTCGTGAGACAAATGCCGTTTACCGCACTATACTATTCTTCAATATAAACCGATGTAATTGGATATTTGAACGGAGTTTTTAATTCCAACCAATTTTTCTTAATGACATTCTGCGGTACTCTCAAATTTAATAAATTAAATTAAATTAATCAATTAATAATTTTTATTAATAGTTAATAATTAATCAAATCGATTTAATATAACCAATTACTTTTTTTTTTTGAAAAAAAACTTATTCTTCATCAGATATCAATTTCCTCCAGGAATGTACGAGTTCCTGGAGGAAATTGATATCTGATGAAGAATAAGTTTTTTTCCCAAATATTTTTAAAACTGACCGAGAAACCATTCTACATCTAAACTAGTTGCAAAAGCACTAGTAACATAAAAGAAACTAATGTTCTTATTAAGCATCACGTCTTTGATCCCTTTAACTACTCTGCCGTCATATGGAAAACGCAGAAAGGTCGATCTTTTTCGATTTTGATCAATATTTTTTTACTTTTTGAAAATCGCAGCTTTTACTTTTCTCTATAATTAGAACTAAGAGGTTGCGATATATTGCATAAGTAGGATGTACATATGTACAGGGTGAGTCAACGATAGAGGATCATTGGTTTCAAAATTTTAAAGTCAATGAGATGAGAACTTTACCGGTGACTCACCCTGTACATCAATATACATACATACATAACCTTTCATTCGACCTTTCATTATGACGGCAGTATATACTACAGGGTGTACCGGAAAATACGAAACTGACGACGAAAGGAAAACTCTTACTTGACCGTGTAGCCGCATCTTTTGTATGTTGGTGAGCGCGTGAGCACTGTGACCGGCCGTCTTTAAACAGTAACCTTTCTGCGTAAATAAGGGTGAATCACAGCCCTCGGAAGTTGGCGTTTGTGTGGCGGCTTCGAAAACTATCGACCCTCCGCTAGAAGACAATCCAGGGCTATCCGGTAAAGCTAGACCTGCCAACGGGCCTTGGTCCACTGCGTTGCTCATGGTTTGAATAGTAGAGTCTAAAATAAGAAAAAAACAAATTTCACACAAACACAGCAAACAAAGGAAAATATTTTGTATGACAATGAAGATGTTGGTCCCTTCATAGTCTATATACAATATAGGTAGATTTAGTACTCTTAAACTAACAAGAGAAATATTTAAATTGCAGCTCAAGGGCGTTAAAAAATCCAAAACAGCCTTCTAAAAAACCAATATATTTTAGAAAATGGTTTTGGAATATTTATTCCATTTAATTTCGCGACATGTAAAGGTATAGTTAGAAATGTAGATATTGACGAAGACATTGAAAAAAACTTCTCCAACATTTGCACATCTGTGGCAAAAATAATTCAAGTCACTGTCCTTGGAATTTTACTACCAAAAGAAATTTACACACAAGGAAGAACTGAAAGGGAAAAGTATTATAATTGCTCAGACAAACTTCACGAAGAGACCGACGATATTACCCATATTCCTACTCATTACAATTGTACCGCCTCTAAGAACTACCCTGAATACAAAAGACAACAAAACATCAAAAGACTCATGACATACAAGAACATAACTTTCTATGATGCAAACAAATTATGCCCCAAAACTTACACCAACAATGGCGAAAACTTTTCATACCAACCGAACGAATTCCCAGTTTTCAGGAACAGATATGTCTAGAATAATAACAACCGTACAAATAAAAACTACATAGCCCCTTCTCAAAGACGTTTGGCAGACTTTAACTACAAATACAAAAGAACCTATCAGCAGACTGTCTCCGACGAACCGAATAAAAGAAGATTAATCTATAAAAGCTACGATAAACAGGCTCATGATGAGACCTTCCTAACTCGACACCGGAAAAGAATAACCAAACAAATATTGACAAACGCCTGTACAAGAAGTGATCTGCAAAATAATCATACGGACTGGCACACAACCAGTCCATCGACCTCAATACTATGCGATGAAGACATTTTGACTAGAACCCTTATAGAACATTTTCTAAATACCTCAGAAAAAACCCAATACTTTTTAAAAAATCTTGATTTTAAACCACTTAAATCTGAACACTTATATGGATCTTGATACCCCAAATGAAGATTCGTAAAAAAAAATTCAATCGCAAATTGAAAATAATTCAGTTGAACTTAAGAAGTTTTAACTCAAATAGAACAGAATTAAATTTTAAAGACAGAGGCCACGTTACTTCCATCACAAAAATGAGAACAGGACACTGCCTCACTAAACAACACATACACAGATAGTCCTTATTGTGAGGGTGGAAATATTGAGGACTTTAACCATATAGTTTTTGAATGTCCTATAAACACGATCCGCAGTTTCGATACGTATAAATCGCTAATTAGATAGGGCACCGAGATCCCTCTCAGTATCTTTACAGTTTTGAGTAAACCTAATACAACAATTATAGAGATTTTAGTCTCATTTCTAAACTTTAACAAAATTAAGCTACGAAAAAAAAAACTAAATATATACATATGGAGAAAAAATAATAATAGGAAAATAATAATAAGAAAATGTAAACCTTCAACCTCCTCCTCCTTTCACACCTAATACTAATAAAAACCTTAATCAATGAGCAGCTGATCATCAATGAGAACGATATAAAAAGTTAAAACAAGGAAAAAAGAACCCAGAAGATAGAAAAAATAGGATTCCCCCTGGAGCTTCGCTCGACATTCTAAGGACTCCCCCGAATGCGCTGGCAGACTGCCTAGTAGAAAGCCATAGAAGGGAGAAGAAGAAGAAGATTTTTAGGTTATGTGGATTTTTTTGTATTGTGTTATAATTATAAAACTATGAAGTAGAAATATAAAAAAAATACGCTTAAAACTTTTTTTCAAAATGCGGGTGAGAGAATTGTCATTATAAATTTAAAAAAAAAATGAAAACGGACGTAAACATATTTTTAAAATGTTTTTTTCAAAATTTTGTTTCTTCGGTTTAATTAAGTTTGTTTTTTTCATTTCATCGTTTAAAAACTTACGATTAAAGGCGAAATGTAAAAAAAAGCAAAGAAAATATTTTTTTCATTTTGTTCAATATGGTAATCGTACTTTCGAAAAAGATACATTCTTACAATGCGTCTCAAACTCAGCAATCAATGGTGTTACATGTTATACGAGAGTGGGGCGAAAAGTTTCCGGCCTGACCAACACTTGAAAAATAACAATACGCATATGTGTTCTGTAATATTTAATTATTTTATATACATATTTTAACATCTACTTAGGAACATTTTATATAAATATTTAAAAACTACATTTAATGTTTCAAATAATCGGTCATTTTCATTTGAATTTTTTTAGTATGCCAATACGCATCTCGTACTTTGGCTTGTATTTTCACCATGAGGGGCATCTTCCCCATGATACATAAAAAAATTCTCTAGCAGCTTAACTGAATATTAAACTCTTGTTGAATGATTGGTGGTGGTCCCAGATCAAGTTCTTCAACTTCTTCTTGCTCTTGGTGCTCTTCCTCACCTTTTCTTGCTTGTTGTAATATGGCTTCGTCTGTCAAGTCTGCTGTTGTAGGCAAATCCTGATCTATCACCTCACTTGTAAACTGCTTTATCCACTCGCTTAGTGGCTGATCATCTTCCAAGTCCTGTTCGCATTCTGTCTCGGTAATAAGTACTGTATGACGATAGGAGTATTGAATTGTTTCTGCTGTCACCTCTTTCCAAGCTTTACTAATAAAGTTGACTGCATCTAGCATATTAGTGGAAAATTTGTCTTCGGACTCGATCATTTCCTTTAAAATGTTTTTCCTCTATCGACTCTTAAGACTTTTTACTACGCTCTGGTCCATCGGCTGTAATACACTTGTTGTTTTGGATGGAAGAAATTCAATATTCCGTAAATTTGGAATATGGGGATGTGTAGGGCAGTTATCTAGGAGAAGTAATATTTTCCTCCCCTTTAATTCTGCATCCCATTTCCGTATCTCCTCTTCAAAAATTAGCGATGTCATCCATGCAGACTTCTTTGCCTTGTAAGTGACCGGCAAATGCTTGATGTTCCTAAAACATCGAGGGTTAGTTGATTTTCCAATCACGAATAACTTTCTTTTTTCTCTCCCACTCAGATTGGCAGCTACTAACACTGTTATACGTTCTTTAGAAAGTTTCCACCAGCACACTTTTCGCTTCGAAATTTAAGTTTTATCTGGCGTCATTTTGTAAAAATTACCAGTTTCGTCAGCACTAAAACTATCGTAAGCAGGGTACTTTTCTGCTAGTTTTGGTCTCGTCTTCTCCAGCCAATCATTAGTGACGTTTTTGTCGACATCACTGTCGATAATTTATACTATGTCTCTGTTTGAAGTTCCCAACCATCCTTCCGAAGCCTTGAAATCGATAATGCCAAGCTGTTCAGCAAACTTTTCTGCTTTTAGTTTTACGATAGGTCCAGAGAGTGCTACATTTTTAAGACGTTGCTGTTGGAACCACGGCAACATTGCCCCATCCAAATCTTCAAATTTTGGCTTTCTTAGTTTTTTACTGGAACTGCCTCCCGCTTCACCCTAAATGATTTTTTCTTTGCACTTCCAAATCGTGGATACAGTCGACGGTGTAAGTCAGTATCGACGTCCCACATCACTTTTCTTTTCTCCCCGTTCGACCTCCCGAATTAAAGCAACTTTATCATCTAGAGATAAAATGTTTCACTTACTCTCCATGCTCGCCGTATTCACTAAGTCAAATTAGAACCGATTCAAACAATGGTGTGCTTTATACATACCGATAAAGGCATTAACATAATCGTTTATTACGAGAAAAACACTTTGGACGACCTGGTTCTCGGTAATTAGATTATTAGGGTAAGGAATTCTGAAAGGGTAAGGAATTCTGAAAAGGTAAGAGACTCAATTACAAGTCAACCTACATTCCTTACTTGGTTACCTCTTTTACCTTTACCTTTCTTTCGATATAGAAATTGAGAAATTCATTATACAGAGTGGATTAATACATAACTTTGTATGAAGACAAAATAGAACAACAAACTTTGTTTGTAATACAGAGTTTTACGTTATACAGAATTTCGCTATAGGGAGTTTTCAACAAAAAAGTTTAAGGTAATTAATTAATTAATAAAATGATTTATGTTTACAAAAACGAAAAAAGTCTTATTTTTGATTATTTTATTTTATTCTTCCAACATAAACAATGTTTACACTGGACATTGTCACATATAAAAAAACGTTCCAAATGTCAGTCAAGCTACTACTACTATTTTAATTACCAGAATGAACAGTATAATAATATAAAACCAAAATGCCAAAAAAAAAAGACACAGAAAAAAATTTTTTCGACTTAACCCCTGTAAATGGTATTTTCTAATAGAATGGAAATATTTTTAAAAGAAAAACTGATATGTGGTAACCGTCTTAACTTTTGAGATACAAGGTTGTCGATGTTTTTTCTATAATATCTACATTACCACTTGATGAAAATTCTTCGGAATATTCGTATACATGTTACAAACTTCAATAGGATTTATGATTGATTTATAATAAGTGATACCATGATATCTTGTTTTAGACGAAAGTATTTCAAATAGGAAGAATTTTAATTGACCACAAAAAGTAAAGTGCAAACAGTTTTCTCCAATGTCAAACTATGTCGTCGGGTTTTAACTCAAAATTCTTCAATCGTTTCTTTTTCGCAACAATCGACAATTATACACTTAACTTTTGCAAAAATCTAAAAATGAACAAAAATTCAGGGTTGAAATTTCAATGGCGACAATAGTAGCTTAGAATTGGGACAAGCTCTTGACGAATACTGAATAATCTCGATTTTAGTCAACACATAAATAGTTTTAATTTTAGTAGCCTCAGTGTATTTCGCACCTAAATTCACAACACTTTTATCTCATTCAACTAATCTTGTTTAATGGTTCGAGACAAAGGCCAAGGAATTTAAGAAGAATCTTTTATAACTGACATATTTTTAACTGTGGGAGTTAATTTACTCTTTATAGAGTAAAGTAAATAAAATACAATATCAGAGGGTAAAAGTAGATAGGAATTCCCAGGAGCGCGGCTCGTCAAGCTGAGGACTCCCCTAATGAGCTGGCAGACTGACTAGTTGCAAAGCCAAAATATTGACAAGAAGAAGAAGAAACTGTGAGAGTTTAAGGCGCGGCCGACATTAGATATATATAGAAACTTGCTGATAAACTTAGTCCGGCGCTAGATTAGCCTTATTCAAATGTACAATGTTTTATCGGATCATAAATAAAATAATTTATTTATAAAAAAAACGTTTCGCTTAAAAATCGAGACCAGGTAAGGGCACAACTTTACAATATTGCAAACTGCTCGTACAACAGGTCCTTTAGTTTGTAATAGTCCTCGGAAATGCAACCCTCCAAAACGATCTTCCCCTCGTCAGCTTTTCTGACCGCTATCGTCCCATTGCAGCACCACAAAACACCTCCGGAAAACTCGGAAGGAAGATTCGCTTTCGCCAGCGTCTGCTTAAACTCCGACAGCTTCAGTTCGTTGACGAACGCGGGTTCGTGGAGCTTGGTGTCCGGTAACGGTTCCAACGTTAATATCCTCGTTTCGTCGTCCTCCTCTTCCATGGGCTCGTTATCGGCATCCAATCGTTTCGCGTCCGCCTGGGTCTCTCTGAGCATTATTTGCGCACTCACGTAAGCCACTTCCGCGTCTTTGGCCTTCTTGAACTGCAGTTGCGACACGAGAGCGTCCGTCAGTCGCACTTGGTAAATGTGGGTCTCGCTGGTAGCGTCCACGACGTCCCCTTTCCGCGGGGCGAACGTCCTCGCGTTGATGTTTTCCTCGCAGTGATTCTTGATGATCTCGGTATCCTCGGGGGTGCCGTGCACCACGATCACGCGCCTCGGCCGCAGCTGGGACAGAATTTTCTTCAACGACTCCCCGTCCGACCTGCCCTCGAAATCGATATACTGAACCTGACAGTTCACTTGAATCGTCCTGGGAAGCATTATGCACTTCGATGGCACCTCGGTGATCTCCTCGATGTCTTCGTCGTCCTCCTGTTTGATCACGACGTTCTCTTTGTTGTCCTCTCCCTCCATCGCCACGTCCGCCAACTTGTAATCCTCGATTTTCACTATTTCCCCGTAATCGTCGCACTTTATCTTTTCCTCCCGGAACGGGTACATGGGATACTGTTTCTTGGTGACTTTGAAAAACCCGCCCGATATTTTACCCTCCTGCTTGATCACTATATCGTGCCGCCCTTTCGATATGACTGACATTTCTATATCGCTGTCCGAATCGGAATCGTCCTCCTCTTTCAGTTCCGTCTCGTGTTTGTGCCTCTGCTGGCGCTCGAATTCCTCCAGTTCCGCCCCCTCCAGCTTGACCCTTCGCTCCACTGTTATATCTATCGTCCTACCGCCTCCGTTTTCAATAAGATCCCTGGCCAAGGTGCCGGGGGACGTTCTCGTGGTGAGGATCACGCTATTGTTCGGATTGGAACACCACTGGAGAAACAACTCCCTAGAGAAGCCGCTTTCCATGTCGGGGGTGCTGGCCAAAACCACTTTCGGACTGGGCACTTTATTTAGCTCGTGCAGGCTATGGCAAATGTGCAGATGTTTGAATTGGAATGGGTTATTGCGGGCCCCCTCGAAGCTCCTCATCAGCTTATCGCTCATCCACTCTATTTGGGATTTTGCGAACTCCACCACATTATAGGCGACGTTGCTGAGCAACGCCAGCGAGTAAGCGAGCAGTCCCGATTCCTTGTTCCTCCACAGCTGATCCAGCATGTGGGCGAGCTCCAAAACACGCCCGGCCGTGTCCACCGCTATGAGAACGTTGCCACTATTCCTTAACGTCTGCAAAATGTTCGTCATCAACTTTTCGTCTCTGGTCCTGCGTCGGGCCTGCTGGTAAGTGGCATTGAACGCATCGACTATGAGCAAAGACGGTCTCTGGAGTTTTTCGAGTTCACAGCCATTCAGATGCCGTTCTTTTTTGTGATTAAACGAGTTCGCGTAGATAATATCTTCCTCGCCCGATTTCATTATTTTCCATATGGTGCCCCCGATCATGTGCCCCGCGGGCAAGGGCGTTATGGTCAAACCATAACCTTTACCCTTGAGCGGCACATTTTGGTTATATTTTAATTGTATGATTCTCTCAAAAGTGGCGTCAACATCGTCCAAGTTAAATAGTCCGAATTCCTTCATGTTGTACTGAGACTGGTACAAATCGTACATGAACATTTGACCCATCTTGTATATTGGAATTGTGGAATATATGGGGCAATTTAAATTCAACTTTCCTACCAAATAGGGCAACGACCCTAAATGCATGATGTCCGGATAGGATAGCAGAACCGCGTCGATCTGATGAACGTGTCTTCGAATTTCCTTTATGTATTCCATGTTAAACTTTTCATCCCATCCACAATCTAAAAGAATCTTTACGTCGTCTATTTGGAGCAGATACGAGGGAGGCGATTCATCCATCGCCCCCGATAGGGTTTGGAGTTTTATGATCGAAGTCATTCCGTCATACCATGAGAAAGCAGCAAAACCGAAATATCGCACGAGCCCAACAAAAAGGTAAACGCCACAGAATATTAAGGTTAGAACGCCAATGGAGTGGGGGGAGACGTAACGAGAAACAACTACGCGCCACAGCTGGAACTCGCTTTTCAACCTATTCTATGCCCTAAGGTTGCCGAACAAATAGTAAACTCAAAGACGTGTTTTTAATTTCTAGATTCACTAATGGCAATTTAAATAATGAAAATTAACCTACGTTCACCAGTTTTAGTGTTATTTCAGTATTACCGAATGATTTTACCACCTTTTTTTTTCTTACTTTGATTTAATTTTGAGTTGTTTTATTTATATAAAAAGCGACAGAGGGTAACGAGCCAACTGAAGCGATTTAATTTAATATCCTGCGCAATATGAGATTTATTCGTTACATATTAATGTGCAAAACCTACACCCAAATTCTTAGCAATTACATTGCTTTAAAACTTACCTTCTTTGATGTGATCTTGCTGTTCACAATAAAGACATGTCCTTAAAATACAGAAAAAGCCTTTTTAGAAGCGGCCAATTACTAATTAAACATATTAAATATACACCAATTCAGATTAACACAAGGGGAAAATTGGTGGAAAACTAATGACTAAAATCAAATCCAAAAAAAAATAAATTCACCCCGAACAATACTATCACAAAATATTATCACGCGTATTACATCAAAAATTAAGCACGACCCCTAACAACCGATCGTAATTTAAAAACAAGTCAATAACGCACGTTATAGACCCAATTCACATTCACATCACTCAAAAATTGCCGACCGAATACCACCCGAATGTGAGCCCGGTTGTGACAGAGAAAACCGAAATTCAAATCAGTTGCCAAATTTGCCCATGTGATACCACCAATATAGAATAAAATCCAGAGATTTCATTGCGTTGTTGTACCTCTTGGCAACGTCGTATATCGGAAAAGTAGACTCGGAAAAGCGGAACTACGGAAGCAGGAAACTTTCATCCATCGCAGAAACTAATATGAAGGAATCATACTAACCACAAGCTATTATTTTTGAATTTATTTTGTAAGTATTCCTTAGAACAAAGGAAACAACTCACCATCACCATTGTGGTGATTTTTGATGCAATGCTTCGCGCAAATTAATTAAATAAGTCAAAAAGCAAATGTGATAAAAAATGGAACGGTACATTAAACTTTTTATACCTACTCAGTTTTAAATACAATAATTGGCCAAGCAAGTTCAATATACTGGGTTAAGTTCAAATCGTCTTTGTGGAATACTTACAATGAAAACGCTTTGTTTCTCATTGTGTTATTTATTTCTTTGCTTGGAAGGCCTTGAGACGGACGAAATTAAAAATAAATTTGTTTAAAGTGTGCCAGAATTGTGTCCGGTTTCAAAGAAATAAAATATATTTACGGTGTTTTAGTTTTAATTTTATTCATCCATAGCTTTTTAGATGGCGAAAAAAATATGAATATTTCAACTGTTTTTCAAAATTTTTTGAAATCAGTTATCAGCGGCATCTATTAAGCAAATGTGACATTAAAAAATTCTTTTTAAATACATTAAAAAAATATATTTTAAAATAAACAAAATTATGATAATTGCGTTTTATATTTTTTAACGAAAATCATTGCGTACTCAAATCTCAGCGATTTATTTTGAAAAAAAGTTCTGAGTAATCTAATTTCGACGACCTTCATATGACATTGGTTACATTTATTGGGGTTGTCAAGCGGTGGTTTTTTTCTGAAATTGTTGTAACATCTAACTTGAACATGTCTTTAAATAAACTTTCAATCGATGCTCTTGACTTAACGAACAAGCGAGTGTTTATAAGGTGAGAATAATGATAGACAAAATGTTTGGTGGTATCGTTTTATAACCTCAACTTTAGGGTGGATTTCAACGTACCTTTAAAGGAAGGGAAAATCACGAATAACCAACGCATTGTCGCGGCTTTGGATAGCATTAAATACGCCTTAGATAAAAATGCCAAAAGTGTGGTATTGTCTTCACATTTGGGACGTCCTGACGGAAACCCAAACCCCAAATATACCCTTAAACCAGTCGCTGATGAACTTCAAAAGCTTCTAAACAGGTAAACCCGTGTTGTGTGTACCTTTTAATACATTTTAAGCAATCCTTGTTTTAGAGACATAATATTTTTGCCAGATTGTGTGGGTCCTGAGGTGGAAAAAGCCTGCCTCGATCCCAAGCAAGGTTCCATAATTCTGCTCGAAAACTTAAGATTCCATGTTGAGGAGGAAGGTCAGCTACATATGACAAATTTGTCATTTCCACATTGTATTTTCCGTGCTATTTTAGGAAAAGGAGTCGACGCTTCTGGAAACAAAGTCAAAGCGGATCCAGCGAAAGTCAAGGAGTTCCGCGAAAGTTTGCGGAAATTGGCCGACCTTTATGTAAACGACGCGTTCGGCACCGCCCATCGGGCGCATTCCTCCATGCTCGGAGAGGGGTACGATCAACGTGCCTCCGGCTTTTTGCTCAAAAAGGAGCTGCAGTACTTCGCTAAGGCTTTGGACAATCCGGAAAGGTAAGGCGACTGTTTGTTGTGTTAACGAATCTAATTGCTGGAAATGCTAGACCGTTCTTGGCGATCTTGGGGGGTGCCAAAGTGGCAGACAAGATTCAGCTAATCGATAACCTATTGGACAAGGTTAACGAGATGATCATCGGCGGAGGCATGGCTTACACCTTCCTGAAGGAACTGAATGGCATGAAGGTGAGCTATTTGTGTTTGAAAAAACAATATCATAATAAAAAAGATACATGTTTATTTTGATATTACAAGATTACAAGCTCTTCCTTTTTTTAGAAGCTTCGACTATCGAAAGTAGGCTGTCTCCCTGGCTCTTAGCGTTTTCTGTGTTTTTTCTCTTACTTCAAAGCTATATATTGTAATGCTTTTAACGGTTGAATTTTAAATTCTTGTTTTGTTATTTACATTTATATTTTTGTCCCATAGAAATTGTTCTTCTTCCTTCAACTCCGCTATTGCTTCATCCCTTCTTTGTCGATTTTCATTCCCAGATATTTGTATCCACTGCAGTGTTTAATGGTGTGCCGGGTGGTCGAAATTTGAGTAGACTCTATGGCTTTTGCAGCTTAGGTGGACCAAAACTAATATGCAAGTTACGGACTTGATTTTCAAGACAAGTCGAAAACTAAAAACCACATCATGAATGTCAAAGCGTTTCTGAACTACAGGGTGATTCTTAAAAATGTGCGTTTCTATAAACTTTTATTTGTAAAGATTAAAAAAAAATTTTTGAAGATTTTTTTAAGGGCAAATCTACCTGTTTCACCGATTTTGTCTTAAAGCCTTTAGTTTACAAGATATAACACAAAGTTACATTTTTTTAAATGGAATACCCCAATTAAAAAAAAAGTTTTTAAAATAAAATTTCCTGTCAAACGTAGTTAAAAAGATATCTGCAATTTTTAATAATTACCATAGTAGGCTGTGTTTAACTCTGACCTATGCAGTTTTACGGTATCTATCTAGGTAGCTATGATCAGATAAACAATTGCCATGATACACAAGCCCAAGTGTCAAAAGTGGCGCCTTCGTCAAGCTATAAAAATGTGAAAACTTTGAAATGTACGACATGTAACATGTTATATTGAAAGTAATGAAAATCGACAGACGGCGTTAAATCTATATTTCCAGAGATATCAGGAAAGAAGGCAACCGCTCAAAAATATTTTTAAAGTTAAAACGTCATCTACAAGAATACGGATTGTTTACAAAACTGCGGCCTATTTTATCCGTTTTGTGTGTGTATGTTTTGTGTAAAAAGTTATAGAGGGCCTTTAAAATCACACATTTTTAAGAATCACCCTGTAGTTCAAAAATGCCTTGACATATGATGAGGTTTTCAGTTTTTGACTTCTCGCGAAAATCGAACCCGTAATATGCATATAAGTTTTGGGCTAACAATGCTGCTTAAAGCCATAGAGGCCCTAGAGTTTGGATCACCCGATACATGTCGATATTGACTTCCAAACCCCACTTGTCGTATTCCTCCATCAGCTTGCCGGCCATGTATTCAATCGTATTTCGCTTCCAAATCTTTAGTGCATTCTCCAAATAATTTTCTTTTAACTCTCGATACTTCCAGGTCGTGGGGCTCTGCCATTTCTAAGTCTTTGACATGTTTTCTTGACCTCTGTTACTGCTATCCTTGTACGACTATATTTAAGTCTACGTTTGAGTGATCTTTAAATTGTGGCCTATCTTCAGTCAGCATCATTTCAAAGTATTGGTGATATTGATATTGATGAGAATACGTTTCTTCTTAGTTCTGTTCTCATGTTTCTAAGAAGTCTCCAACTTTCCGTACTTTTCCTTCCTCCTATATATGTATTGAGTTTTGCGCATGTCCTTTCCCATTTATTATCCTTCTTTCCTCATATCTTTCTTTGCAGTTTGGCTTGTGAATCTTTGAATCTCGATTTGTCATCTACATTTTTTGAGCTTAAATACTTGTGGTATTTTTTTCGTTTTTCTTCTATTACGTATTCGATCTCGTCATCAGACCAAAAAGGTTTTTGTTGTTTCCCGTTTTTCTTTATATAGCCTAGCGCCTCCTCTGCCGCGGAGTGTATATAGAAAATATCATACCCAAACATCCTCTGAGTAAAGGATGATGTTGTTGCTTGTTTCACTGAAATCAAAAGACAATTGCAATCCATTTTGAATCATATCATACATATCCCTATAAAATTTACCATCGAGTCGAAAGTAGATAACTCTCTAAACTTTCTGAACTGAACTGTAACTAAACTACAGAACAAACAAAATTTTTCCATTTACCATAAAGCTTCACACACGGTCACAATAATACATAAGAACTCAAATCACCCTTACACACACAAAATGGACGCCTTTTATGCTTTTATCCACAGACTACTTAATACACCACTTTCTAGAGAAAATTTTGAAAAATAATTAAATATTATAAAACAAATGGCTTTTAACAATGCTTACGACCCCACTTTGATAGGTAACTCAAAAATCCTGCAAGTTGAAATGTGGATCATGTCCCAAAATTTATAAAGGACAAACCAGTAGAAAATTTAAGAAACTCATTAACAAACATAAAAGCGCGCATAAAAATAAAAGTTGGGATTCTAACTATGCCATTCATTTAAATTCGGAAATGCACAACTTCGAAGATAATTTTGATATTATACATAATCAATCAAAAAGCAAAAAACTAAGTTTGTTGAAGGTATGGAGATTAACAAAATGAGATATTCGAATTTATTACTTAATGTCCAATTGGATTTAAATGTGTCTCCCTTGTTAAATTTAAATTTATAACCCTATACCCGCTATACCGGTAATTAAAATTCTATTACTACCTGGAATATTGTTATATTTTGTATTTGATGAAGGCAGGGTGTTGCGGAAACAGCTGTCACAAATCATTAAATACTTGTGAAATTCTGAACATTTTTTTGTTCTAATTCAATTATGTTAAATGGATTGTCATTAAGTAAAAGCCACCTCACTCCAATGTACGAGGTTAGTCTCAAAATTTCCCGGTCTGCAGATGCAGCTCCAGTATCACTATGAAACTTATATATATATATATATATATATATATATATATAATATATATATATATATATATATATATATCTTAGTAGGCTGGGAAAAAAAAATTAGTCTTGCGTCAAATAGTTTTTTATTGACAGCATTTTAAACAAGACGTGTCCGAAAAAATGTTGCAAATAACGCAAATTAAGTATAGAGCAGTTATAAAGTTTTTGACAAAAGAAGAGTTAGCACCTACAATTATTAAAGAAAGGCTGGATGATGTGTACGGCCAAAGTTCTCCTTCGTATTCTGTTGTGAAAGAATTGGCAAAACGTTTACGAATGGGGCAGGAGTCCCTTGAAGATGATTCAAGAACTGGTCGACCAGTGGAGGTCATAACGGAAGATATTGTTGCGATTGTGGAAGGGGTGGTATTGAGTGATCGACGTTTAAAGGTCAAGGAAATCTCAGAAATTACTAAGCTTTCTGATTCAAATGTTCGTCGAATCCTGTATGAACATTTAGGTATGCATTAGGTTAGCGCAAGATGGGTTCCTAAAAACCTTTCGGCTATTCAAAAACAACGCCGTGTGGACTGTGCGCGGTCTTTTTTGGAAATCTGTGGGTCAGAACCGAAGGCTGTGACAGAAACCATTGTGACAATAGATGAAACTATGGTTCTCTATTATGAGATTCTATCGAAAAAAGAATCAACGGAGTGGCATCGTAAGGGTCGGGAGGGATAGTGGTGCACCTCCAAGAAAATTCATAGTCTGTCAGTCAACAAAAAAGGTGATGGCCACGATCTTTTGGAATTGTGAAGGTATTCTTTTGATAAATTTTAAAGAAAATAATACCGCTCTCAATGGTAAATATTACTCAACATTATTACATAAATTGCGAGACTGCAAACATGTAGGACGTCGAGGAAAACTGACCAGAGGCGTGCGTCTTTTGCACGATAATGCATCTGGTGTTGCACAAGCTGCCATTTTAAAGTGTTTTAGAGAGACTTTTATTTGTTTGGATATTTGAAAAATCACTTACGTGGACGGCAGTTTAACGACGAAGTTTAGTTAAAAGAGGCTGTTTTAGCTCATTTTGCAGACAAACCAAAAGAATATTTTTTTAAAGGGATTGAGTTGTTAATAAAGAGATGTAATAAGTGTATTGAGGTTAAGGGGGATTGTATTGAAAAATAATAAAAAAATGTTACTCTACTTTGTTTCTTTCATATTCAGGTCTGAAAATTTTGGCGCTGCCCTCGTATACATATCCTTATATATTTGTACTCTTCTATATTGGTGAATTCTATTTTCTATATCTTCTGGTCCAGTCGGGTGTTATATAATATTCTTGTACTTTCATTCTCCGAGCTGTTTGTATTACATCTTTCATCCTTTATTGGTTCTTCTCCTCATTCAATGCTGTCGAGTTTTTCTGTCGGGTTTGCCGTTGCTATTATTTTTCATGTTCACTTGCGTCTCTTTGTACTCTCATATCTAGATTTTTGTCTTATTGTTGTGTTTGAAGTGGCCCTTTAGTATCTTTAACTAATTTTGTTCACATATATGTTATTATGTGTTTGGAAAAACAATACTATAATATAAAAAAAAGATACATGTTTATTGAGATATTACAAGATTAGTAAACACACTTGTACTCTAAATTTAGTGCCGTAAACATCAGCAGGTACACGAAAGCGTAAACACCCTTTAGTAACGTTTCCTTTTGTCCTTTATGCTTTTCGCCATCTGATTTAAGGATGGTTTTTTTCGTTTGTACTATATCGGTCATACTTTTCCTCCTCGACATTCTGATTTGTTGTCTCTCTTGTACCGCGCGCTTGAGCAACTCGGGATCGATGAAATCGTTCAAGTGTCTAATCGGTCTTTGAAGTACGGTTTCCTTTAAGAATGTTTCCTCTTTTTGTTTGAGCCTTTCCAAGCTGTTCCGTTTTTTGGAAGCGTCGTCTTGACTCAAGGTGCGTTTGACTTCCTGCATCGCTCGTTTTCCGTAATTTCCTTCAATTATCTGCAATAAATTATTTAAAATTTTCCACTTCACGAAAAAAAGAACTCTTACGGTTGGATGGGATATCTCGACGAGATTTTTGTCTTCTATCTTTATAATCTCCTTTGATGCGTTACTATTTGTATCAGATTTTTCTTCTTCCTTGCAACATTCCGAGAACTGACATTCTGCCTTTTGCAGATCAGTTGACATGTGCTGCAAGATAAAACGTCTATAAAATTTGGTAAAACCATTATTGTGATAATACAAAGGGTCCTATTGTTTTCTCAATCTCACGCAGCTGATTGATCTGGTCGATTAATATCGACGTGTCATCAGCTTCAGAGGAACAAATTTCCTCGCTCAGTTTTCTCTTGGTACTATCTATAAGCCCTAATTTCATATGTCGTTTACGTGGTTTGAAAAGAATTACCTGTTACAAGTCTTGTGTTGTGAAGGGGACAGGGGGTTGCTTGAGTCGCTTTTTCTTGTTTGCTAGCTTTTACAGCAAAGTGTTGGTTCGATTTTTTGAACTTTACCGCGTTAGCCGGCCTTCCGGAACCGCTCGGTTTTCTTTGAACCATTCTCTGAGCAGGGGGTTGATGTTTGTTGGTAGCAGCATTAATTATCGGTAGGGATTCGCTAGGGCGTGGTATTTGGGATAGAGTGGGGGTAGGAATGTAGTGGGAGCTGTGTTGGATGTCTAGTATGTGGAAAGTGTTGGGAATGTGGACTTGTCGGGGGAACTGGTAATGTCTAAAACAAAAATCGTTACTTTATCAAGTAAAAGGTCGAAAAAAGAAAGAATTTCAGTATTGTGACTTACCAGAATATTCAGATGCGATTATTTTCGGCTGTTTAACCTAAAAATAGTGTCCGTTATTCGAAATCTGAATACTCCAGAAAGCCAAATAACTTGGATAAAGATTCTTTTACCTCGCGGTGTAAACTTCAAGGGGCTGATCTTCCCTTAGGTCGCTTAAGGTGTCTAAGAAACGAATGATGTTATAATAGGAAGGACTCCTGTCCGTGGACTCGTTGTTTTCTTTGCGTTTCCCTAAGTCTTTTAAAGCGTGCATGAACGGCGTAAGGAACATGTCACTCTTTACGTCCATTTCGCACGGTTCGTCCTTAAAAGTGGACACCTTGGGCAGTTCTTCATGTTTCACCTAAAAAAGAAAATCGCTACGCTTGGAACCAAAACAATAATAATATTCTTTTTTTATTCTGCAATTTAAGAATCAAATTCAAAAGCGTGAGTGCGATCATTTAAAAGTGTTAACATTTGTCAGTGGTCTAATTTCATTATGTCTGGAAATTCTCAATTTATCTTTATGCCATTGTCCATATCCATTGTTCTCAGTGAATAAATGTTTTTTTTTTTCACTAATGATATAAAATATTCCGTTATGAATGATCCCAAATAGCTTATAGTTGATGTAAAAACTGCTTAGTCTTGAATGACGACAAGAAACGCGACGTTTTATGTGACAAACATTTTATATGATCCGTCATTGTATTTTTTTTACTATCAAGTACAAACCAGCGAGGACTCCATAATTACGAGTCTTAGAAAAGACCATCCATGGCGTGTTTTGTGGTATTTAATTTTTAATTTCTCGGCAAACACCAGTTGTTGAGCTGTTCACATACATCACAAATAGGATGGGTCCCAGAATGGAGCTCTGTGGTACCCCCTACCTTATATCAAACATTATTGGATACGCGGTAGCGTCATCTTGACACACACATACAAATGGATTTCTACTTGAAAAATGTGATTCAGTAAAATCCACCGCAGCTCCTCTAATACCATATTACTGCAGTGTGGGCTGCAGGTGTCTTTAAACAAATCGAAATATAGACCAGCAATTTTGAGATTCTCATGACGGGTTTCAATTATATAAGTGATGACAACAAATATTGCCAACACAATATATTTGCTGGGTATAAACAAAATTGATGTTTATTTTAATATATTAAATCTAATCACTTTTTCAAAGAATTTGGACGATTAGGACAAAACACACAGTGGTCTATAATTTCCAATATCTTGCCTGTCCTCCTTTTTGAATATGGTTGCAACTTTATTGTTTTTAAGTACCTCTGAAGAAGCCTGGCTAGAAAAACCATTCAATGATGACATCAGACTAAGGATCTACTAAATATTGTGCACCAAATTTAAGTGCATATTCAGGGGTTTTGTCAAATCCATACGAGTACTTATTAGAAAGTGACATTGTTCTAAATATTTCAAAGGAATTGGGTTGAGAAGCAAGATTTTGTTACTAGAGTTAACTATTTCAAGAATCTTTTGTAAACTTTCAGATTGTATTCACAGCCAGTTAGCTTTAACCACACATTAAGACCTTTAAAGGACTTTGGCGTTTGAACCAGTTATATCTTTTTACCTCTTCTTCAAATTCTTCCAGTTGACTGTAGACATTCTCCACCCTAGAAATGATCTTGTTGACTTCGTCGTACAGCCGAGGTTTTTCCGCCTGCCTTGCGGACTGCTCAGTTCGTTCTTCCAACGAGCATTCTAGGCCTTCCAGGCTTTGTTCGTTCGATGATGCGTTCGAAATTTTTTCTGCTTTGGAAATTGTCATCGTCGTTGAAGACTTGCTCGAAACATTTGCTTCCGTCTCACTACTAACGGTTCTGTTTTCTAAAAGGGCTGTTTACATTTAGTTATTATATTTATAAACGAGATTATTACTAAACAAAAATAGCCAAACCCAATACTCCAAGACTACCGTAAAAAAAAACAACAATTATATATTGCTCCTTCTGTGTTGTTAGATGAATTCACCCTTTTATTTTTCCTGTAAAACTTATATAATTCCATTATAATTCCCAGTGAAGTAAAAATTGATCAGTGAAGTACGCAGTCGTCCAAAATAAACTTTTTATCGTCGGCGAAGAACAAAAATTTAGAGTTTAAAATAAATACGAACTAAAAGTTAAGATTTTCGCGAAATTATATATATTTACATGACAATTTTTTCGACAACAGCGTGTCTTTATCAAATGTAATATTTACAAACTACCTGCTACCATATATACCAAAAAATGACAATAAACCATAATTAATGTTGTGAGAATTTAAGTTCAATAAAGGAAAGGTATTTAAATCTAATTGATCGTTAAGCAATACATTTGAATGTTTCATTTTGTTAATCTCCGTGGCTTCCAATAAATTTAATTTTCTACTTTTTGTGGTTGTATGTAAAATATCAAAATTGTCGTCAAAAATGTGTTTTTCTGTGTTTAAGTGTGTAGCATAAGTAGAATCTAGATTGTTGTTTTTAAACGCTCTTTTATGTTCGTTAATGCGTTTCTTGAAGGATCTACCTGTTTGTCCAATATAAATTTTAGGACAAGATCCGCATTTCAACCTGTAGACACCTGATTTTTGAGGTTTTGGACATTTCGTTTTATTGTTTTTTTTAAGAAAAATCCTATTGTGTCGTTAGTTCTGAAAGTCATTTTTCAACCACATTTTGACAAATGTTTTGAAACTTTTTCACTAGATTCTCCTATATATGTAATTGTTTTAAATTGTTCGTGTTCCGTATTAGGTTTCGGATAAATAGAGTTTAATGTTGTCTGAATTTGTTTTTATTTATAATTTTATCGATAATGGACGGATTGTAGCCGTTGTTCAGTGCAATTAGTTTAATGATATTAAGCTCTTGCGGAATACGTTTGATTTGAATGATTTAAGATTTACGATGGCAGCGCCAAAATTTCCCGACCTGAATATGAAAAAAACAAAGTAGAGTAACAATTTGTTATTATTTTTCAATATAATCCCCCTTAACTTCAATACACTTATTACATCTCTTTATTAACAACTCAACCCCTTTAAAAAAATATTATTTTGATTTGTCTGCAAAATGAGCTAAAACAGCCTCTTTTAACTCAACTTCGTCGTTAAACCGCCTCCCACGTAAGTCCTTTTTCAAATATTCAAACAAATAATAGGCGCTGGGGGCCATTTCTGGACTATAGGGAGGATGATCTATCTGTTAGACAGGTGTATTATCGTGCAAAAGACGCACGCCTCTGGTCAGTTTTCCTCGACGTTTTACACGTATGCAGTCTCGCAATTTATGTAATAATGTTGCGTAATATTTACCATTGACAGTGGTATTAGTTTCTTTAAAAATCTATCAAAATAATTCTTTCACAATCTCAAAAGATCGTGGCCATCACCTTTTTTGTTGACTGGCAGACTCTGAATTTTCTTGGAGGGGCTTCACCCTTACGATACCACTCTATTGATATTTTTTTTGGATAGTGGGTCATAATAGAGAACCATAGTTTCATCTCCCGTCACAATAGGTTCTATCACAGGCTTCGGTTCCGACCCACAGAGTTCCAAAAAACACCGCGCACACTCGACACGGCGTTGTTTTTGAATAGCCGAAAGGTTTTTAGGAACCCATCTTGCACTAACCTTATGCATACCTAAATGATCATGCAGGATTCGACGAACACTTGTATCAGAAAGCTTAGTAATATCTGAGATTTCCTTGACCTTTAAAAGTCGATCACTCAATACCACCTCTTCCACAATCGCAACAATATCTTCTGTTATGACCTCCACTGGTCGACCAGTTCTTGAATCATCTTGAAGGGACTCCTGCTCCATTGGAAAACATTTTACCCATTCTTTTACTACAGAATACGAAGGAGAATTTTGACCGTACAGACTATCCAGCCTTTCTTTAATAAATTTAGGTGCTAACGCTTCTTTTTTCAAAAACTTTATGACTGCTCTATACTCAATTTGCGTTATGTGTGACATTTTTTCGGACACGTCTTGTTTAAAATGCTGTCAATAAAACGCAAGACTTCAATTTTTTTTCGCTGCCTTCTAAGATATATATTTAAAAGAAGACAAAGTTTTATCGTGATACTGGAGCTGCATCTATGTCAGGCCAGGAAATTTTGGCGCTAACCTTGTAAATGCATGACTGAGACAGGCCACGGAAAAGAAATCGGAGTATTGTTATAATTATTCTATAGTACTGAGTTGCGACATCGATTGGTAGATTTGCTTATGTGTTGAATTGAATATTGAATGAAATATCTATTTCCACACAGGTATTTTATTTAAACAAATTAATGTATTACTGGTACAACCCAATACGTACACCTATTTTGATAAAATCATGATTCAATAAAAAGCAGAATACAGCTAAATATACTAACTAGAACAGAAAACATAACATATAGACACAACAACAATTCAAATTCAAATGAATCTAAATCGCAATAACAAAGTTTTGTTTCACGGATAAAACCAGTGGTGCATTCACGCACTAGTAAATATTTTCAAGAAATAAAGCATAATCAATTTAGTATTTCCAACGTATGTTTTCTGCGATGTAATCTACATACTATCGACTTAGCAAAAATGGCAATGCAAATCCAAAATATATTTTTTTTACTGTTTTGGATTTACTTGAAAATGTGATACAAATTTATGTATTGCTTTTGTTAACTTTTGTAGTCATATATAAGATCTTTCCTTTACACATAAATTAGGGATTTCTACGGTTTTATGTCCTTTAGTAGTAAATATTTAGTAGTAAATATTTCCTAGATGTGACACAGAAATCATAGAATAGGTGGTGCATTAACGCACCACTCGGACAAAATGGGTTAAGATGATTGAACATGGCATCACTTAAAGTTCCACCCAAATTAAGTATTGTTGTGTCATTTGCATATAAAGAAACTGTATGTGATTCTCTATTCATTGTAGTTAATGCTGTTGGCGCAAAATGGTGGTCTGAGAATGTAGATATTTTAATGACTCGTCAGTTTCTCTGATATTTTGTCACGACTTGACATTGATGCATATGCGCTGATTTACAATATGTGCAATATTTAAAAACCAACGGGTGCAACAATTAGGTGGGCACAATAACATGGATAATAACAATTATTATGTATGAGATTTTGAAAAAAAAAAGAATATTTTGAGACTATTGCTAATTGTAGACTACATTTGCGCGGTCACAGTGCTAAAAAACTATCTGTAATACGCATTTTTTTTCATTATCTGGTGGCCAATTTTGAAACTCACGTCGTAATGAGGCGGAGTTCCATGTAGCTGATACCACGTCGTTCTACTGTTTGGTATATGACATGTGGTCTACAGCTATTTACTAAATTATTTAAGAAATTTTTAATATTTACGAATCAAAAACTTAATTTTGATCGCAGCATCCAAAAATGCCATAATGTAACGGCGGTTCCAATTAAAAAAAAAATCAACAATTTTGGGTAGATGCCTCACAGCAAGCATCTATCAATGCCTTACATCTTTCTTTAAGACTTGAAAAAATTGTATAGTCAGTCACAGAATGAGTATTTCTAATATTTCTATAATTCTTATATTTGATTGAGTTGACTGTTACTTGATGATAATTCATTACATACGTAATTTAATAAAAACAAACACTTGCTTTAAGATTACCACACACATGTTTATTGCTTTGACAATTGTTTCGGTATATTGTACCTTCTTCAGAAAGAATCTCTAAACTAACTATCACAAGTTTGCTACTAAACGATCAAGCCAACTTAAATAATTCTCCCCTCTTAAACCCTTAGATAAAGATTCTACCTACTGTATGGATAGTCTGTAATCAACCCTGTGATAGTTATTTTAGAGATTCTTTCTGAAGAAGGTACAGTGTACCGAAACAATTGTCAAAGCAATAAACATGCGTGTGGTAATATTAAAGCAAGTGTTTGTTTTTATTAAATTACGTATAATTCTTATATCCCTACGATTTATTGGTATTTTATAGATGACTTAAAACTCACCCGCGGCAATATCTTCTTTCGTTTCTTGTTGTATTCTCTCGTTCGCATCGTTTCCGACAATTTTCGTTTTGTCCGACGTTACAGTCCATTCGCAATCGCCACGATTCAGTATCGTGGCGATCGATTGCGATTTGTTTTCCGTATCGAACGTTTTGGCTTGGTCTCCAGCAGAAGTCAAATTTGCACGACTAATGTCCGCCGATTTGGATCGATCGCCGATTTCTTTTGACCGCGAATTATTGGTCGTCGGTAAATTTTTATTTGCACTTGGAGTTTTGCTTTTCGGTGTTTGTTTTCGGTAGCGTTGCTTCACTGTGTACGTTTCTTCCGTTGACGTCGATGTAGTGCTGAAAGTTAACACGCATGTAGGTTGTTTCCCCACTGTAGAGTACTGTACGCTTATGTTACGATTAAAATGGCGCCAATAATATAAACAAGATCGGGTATCGGTTTGGTGTTATCTACAAGATTACCTTTACTATACAGGGTGTTTAAAAAACCAGATTGCTTTCGAAAAACTGTCACTGGGCGGGGCAACTTTGTCGCAAATAGCGCGAACCAGCTGTTTTAAAAGGAAGGTGCTTAGCGGATTCTTGTCCTAGAGGGACGCATTGTTTTTCTATCGTGCTTCTGCGGACCACTATGGAACTTTCGCAAAATCGATGTAATTTGATTGTGAATACACCCTGTATAAAGTGTCCTTCACATCTCGCCGACTTCAAAGTTACGCAAACTTCGGTAAATATTAAAATTTGTACTGGTAATTGCAATTTAAAATTATATTTATTCAAATATCTCGCGTCCCCTGTATTATAGACGAAACCTTATACAGTATACGATACTGTTCATATCAAATTATTACATCTTTAAAAGGTTTTTTAATTTATCGCCAATACTTCACCCACAAAAGCGGAAATTTCTTGGATATATAAGAATTTTTTGCGAACACACGACGTAAAAATGTTCGAAATAGAGGCTATAGCCCTGGATCTCCTTAGTTTCCTGGCATCCGAATTTTTCTAATGGAGTAAATAGTTTTCAAGAAACTACTTGTTTTTTGAAACCATGCAATACGTGGTAATAGTAAATGACGTCATCGCGTTTGATTGAGGGCGAGAAATCGTGATTTTCATTTGGATTTTTTCAAATATCTCGAACAGCGTATGTGACGAAAACCATAAATACAAAAATTGTAGCCCTTGATACGACCTATAACACGTTTTAAACGGATGAGCTATTTTTTGTACTAATTTTGATTTACGGTAAATAATTTACTCCCTAAAGAATAATTTTCAGGGTCTTTTAGATTTTTGTGTATAACTAAACCACAAATTTTAAATTATTGCCAATTTTCAGTAATACGGGGACCCATTTTTCAGTTTTTTTGAATTTGAAGCGCACGTTTTTAAAAAATTGTTATGAATAAAAGTTTATGGACCCGTATCCTCTGCGTCTTTGGGTTATAGAATTTTTTCGGACTTGTAAACGGTTTTTGAAAAATGGTCTTTTTTGTAGACCCTTGCACACGCGATTTTTATTTTTTGTAAAAATACTTCCCGACCCCCCAGCGCCCCCATTTTCAATAGGTTACGTCACAGGGCAAAACTGCATATATGTGCCAAATAAGAAGTCGATTGCTTTGAATTTCGGACACTTATCGTGTTTCATAGCAATGTTCAAAAAACAGTCGAAAATCGCGAAAAAAAGATGGATGCCGGCGTTGAATCGAGGCCATTTCATACAAACTTATGTATCTCGTGGAGCGTTAAAAAGAAGGCAAATTTCAATTTTCTAGCTCCAACGGTTCGAAAGTTATTCAGGAAAAACCAAAAAACGAGAATGGAGAACGGAGAACGGACAAACAAAAATTTTTTTTTGTCTGTACCAACGATGATTCCATAGGACCTACCGTTACCGAGATATAACATTTTTATACGAGCGCAGATACTTTCGAAAAATTCGATTTTATTGATTTTCGAAAAATCGTCGCTGGGCGGGGCAAGTTCGTAGCGCGTAGCGCGAAGCACCTTTTTAATTTAAAAAGAAGGAAATTCGCGCTTTCTTGTGATAAAGGGACGCATTGTATTTCTATCGTGCTCCTGTGGATCACAATGGAACTTTCGCAAAATCGATGTCATTATATTTTGCATACACCCAGTATAAAGCGACTTTCACGTATCGCCAAACTTCAAAGCAACGGCGATTTCCAATGATATTTTTTCAAATATCTCATGCACCCTGTATGGTAGAAGAAGTCTGACACTCCCTCTCGATACAATTTACGATACTGCTTAAACCAAATTATCAAATGTTTTATTGTTTTTCTTTTACCGTTAATAATTTACCCTCGAAAACCCTGTACGTAATTGAAAAACTGCCAGAAGCAGAGGTTATAGTCCTGGATCTCCTACGTTTTCCAGTCCGTGAATTTTTCCAATAGAGCAAATGGTTTTCGAGAAAATAATTCTTTTCTGAAACAATGCAGTACGCCGTCATAGTAAATGACGTCATCGCGTCTAAATTGTGTGCAAGAAATAGCGATTTGGGCCAGTTATCCAAATTTTTTACGAATTTTGATTTAGGGCTAATCATTTACTTTGAGAAAAAGTTCAATTTTCAGTTTCATTTATATTTTTGTCCACATTTGAAAAAGCCTGTATCTAATCGAAAAAATGTCCGAAATAAGTGTTATAGCAAGAATTTTGCTGATCGGCTTAACAGTTTTAGAGAAAATATTTTTTTTCTGAAAACCGAAATAACCCAAAAAAAAATACTTTGCGGCATTTTATTGCGCGCAATTTGAAAAGTGTGAGTGTGGGTCGGAACTTTTACCTCGCTGCCAAATCTGAAGTCGGTGGCTCGAGAGTTATTGAATTAAAATCCGCGACACAGAGAACGGAGAAAGAGAAAAAAAATGAAATGTTTATTTTTTGACTCCATTGGTACCAACGGCTTGTCTGTAAGACTTACTGTTACCGAGATCTAAAGAAAATTTACTAGGGCGTATATTTTCGAAAAGTTAGATTTTTCGAAGTAGAAAGCGGTTCAAACAGAATTTCACAAATTTATTTACCTGGGCTGTTTTCCTTTAAGCGTTTCGTTTGGCAAATCATTCGCCAAACTAGCCGCCGAGCTAGTGTCTACGGCCGAACTCAAAATGCTTTCCAGCTTTTTTATCAACTGTAACAGAAATGCAATTTTTATGGACTCCACTTAAGATTAACGAAAGGTATATTTGAAATATGGCCGGAAAAGTACTTGACCTTTTATTGTGCACATTTTAAGAGGTAAACCAAAAAATATAAAACAAAGTCTTTCGGCGTCATTACAATCCCAAAGTTATTATTAAAGAGTATTATATCCGCACTCATTATGGAACGATTAATTAACATTTCCTCATTCTTGAAAATATCTAAATGTTAATTTTAATCTGATTCGCACCATCTATCGGGCTTAAGCGAGGTTGGTAAAATCACGGATTGCGTTAACTTGCGGGTAATAGCAGAAAAGAAGAAGAGTTGTTATGTCTGTGACAAACATTTTGTGACTCGATTTTTTATTGGAAGTAAAAAGAATTCTTTTTGAGTTTTTTTTTAAATCATTTTGAAAGCGCGAACATCCAAATTCGTGACCGCCAGGTGTGCAGGAAGAAAATAAACTGTAATAAAAGAGGACGAAAGGACTTCAATCAGAAGCATAATCCACTCCTTGGACCTACCTTGGACAAAGTAATATCTGAAATGAGATAACTTGTTCGTTATGAAAAAAATCAAAACTTCTAGCAGAAAAGGGCGGAATTATCTAGTGGTTTGAGTTAAGCAGTTTCGAGAGGAAACTTGATCTGTCAAACATAGTTCTATCTGACACGAAGAAAGAGTATATAGTATATACATTTCCAATTCTGTTAATAATTAGCGTTTCTAAGTAACCAAAGACACTTCCCAAGATTAATTTTAAAACGTTGCTAAAATTTTTAATGTTGGTGAATTAATAAACAGGAAGTCATATATGAAAGTTACATACATCACAAGGATAATTGATTTTATTAAAATGGCATTGCGAAGATTTTCTACTTATTATTTGTTAAAACAAAACTGGCAGAATGAGGTGCTAGTTTTACTAAAATGAAAACCATATACAATGAAGGTCTCCAATTGAAGCCTTGACTTTATAATGGAGAGATTATACATTACACGTTCCTGCCAGAGACCGATGATGTAAATATAAATCCAAATGGTTTAAAGCGTTTTCTTACAAACCAATAAGATTTAACAATGGCGGTTAAGGGCATCAAACGTTTTTCCATAAAATGACATAAATATGACATCAGTTATATGTAGTAGAGCTGTAGTTTACGCAGATATATAGTTTGAAAAGCACCCTTTTTCATAGTAGATAGAAATCCGTCCTCATATTGTATTTTGTTTTTCAAAATATTCCAAAATACTGCTGTAGCAGTAACATAAAAACTGGTTATAATTCTTTACTTAACACTGCAAATAAATTACTGACATCTGTGAAAAGAATAGTCCTGAATTCCTTCCTTGTCTTACATACTGACGAACCCAAATGAGTTGTGGAATTGCTAGCCTTTGGAAATTGTTGTACACAATGGGCTTCAAATATCACAAAAGAAACAGTGGGATAGTACTTATGGACTCCACGCGTGAGCAATAAAAAAATACCTTTCTGAGAATTGTTGGACACTGCATCGAAAGCATGGTCTCCGTCTAATAAAGGGGACTTAGCTGTACCTAACATTTCTTAGAAGAGCGTTATGGTTATAATACAAAGTTGTAAATTCAAAACTAAGTTATGTTTGTTTAAAAAATGCCGTCCTTTACTCGACAATTGAAATACAATTTTGGAATCTTATTCGGGTAAAAAAAATAATACTACCTGATCCGAAACGTCAACTTCATTTTCGAGTTTCGCGTCTTCGTCTTCTTCCACTATCGCGGTAGTGTTCGCTATCCGGACAGATGGCGCTTTCATGAGGGTTAGAACGTTGGTGATTTCTTGTTCCATCTCGTCGAAGGCTTCCACGCTGTCGGTGGCCTTAGGTCTACCCCAAAAATAAACTAGTTCCTGGTTCATAAATTTCGTCGTTACGCTTACTTGGAAAGAATGTCCACCATCTTGTTTTCGATAACTTCGATCGCTTTCTGAATGTTCGAGCTGACGTGATCGTTCTTTTGTTTCAACGTTTTCAGTTGCTCTAGCACTGCGTTTTGACGAACTGACGGCTGATCAGCGGAGAGCCGCGACAGGAAACGGTTTTTTGAAACTTTCTTCTCATTAGGCATCGCGTGTTTCGGTGGGGACAGTTGGTAATGCACCGGTTGGTTCTCTATGAACTTTGTCAATTTTTGCGCTGGAGTTTTCCCGTACTTGTTTTCCCACAGCTTTTTCTCCCGCTCGCTTTTCCCGTTCTTCTTTAGCATTGCTTCCAGTTTGTCGCTAGTTTGGGCGTTAACAGCTTTTCGGGGCATCGGTTTAGTGTTATCTACGAGATTACCTTTACTCTACAGGGTGCTTAAAAAACAAGATTGCTTTCGAAAAATCGTCGCTGGGCGGAGCAAGTTCGTAGCGCCTAGCGCGAAACAGCTTTTTATTATAAAAGGTTTTCATGTGACAAAAGGGACGCAATGTTTTTCTATCGTGCTCCTGCGGACCACTATGAAACTTTCGCAGAATCGCAGTAATAATCAATGATGTCATCGCGTCTTGACAGCCCCCGAAACAGCGATTTCAATATGGATATTTTCAAATATTTCCGAGCAGCGTATGTGATGAATGAAAACCGCAAATACAAAAATTGTAGCCTTTGAATCTATTACCAATATTTTGTACGACTTCTGATTTGCGGTTAATAATTTACTCTGTAAAAGAACAATTTTCTAGGTCTTTTAGATTTTTGCTTATAATTTGAAAACCCTCTATATTATCGAAAAAATGCCTAAAATAAAGGTTATTGCACTGGATCATCCGCGCCTGCCGGCTAAAGAATTTTGCCGATCGGGTGAACGATTATGGAGGAAAACATTTTTCTGGAAGCTAATTGCCAAAAAAAAAAAATTGCAAAGTTTTAAAAAAATACTTGGAAAAATGTGATTGCACCAAATTTCTACTGTTTAAATGTGGACACGGACTTTTACTTCTCTGCTAAATTTGAAGTTGATATCTAAAAATTTAAGACACTTAACACATTTCTCATTTAGCACGAAATATCTGGAACACCCTGTACAATAAGTGAAAAGCTTAAATACAATAGTTTTTTTGTCTATGCGGGCTATATCACAATAAAAAAGAAAGTGAGATCTGAATCATAGTCTTTCAGTTATAACCAATTTTCAATAAGTGTTTTTGAATTTGCGGCGCACCCTGTATATTTTTGAAAAATTATCAAGTATAAAAGTTTATGGAGCCGTATCTTTTGCGTCTTCTGGTTGGTTCAAGAATTTTTTTGGTCTCTTAAACGGTTTTTGAAAAATGATGTTTTTTTTTAGACCCTTGCACACTCAATTTTTTATTTTTTTAGAATACTTTCCGACCCCCCCATTTTCAATAGGTTCCGTCACGGGGCAAAGCTACATATATGTGCCAAATATGAAGTCGATTGCTTCAAATTGCGGACACTTATCGTGTTTCATAGCAAGGTCCAAAAAACAGTCGAAAATCGCGAAAAAAGATGGATGCCGGCGTCGGATCAGGGCCAATTCTTATAAGCTTATGTGCCTCGTGGAAGGTTAAAAAGGAGGCAAATTTCAACTTTGTAGCTCCAACGGTTCGAAAGTTATTCAGGAAAAACCAAAGATCCCGTAGGATATACCGTTACCCAGATATAAAATTTTTATACCAGCGCTGATATTTTCGAAAATTCGATTTCATCGATTTTCGAAAGTAACAAGGATCTTCGTACCAGTTAAATTAATAAATAGAACTGATTTCGTTTCTCTTACTCCCAACTAATACAATCGTGATCGTTAGACATTTAGGGCGGAATAACATTGGATTGTCACACACAATAGTTAATGTATTTGCTAGATGGTGTATAATTATCACCAACTGTAGGTAACTCAAAGTTAACGGAGCTATCGCACTCTTGTTTAGCAAAATTACAGCTCGATTTTCTGTTGAACTGGGCCACAACTTGGACGTGACATTATAGGTGAGAACAATAAATACCTTGGGTCCAGACGCGCGTGTCCAAATTAAGATAGTCCGAAGGCGAAGGGGACGTGTAATTTGGCTTGATGTTTGATCTTTCTGTGAATCGCTCCGACATTGGCAATTTGGGCGATTGCCCCTTCGGTGATCTGCGAAAAATATCGATGCAATCGCTCTGATAAATGTTCTTGGGTTTTTGCATAGTTGCCGGTCCCGCTACCGTCCGACAATATTCATCAAAGTCTGCAAAATTATATTCGTCGAGTTATTCTATTTCTAAGTCATCATGGTTCGTACTTTTCGGAGACCATGATTTGGTGCGCGTATGTTTTAGATGACGCGGGTTCTTTTCCTGCGTGGCGCTGACCAGTTTGATCTCTTTGTCGATACGTCTGAGGGCCGGGTCGTAGACCACCTTCATCGCTAACAATCGAAACATTTATGCAACAACTTTATAGAATTTTAAGGGTTTATGAGGGAAACGGAGCGTCCTAGAAATTTGCAATAAAAGAGTTTAAGTTTTTTTTTTCAAAGAAAATCCATTGTAATGCCATTTACAAATCTCCTGTATTCTTCCTGCCTCATCCTGTTGGCTTCTTCAGAGGTTGACTGAAACTGGCTCACACTTTACTCTGTATCTGCTTGTTTGAGAGGGGCGGAGCTAAATAAGTGGCATAAACACCGTCTCGGATGACTGATTCCCATATTGGTGAAAGGTTTGATTGCCTATAGATTTATATAGATTCTCGGATTTTTCTTTGGTAGAAGAATTGATTACATGCAACTGCTGGTGAGTTTATTTGTCTTGGTCTTAGCTCTTTTAAGTTCTATTTGCCTAGTTGATATTGAATGCTGTAAACTCCTGGTATCTCAAACGGAATTTTGTTTTTAACGGATCGAAGATGTTGAGAGATCTTTGGAGAAATGTTAAATCAAAGAATACATTGTAGAGACCGGACGAAAATATCAACTAGTTTCAAATTAGAAGCTGCCGAACACTACCACGAAGTCAACTGAAAATCCGAAAATCTATAGACATCTATAAGCAACCCACAATCTTGACTGCGACTCAACAACATCTGTTGAAGTATAAGTAGAAGCAAGATGAACTATCTATTTTAAAACTGAATAGAGGTTTTGGAAATGTGGGTTTGTAGACGACTGTTACGAGTCTCATGGTCTGAGCACGAAACCAACGTATCCGTGTTACAAAAAATCGGTCCCCATACAAGGCACAGTATGTATCTGGAGTACCTGGGGCATAGTAGAAAGCAAATACCCAAGAGGCAGGTCTCCCTAATAAATATAAGACTGCATGTAGATACAGTGTTTTAGAAATCATCATGCACTTTCTTTTGGGTATATATATATATATATATATATATATATATATATATATATATATATATATATATATATATATATATATATATATATATATATATATATATATATATATATATATAATTTTTTTTTCTCTTGTGCGTGGCCTGTCTCAGTCTTGCATTTACAAGGTTAGCGCCAAAATTTCCTGGCGTGTCATGATAAAACTTTGTCTTCTTTTAAATATATATCTTAGTCGGCTGCGAAACAAAAATTGAAGTCTTGCGTCAAATAGTTTTTTATTTTAAACAAGATGTGTCGGAAAAAATGTCGCAAATAACGCAAATTGAATATAGAGCAGTCATAAAGTTTTTGATAGAAGGGTTAGCACCTAAAATTATTAGAGAAAGGCTGGATGGTGTGTACGGCCAAAGTTCTACTTCGTATTCTGTATTGAAAAAATGGGCAAAACGTTTTCGAATGTGGAGGTCATATCGGAAGATAATATTTAAGAAATCCGTGTAGATTGTATCTACTTGTAGTTTGTTATTTGGGCTATTTTGGGCATATTGAAAAAAACAGGTAAAGGTTTTCCAGGGTACCGGAAACGTGTTTGTTGTTAATGAGGTTGCACCAGTACATGAGTACGATGCCAGATGATAATGAAGGTATGTTATCCGGTCTTGAGGTCATTTTGGATTTCAATTTTTTTAAAGATTGTGAAATAGTGTTGTCTTCTATGCCGTTTATATAGATAGGTTGATAGTTACTATGGCTAGTTACTCTGCTCCTAGCAGATGTAATGACCCTTTTAATGAATGTGGGGTCGGATTTAGACTCTCAAACTACACGGTCTTTTTGCATGAAATTGAGTTCTTTGCCATCAACTTTTCTGGTACACAAAATGTCTTGGACGGATACACGTGCAGGTTTAATGATGTTTAATTTGACCAGCATTTTGGTGTTGGATGTCGATGGTCTACCATTGCGTCCGTAATCTTCGATTAACTGTTTGAATTACTCTTTCCCAAAGTTTCAATCCATTTTTAAGATTGTAAAAAACCGCCAACACATACAGAGATGAATGGAACTTTTGTAAATGATTTACGAGGTAATGTCAACAACAGATGTATAAGACAAAAGAACTTCGGGAAGTTTTTGATCGAGTAATTATTTGTGTTAACGCAAAAAATGTAATTATAAAAAATAACAATATCATAATCTTTAATTAAAATATATTCTATGATACCCTCTTTTTAAAAATTATCTAGAAAAGCACCAAATTTTTGAAACACTGTACCGGATGATCATTTATAATGTGTACCCCTCCCATTCAACGTTTGGGAAAAAACGGCAAATAGAAAAGTTGTTAAAAAAAATAGCAAGCTATTTGCAAGATTTAGTTTTATATTTACAGGGTGTTGCAGAAATTACCAACAAATGCAAGTTACATATATTTTTAATTTTAATCATTTTAATTTTTATTTACGTTTACATGATTTTTAGAGTTCCCTATAAAAATGCATCCATCGGCGTCATGTCAGGACTTTTGAGTGGCCATTTTATTGAGCCATCTTTTCCAATTCATTCATTAAACCTTTGATTTAAGTAGTATTTAGCAAATACTACACAAATTAATTGAATATGAATTTAGGACTTAAAAGTTGCGCTTTTTTTTTAACTGAATTCAAGATAAATATCATTTTCTAACACATATTCCTGAATTTCAGCTTTTCAACTTGACGAGGCTGGTGTTTGCATAGCAGACGGCTGTGCTGTGTTTTGAAACCAATTTTCAAAAAGTTCGGCACTTCTATGCTCATGACTATCCAAGCTAGAATCCTGAATATTCTTTGCAGAAAACAGCAAAGCAGTTTCTATTATACTGATGCCTTTTCCTTTATTCGAAGGTGCTTTTGTCTGATAGTTTTGAGTGGATACAGTTTGGTGTGTATCGAACCATGTTTCATCGACGCAAATTGTTGTGTCTGTTGTCTAATCTATATCTTTTAATTTCTTGAACATAATTAAATGCTCAAGTGCGTGTGATTCCATTACTACTTGTTTTTGTCTATTTTGCTTGACCTAAATCACATTTTATAAACATCGTCTAGCCTTTTTCAGTTTATCGAAGATAGGAACAACTTCTCTTTGATATAGACAATATGTGAGTTTGAAAATCACTACGTTTATTCCTTTTCCTCAATTCTTCACTATTAATATCGACGATATACGCGTTTTTGTAAGTAGCAGTAAAGTCCTTAAATCACTATCTTCATCTCTTGCCAATGTTCTCTTCTTTCTGACTAGGCTGAATATTTGCTGAAATTTTTCATAGATTCGATAAGATTTTTTTGTCTGGGACGTGTGTGAGATAATTTAGCTCTCTTGTTTCCTTTAACTAACGTGTTCAAAGTTAAGTGTTTTTCTCTTTCAGAACAAGGCAATTTATAATAAAAAAGAACGTAAGTTTTGCTAAACTTGTAACTGGTAAATGTCATCGTCATTTATAAACATTTTGTTTTTTGGTGACGTCACAGCCACCTAAGATAGAAATGATAAATTCTATAATATTATTTTATTTTTGAATGTTGCTTTTATGTTAAAAAAACATATGTCTCAAAACTATAGGATTTGGGTATTATACAAGAAATGTACAGATTGCTTAGGTTGTTTCATTAAAAAATATATGACTTATCTCTGTGGGTGCTTTTGCAACACCTTGTATATATAAAAATATATCTTGCAGATAGCTTACTATTTTTTGAAATTCCTTTGTATTTGACGATTTTTTCCCTAGATAATTTTGAAAAAAAGAGTGTCATCCCGGTACAGAGACTCACGTTTGTTTTTCTTCCCCGTTTCGAACCATTCGGCCCTTTTCTGCGTCTCTTTGCATTCCTTCATTGGCGCGAGCGGTAATTTTTGAGCGCCATCTGCCGTCGCGGCGTTGAGTCTTGCCTTGTTGTAGATCACGTGAACCGGCATGACGGTATAGACCTTCGTGACGCCTTCCTCTTTTACATCTTGATTCGGAAAAATGTACTTGTGTAGTTTCCCTATGTCGTCGCCCCTCCCATTGGCCGGACTCTATAACGTTAAAGTAGACATTTCGAATAACAAAAATAGCGACGGGAGACTGGTGGAGACTTTGGTGGCAAAAGTTTCCATCCATCCATCCGTATATGCTAAATTTGGATTTTTCGTAGATCATAAAATTGTCTACAAAAATGACTCTTGTCAGGATTTACAGTTGCTAAATTATCGTGGCGCAACAGAACGGCCTGCAAAACTTCCAGATATTGTTGACGGGGTGTAAATTATTTTATGCACAATTTGACGCTCTTTGCAAAACTTGAAAAATCCAACATGACGGCCATAAGAAAAAAGAAAATTAAGCCGGGTTGCGAGATAACAAAAGGCAAAGTGCCTGAATAATGTCACATTTTGACGGTTTCTTCTAAAACACATTGTATAAGCCTCGCAGCCTTAGAATTAAAATAGATCTGCACTAAAACTCCTAAGTGGGATTTCCACAATTAACCCTTCTTTAGCAATATAAAATTGACCATTAAATTCAAAAAGATGTTGGTCTAAACAAACTATTGAACTGTCTAACAAGTGTTGTTTTTGTGATAGGTTAACTTGTCTCTGAGTGAGAATATTATCTATTAAGTTCATTACGTCAATCGGTGGAATGCTAGCAAATAGATTTCGGACATCAAAAGAAACTAGAATTGCCTTAGGAGGAATTTTAGTATCTTTAGTTCCAACGCATTTTTGATAACATATCTTGTTGAAAGTTTAACTGATGTGCTGTTATACTTCAACCAGAAATATAGTGCTTTTACAACCGACTCTGCGATTAACTTTGTCTACTTTTTATTACTCCAATACCGCAGCCCCTTATAGAACACTCTGCCTGGCAGACCCTTACCCGCAACCATTCCAGGACCGTCCTAGGAATTTATCTACCTACACGAACAAACGGGATATAAGTATGTTTGTTAGATATTTGTATGTTGTATGTACATAAAAAATTAGTACAAAGTAACAATTTATTACGTTCTATTTCGTTACATTTCTACATAGTATAATTATTAATATACAAAATGTTATTTATAATAATAATAAATCGGTCACTTAAAAAATCGTCACTATCGCTACTATCGTCACCTAGTTCAATGATCAACTCCGCCATTAATCGTTCTCGATAAATATTTTCTTCTTTTATTACTTGTTTTGCTTTACCTCTTGTCGAATTACGAATGGTATTATCACTAAATTTTGGTGCAATGTTATTTCTATATCATCTCAATCGAGTTAAATCTCGAGATTTCACGTCCATTTTGTTGTGCTATCGAATCGATTTTGTTTTATTTTTATGAATTTCCGAAGTTGTCTTTTCGTGTAGCTCTCTTCTTTAATGTCTTCTTTATTTGAAGAAGTATTTGGAATGTTCTAATTTGGGATGAACGATACGAGGCATTATCCAACACGATAACAGTATTTGGCGATAGTTCTGGCAACAGTTTATTTTCAAACCAGTCCTCAAATCCACACTTGAATCTTTGACGTTTTCTGGAGACAAAAATAAAGCATGTTCCATCCTACACCATCCTTTTTTTAAGTTTCGTCCGATTTTTATTTAGCACTTGACGTTTATCAATTGTTTGGAACTGAAAATCCAATTTCTTCAAAAAAAGTACGGACTCTTTGACACAACTAATGTATAAGTACTTTTTTATGCAGTTCTTCTAGGGTTAAAATACTATTCACTTTCTAAGCGTTGTAGATTATACGCCTAATTAGATCTGCGTGTTGCTCTTTAAAAACTTGCGAAGTACCAGCATCTTCTGTCACTTTCCTCTTCACTATCCCATTTACAACAGTTTTTCTTACAGTTAACTTCTGAACTTTGGTCATGTCCTACATCGTCTAAATTGTCATTAGGTTGGACTGAGATCTCCACTTCGTCCTCATTCGACGGTCTTCACATTTTAAAATGTGTAAGATTCTAATAAATATTTATCTGTATTCTTATAACGTAACTTTATCTGCCGCGAATATAATCTATAGTCTCAAAAAAGACTGTAGTTGTTTACAATTCAAAGAACTCTGTAAAAGGTACAAAATGTTGTTAATTAGTAGGCACACAAGACAAAAATGATTATTTTCAAACTTACCTGTAAGATAAATAGAGTACAGGTACCGTTTCAACTATCCAGTGAAACAGCCTCAGTGAAAAAGGGTCAAAGTACGAGAATCAAGTATATAAATATGTAGGTACTGGAAGGATCACCATCCGTACTATATACGAACATGTTTCAATTTAGAGTAAACTTTAAGAACGATACATGTTAAAATAAACGCTTCTACTTATTCGAAAATACCACGCAGCATCAATGCTCAATCGAATTTAAAACGGTCCATTTACGTTTCAAATAAAAGTTTTTACAAATATTCGTTACGGTCCATCTCAGGCAAGACCTACTTAATGCAGAATAAACATCTGTTGGGATGGGTTTTGCCACGGTCCTGCGGTTAAAGCAGTGTAAAATACTTAAAACGTCATAGCAATAAATGCACTATATTTTTGGTCGTATTATACAAAAGAATCTCCAGCCTTAATTGGCGTATCTTGTTGGTGTAATTTAATTAAAGAATATAATTTTGGAGGTTGGGGATTGATAATTATTAGTAGGTATTTTTCTCTGTCTTAAGGTTTAAGAAACTGTTTGGTTTTTGTGATATACTAGAGAATCGTTAGCTACGAATATCCTTGCTTTATCTGCCTTTGTAAATACTAGATTATTTCGGCAAACTTTTAATTGATTTTACCATAGACATATGTGCGATGTCTTGGAATTTACTGTTAGTTGTAAGTTAGATTTTATTTAGTGTTTGTTTACGATAATGTTACCGTCAATAGCAAGCTCGTAATCAATCCCTAAACAATTTAACTCTTTATAATTTAAATTAAAGTTGAAACCCTTTTTTAGTAATTCGGATTTTAACTTCATTTTTGTTTTTCTCTTTCTATTATTTCATCATCATTTTCATACCTTATTAAGAATATTGATAATTCGAAAACTAATGTACCTTTTCGCATATGCGGCAATTTTCCGCGGAACACTTGATGCTCGGCCCGAATAGATACGACCAAACGTTCTCTTTCTCTTCGCCGTAAACCAAGTCGTAGAGGAACGAATCCTTGACTTTCCCGTACGCCGGACTCTTTTCGATCTCTTGTATTTTTCCCGCGTCTTTCCTCGGATATTCGGCTTCGAAAGGTACCAAATCGTTCGCCGTTATATCGTCTAAAATGTCGAAATGGTCTAGTTGTCGGATACGGACTGTATCTGCTGTCGCAGGACGACGACGGTCTTGCAACATCCTGCAGGGATTCGCCGAGTAAGTTTTAGGGAAACACGGCTCTATACGATTCGACACGTTCCCCTCGGTTTTCTTCCTCGTTTTCGCCAGGTTTTTCCGATTGAACCATAAACTGTTGTCGTATTTGCGTGGTAAATTGATGGCCGATCGGATGGTATTCGACTCGGCCGTCGATCCTACGCCGGTCCTTAAATAGGGGTTGTGATTATGCTGTGCATGTGGAGTCTAGAGAAAACTAATAAAAAAGAGAGTCGTAGATTTATTTCCCCTTAAATCTCGGAGCCACAGAATAGACAAACAACCAGAAGGGTGGCTGTTTTGGTGAAAATGTTTAAACGTAAGATTCTAATCAATATTTATTTTATCTACCGCGAACATAATCTATAGTCTTATAAAAGAATTGAAAAACTATGTAGAAGACACAAAATGATTAAGGCTTTCGCGTCTTTCCGGTCTAAAGACCGGCGTCAGTTGGAATTACTTCCTAACGTTTCGTCGGTCCATCTATCTCCGATGTTGGACGTAGACCGACGATCTCTCCTGCGCAGGTTGTATTTATGCCAATTGAAGGTGGACGGAGCTTGTTCCGCTTCGGTTGGTCTCGGAATATCGATCGGTACTTCTCGGGCATTCCGATGGGTAATGAGCGGAGCTTGTTCCGCTTCGGGTTCGGGTTCCAGATTTGGTAGTCTGTCAATACTGTTTTATGCAGTTCTTCCACGTTTAAAACACTGTTCGCTTTATGAGCGTCGCTTTTTAAAAACTTGCGAAGTAACTCACTTTCCTCTTGACTATCCCATTTGCAGCAGTTTTTCTTACGGTTGACTTCGAAACTTTGGTCATGTCACTTGTTTTTATTGCTGCCCCTACTTCCGCTTCTGAATTTCTTATAAAATTGTATACATTGGAAACAATTTGTTTAGCATCCGTAGGCAAATGGATCCGTTTTTTTATTTGCTGAGGTAGTTCGTTTTCTAAATTTTCATTGGGTTGGACTACCATCTCCACTTCGGCTTCAAATTTTGCGTTGTTTTTCATGTCTTCTTCTAACAGGGAAACATCTGCTTCATTCTACACATTTTAAAATGTTAAAAACAGGAACCTGCAAAACATGTTTAATTGTAAGATTCTAATAAATATTTATCTGTATTCTTTATCTACCGCGAATGTAATCTATAGTTTTAAAAAATACTGTTGTTTACAAATCGAAAAACTATACAGGAGACACAAAAATATAAGAAGAATGTCGTTAATTGACAGACACACAAGTCAAAGATGATTATTTTCAAACTTACCTGGAAGATAAATAGGGTACAGGTACTCTCAGCTGAACGTGTGCGAAATATTTTTTGCACGACCATTTGAAAATACTGAAAAACAGTCGAAACAGTGGGTTGCAAAAGGGGAACCAACTCCGAAGAGGACTAAAACAATGGGAGGCTAGAGGAATTATATACAATTGATTATCTTGAAAATGGTAAGACTATCACGTCCAAAATCAACGAATTGAAGTTTGAATTGATGCCGCAACACCCCTACACTCCAGACTTGGCTCCCAGCGACTATTACGACTAACATTTAAGAGCAACGAAGAAGTTACATTTTGCAGCAGCATTTTGAGCAACTTGACGAATCTACATTTAAAACTGGTGTAATTAAAATTAGACCACTGTTATGAAATGAAATGCTCGGTGTTGATGAAAACTTTTCACCCCACCCTCATATACAGAACAATCACAAAACCTATAATAATGTATGGACACTCACCGTTGCAGATGAAGTACCACTAAAGATATTTCTAAGGCAAAAACAACAGGACAATACTGAATAAAATCTAACCTGGAACTCAAAGAGATTAATATAGATACCAGATAACAGAATGACAAAGCTAGAAAAAGATCGTTTAGATAGAGAGATTGCGTTAGAAAAGACCTAAGAGTAGTAGAGTCGGCAAAAACCCACACAAGGATAGAATACCTAGAATACCTTTTCAACAGACCGAACACGCCTTGGGCGGAGGCCCATCTTCAAGTGTGCTCCATTGTTTATCAAAGTATCAGATCTTTTGAGTTTCTGTAGTTGGCCGTGTTTAAACAATCACAAAACATGTCGTGAACTTGTTCACCTGGCCGAAGGCACGCACTAATTTTACGAATAGCCATATGCTTCTTCGCTTTAGTAGGTTTTTGATGACCGTAATGTTTCTTTCACTTACTGACGTGCTGCACTGTGTTTCTATCTATCGGTCCCGAAAAAAAAGTACTTTTTTATTCCACAAGCTCACCAAATAATCATTGAATAATTTGCGATGTGTTTATTGCTCTTTGAGATTTAAGTTTGCAAAAAATATTTCTGCGAAAACGAATCATATGAGCCATATTGCACTCGATAACCAATAACACTGCTCAAAAGTGTTCCTGAATTTAATTATAGCACAATTCCCGGAACTTTGGAAACATCCACACATACTGGAGATAAAAAAGTGATCGAATTTGAATTATTGGAGACGGAGGAAAAAAATCTTAAAAGAACAAGTAACCTCCATTTCAATTTGTTTCGGAGTGATGGTTTATTTCTTCCCAGTATCATGCAAGTCAAAACACGCAGTACCATACAAAACTGGGTAGTTTTCCAGTTTTCCCGATTTTTCTCATTAATTTCGTCGCTCTCTTTTTTTATTAGTTTCCTCGGCACCTCCTACATCACAAGAAGTCGTGTTGCTTAACCTCGCTTACCTTCGTCCCATTTCGGCCACAGTCGCCGGTCGACTTCTACTTGACATCCGGCTTTTGTTTCGTGTCATCACTTTCTGAAAAAATGCCAGACTGTCACTGGCTTCGACCTGAGCAATTAGCTTTCCGTGTAGGTTGGTCGCTGCTTTCTTCCGGTACACGTCAACTGCGGGCGATGTGCTCAATCTGTCAACTAATAATGATAATAATTGGTAAATTCTGTAGTACACAATGTTTTTTAATGTTTAGCGCACTGCAACATCAAAATTAAATTAAAACGCCGCACGCCATATGACTACATCTCGAATATATTGCTTAGCACGATATAATGCAGAGGGCGCCACTAGTCAAACTAACCAAAACAGCACATATGTCTGGTTGCCTACCTATAATACATACTTTTTACTTTGTAAGAGTTCAAGACAAATCTTGAAGATCCTGCACTCAATTCGTGATTAATTTAAAAATTTTGAAATATTTAATATCTTGAACGATATACTGAAAATTGAGTTATTACCTCCAAAGTTCTTTCTAGTTAGCATTGATTTTAACCAAAATTGTTTTTGGTTCTATTTACTTCAAAGGAGTTAGGTGACTGTAAAACTAACCACTCAGATCACCCGATTTGATGCCCTTGTATTTTCACCGCCGGACGGTAAAATTGGAATGATGTAAGATTATTTCCAACACTATTTTTAACAAGAATGGCAGAATATGTTAATATGTTGTCCAGAGTTCAGCGCTCATTTTCAGGAAGAGTTCTCTTATGCGTCGAGTATGATAGACACTGCAGCATTTGTTAAGATAATTCTTTTACCTTTTAATTTTGTTCATTTCTTAGTCAAATTGCTTTTAGGCTTTTGTTATTGTTAAATATTAATTATTTGTGTTTTATTATTTTATTAGTAATCCAGATTTCAGGGGAAACTTGCTTTTATTTCAGAAACCAAATGATTTAGGTATAAGAGAGGGAATTTAATTTTCTCGTGAAATATGTGTGTTCCATTTAAAAGAACGCTCTTTTCACCATTTTTGTAATGTGGTAGGCAAATCCTTAGTTTGTCCAACCGTGTATAATGTAGAACTAATTACAATATTAAGAAATTCTGTTCAACACCTTCCTAAGCTATGTCCAAAATTGCAACTTTGGTAAGGTGGCCTTTTTGTCCAAAAAGAATACACTTTGCAAGTATTTCATAGAAAAACGATAAAAACTTTATTTTCTTTTGAAAATATATTTTTCTTCGGAGTGGATTTTTTTGCTAAATGAGGATGTTCGTCTAATAATGTAGCCACAGTCGAATTTGACTGTTAAGACGGCAAATAATGTTTTTACCAAAAGTTGCGACTTGTCACTGTTCCAACGATTATTCCCTAGTGAAATTCCAATTTCAACGACATAAGGATATTTCTATTAAAACTTTTAAATTTTCATGAGGGATGTGTTCCAAAATGGATTTATACCCATTTTTGTCAAGTTCTATTTTCCCATCGCACCATTTCTTCAATTCTTCTTCATTTAAATATAAATTTACTCCTCGAATTTCTTCAATGAGAAAATGGTCATTAATAACAATATATTTTGTTTCCTTCATTACAAATTCGACTGCTGAAGAAGGTTCTTTCCATTCAATTTTACTGCTATTTAGAAGTAGACAAACGGTTACTTTATTCTTTAGAATTAGTGGTAAAAAAAGCATGGTTGACATCGTTTGGAAAGAATTTCTTCAAAATTGTAGGACATTTGTGACAAGGCTTAAAAAACAAGAACGTAGTGGATCATATAACTACAAAACGCGTTCTAATGCTAATGCCATCTGACTTTGGAATAACCAAGCGGTTTTTTGTATTGAACACTAGCCTCTTCACAAAATTCTTTCAAACTTGCCACCCGTACTGTAAAATTTTGAAATATAAATATATATTTGTAATAATTACTTCCTCATCTATTGACATTGAACTTGATGCTTGATGGCATTCGATATAATGTGAGCATTAGGACCAGTTCTCAAAATATTTCGTTTCAGAAGATCAGATTTTGTGTACACCTGTACGGGTGCGTCCTCCAAAATTTTTTTATTCAAATTGTTGTCTGTTGTAACTCGAAATAAGTGATTATATAATTCTTAATATCGAAACAACTTAGTAAAATTGGATAAAGTTTTATTTCCTTCCTTATTCCCTATTGCAGACTGTGCATTTAACCAATGAGTCGTAATTTCGATTTTTGACTACCTTCACGAAATAAATGAAATAAAATTTTATTTTATTTTGTACACCTCAAATCTTGTTAACTTGTACAAAAAGTGCGAAATTGTTGGTTTTCAAAGTAATTAAACATAAATGAAATTCCCATAAAACTTTGCCGTATATACCGCGCATGCGTAAGTATTTGGGTACGTGATTCCCTGGCTGATCTTTGATGATTGCTATATTAGAGACAATGTTGCTTATAGATTTCTATAGACTGCCGGATTTTTCGTTGATTTTGTGTTCGGCCATTGGTGAAGAGTTTTTTTGTCTTAGTCTTTAGGCTCTTTCATGTTCTTTGAGCCTGGAATGCTATAAACTCCTTATCTCAAGCGGAATTTTGTTTTTGACCTATCCAAGATGTTGATAGATTTTTGGACAAGTGGTAAATCTAGTTTTGACGTTATATTTCTTTTGATGTTGTGGTCGGTGATGTTTTGAATGTAAAGAAGGACAACAGTGTGATGGAACGCATAATATCTTTAATGTAGAAATTATTGAAGAGTCATGTTATGTTAGGGTGTATAGAATTTAAATGTTAAAAAAAAAATCTACTATGGATTCTTGACCATGAGGCCAAATAACAAAAGTATCATCGACGTAGCGTTTCCGTAATTTTGGTTTTAGATGAAAGGTGTCAAGAGCTTTTTTCTCATAGGCAGAGTAAAATGCGAGCCAGTTTCAGTCAAGCCCTGAAGAAGCCAACAGGAAGGTTGGCGAAACGTTAGCAAGTAAAAACTAAGAACATTATTAATTAAATAAAGTATTAGACGATGAGAAAATGCAATGATACATATGGTGTCCCATTTAAAACTAACCGAAACTAACGACTAACCAAATTTTTAGAACAATTAAATGTGCCAACTAACCAAAAGTTCAGGTAATATATGTTCAATAAATTGTCTATATTGCTCACCAGTAAGTCTGCCAGGCAGAAAGTGAGGCCCGATAAGAAATCCCCTATAACTCCAATCCAAACCGGGTGTGAGGATTATTATCGGATCATACATGATTGTTATGAAAGTTTTTTATTGAGTTACGGGAAAACATGCCTCGTCGGTAAACAACACTTGTGACAAAAACTTTGGATTTTGTGTAAATCTACACAAAGCCACTCTTAGCGGAAAATCCCTTAGCGTTCAACAAAATTACTCTTACAAAGAAATTCGTTTCGTCCGATATACTGATCCACGCTCGACGGGTCACTTTCTGAAGATCGATCTGCCTCTCGAGTCGTTATCCTCACTGCGCAGCATTTTGTTTCTTCGATACGTCGTATCGACTTTCCTCTAACCGTCGAAGTTGTAGATCTGCGTTTATAATCATCTGATAATCCTTTCAGTTTTGTGGTTGGTTGAGGTTGTCGCATCGTTGGTGTCTGGCTTGCTGGTGTTCCTCCGGTACGCTCGGCGGTTTCTTTAGAATTTAATATGGTGAAGAACGGTTTGATTTTTCTGAAAAAAAAAAAATGGCGGATTTTAAGCGACGAAATCAGTGACCTCATTTTCTACTTCGGTCGTTGTCGTATGACCTTCGCTTCCACTTTATTTTCTTTCGGAACTCGTTTATAGTCAGTTTCCATTTCGATTTTATTGTCGTCTTTATCTTCGTTCGAGTCTTCTTCAATCGTCGATATATCCAGTATGCTATGTTGTTCCGCTATCAAGTTCTGCCTTTCGTCTTTTGTACCCGACGTATCGCAACTAATTGATTTAGAAAAAGGGACGGAATTCAGTTTTGCGAAACGCTTATTATCCGATCGGAACTTGCCTCAGTTTAGATTCCAGGAAGCACATCCTTACTTTCTGGCAAATGGCGTCGATGCCGGCGAAGCTCTCCCGCAGCATCGCGCTCAAATTGTTGTTTATGTCGAGCAGGTTTTCTTGGGCCGCTTTCCTGTACTCCGAATAAGAATCGCGATGCATTTTCAACGGCACGGCAAATTTTTTGCAACTCGATGGTAATCGTACGCTGTTAATCGTGCTTAATTCGATGCGCGGATTTTTCGTGTCTTTCCGTTATTTCTAGTCTACATCGGATGCGTTTGACGGGAAGGTTACTGTCGGCACCGATTTTGACGCGCCAGATTTTAATTGATGTGCGATATCCAGCCCGGTCTCTATAGTTTCTGCCAGGTATATGAACGACGGCCTCCATGTACAGGGCATGATTTTGGGACGAAAAATTTCATATGAACATAGGTCAAAAAATGCATATTTTGAAATTACAAAATTACAAAATTAGTTTTTCCTTTTGCAACTTTTATATCATTTTCGATATTTTTATCAAATTTGGTGAACATCTTTTAATTATTGAGAGACGGTTTTTGACACAAAAGCTTTATTTTTATTTTTACCAATGGCGTCCGTACGGGGTTTGGACGTCTCTTTTTCAAAGAAGCTTCTCCTATAACGTTTACAAACTTTAAAATACCGTTCCTCTCACTTTAAAAGCCTTATCACCATTAAACTTAAAAAAAAAAACAAGAAATATTCAGCCAACAAGCAAATTGCAAGTGATTTCGAATAAGTTCAGTCCTAAAATTTTCTATTCTATTTTTAATTTTTATATACACGTACACATTTTCTTTTTTGCTATAGTTATCTCATGCGAACTAATAATTTTAAAATAGCTGCTATATATTATTTTATAGGGGTTGAACTTAGAACAATTTTAATTGTTTTGATCTCCTTTTTTGCAATTTATGTGGTTTATTGGTATTTTAATGTATTGTAAATTGAACGTTGCAGAATAAATGTATTATTATTATTGTTATTATTTAGAATTTTAAATAATAATATCGATTGCGTAAGTTGGAGTGCGTAGTGCATACTAAATAAAAAACTACTAGAGAAGTTCTACTGAGGAAAATTTTGCAATGCCTATATTAGTTCAGAATTTAGAAAAGGATGCCAACATTGTGATCGCTTTATTAAGATTCATACTTGTCAAACAATAATAAGAAGAAGGCGCCATTTGCACGAAATTTTCTCTAATCGGTAGATTTTTGTCCTCTGGGTTACAGTGTCTGATATTATCATTTGACAAAAACCCAATATTTTAAATAAAAACTCAAATATGGGAACCGAGCCCGGAAATAAACAATAGCATAATAGATGTCCCAGTATTTCTACACATAAAGAATTCTTTGGCAATTATCCTTTCGACTAACCCTTTATACATATAATTTTTTTTTCAGATCGGTACTTCGTTATATGACGCAGAAGGCGCTAAAATCGTCGGCAAGCTCGTCGAGAAAGCAAAGAAGAATAATGTTCAGATCCATCTGCCGGTAGATTTCGTCACTGCGGAGAAGTTCGACGAGAACGCGCAAGTGCGTGGAACCATTGTACAGGGTGGTCCATTTAAGATGATTTTTTTTAATGCTGTGAATATTTTAAAAAATTCAAATTATTCGAGTATTTTTTGTCCTTACATATCATTCGAAATTTTTAGTAGTTTTTGAGAAAAATGAACTTTTCTATTTTTTTGCGGAAAAAAAGCTTTTTCTCAATAAAAAATGGAACGCCCTGTATTTAGTACTTTTATTGAAGGTAGGATTTAATTCTGTATCATTTCATATACAGGGTGTTTTCTATATTATATTTATTTGTATATTTAAAAAAAAAAAAACGTACAACGGATTGAAAAAAAATAAAAAAATTAGATTTATTTAGAAATGATTGAGGATTGTAATAATTTTCATTTCAAGTTTTAATTTGAAAATTTATATATATATATATATATATATATATATATATATATATATATATATATATATATATATATATATATATATATATATATATATATATATATATATATATATATATATATATATATATATTCTCACGTATTGATTCACGGATGGAAAAATGTGATGACACTATACTCCGGGATATCATCCGTTCGCTCGTTGAACTCCGACTGGAATCCTGCAAATCCTGCATCCGACTGGAATCCTGCAGACGTTTCGCCAAAATCTCACTTGGCATCTTCAATGCTCGCGCTCCGAAAACAGTGTTCGAAGTGTTTTCGGAGCGCGAGCATTGAAGATGCCAAGTGAGATTTTGGCGAAACGTCTGCAGGATTCCAGTCGGATGCAGGATTTGCAGGATTCCAGTCGGATGCAGGATTCCAGTCGGAGTTCAACGAGCGAACGGATGATATCCCGGAGTATAGTGTCATCATATATATATATATATATATATATATATATATATATATATATATATATATATATATATATATATATATATAAACTATTAATTTTTGTCATACATGATATAAAAGTGGGTTCAATTAAAATGTGTAATATATTTTCGCTATAGACAGGTGAATATTAACTACTTCCGTGGACCCATAATAAAAGTTCAAAAAGTTCATTTTTTGTCAAAAACTTCTCAAAATTTAGTATGCTATATGTAATGACAAAAAGTACTCAAAATCAAGCGAATGATTTTTTAAAATATTCATAGTCTAAATAATAAATCTGAACACCCTATATACATAAAAATACTATAAATAAAATTTATACTTAGTGTGGTGGTGGCTGGTGAAATACTTATTGGTATAGGAGCCTTTTAAATGGACCACCATGTACATTTGGTAATCTTGATGTACTTTTCTTTCGCAGTCCAGTTGCGCGACCGTCGAAGCCGGTATTCCCGACGGATGGATGGGATTGGACGTCGGACAAAAAACCGTCGAATTGTTCAAAGAGCCGATAAGAAGGGCCAAAGTTATTGTCTGGAACGGGTAGGTTTGAAAATATTGAAAAATTTAACAGTTTCGTTAAAGAAAATTTAAATTTAACCAGCAAGTAGAGTTTTATGACTTTGTGCACGAGTGGTACTTACTGAAGAGGCATATATAATTTTTTTTATGTATTTATTAAGTATATTTATTGAATTGGGAACAGTAGATAATGATCTATGTACTTTTTATATTTATTTTTTGATGTAACATAATTTATCTCAATTTTACGGACTGTCTACATAAACTAGGTTTTAGTTTGGTTTACCAGTGTTAAATTTGAATGGTCTTAGGCCAGACTTCGCCCTGTATATATTTTTATTTTTCGTACATTGATTATTATGAAGAAACTCAATTATTATTACATAATAATAATCAAATAAAATAAATGTCACCGAGGCATCACATAAATCAATTAATTGAAATAATTTAGTAGAATAAAATTACGTATTGCTAAAGTGGCAAAAATTTTAATATAATAAAAAAGAGGGACAATGAACCATCTTCAGACAGCATTTGTGTTCTAATTAGTCCTAACAGTTTGTGTAATAGTCGTTAACCTAATAAATCTTAGCTGGGTCTTGAAAGCATTCATTGCATGCTCGGGAGAACCCTGTAACAGTATATTTTATGAAGTTCTAAACTACACTCCAGTACAATAGACAGTTCTAATTCAAATCAAATTCCATTCTACAAAAAATTTGTTTCCATTTTGTGTTGATAAAACAAAAAAATGAACATGCACTTGCAACTTTCTTTTACCAATGGAATTCTGTGAACTAGAAAAAATACTATAAAGTTTTACATATGCTTTTATATATGCTGTTAGAAGCGTAAACAGTATCGTCAGCGAAGAGATAGGTCACTACCAGCAAAAAGTGGAAAAATGCTATTGATCAATGCAATAAACAAAAAAGGACCTAACAAACTAAACTTTATTACCTAAGTTCTATTATTTTATAAACATTCTTGCCATTTAAGCCTATATCAAGAATAATATTAAGTTTGCTTTACATTGAAGACTATGTATGGCTTAACAATAAATGTCGTTCCATAGTGTCAAAGACCTTGCGCAATTCGAAGTGTAGACCAGCAATCTTCTCCTTGTTATTACCTTTTTTTTTCTATTTATTTTTTCAATATTTATTAATACTTAATAATTCAGACCAGCCGGAGTCTTCGAATGGGCGAAATTCGCAAACGGTACCAAAGCGATAATGGACGAAGTGGTCGAAGCGACGAAAAAGGGTACCATAACCATTATCGGTAAACACTAAACTCGTTTTAATTGCTTGTTCTTTTTTTTTATTTATCTATTATGTATCGTCGTAGGTGGGGGTGACACTGCTACGTGCGCAGCCAAATGGGGTACCGAAGACAAGGTGTCCCACGTGTCGACCGGAGGCGGCGCTAGTTTGGAACTGCTGGAAGGAAAAGTACTGCCTGGGGTCGCTGCGCTGTCAGACGCTTAAAAAATGATCGGTCGTAGTGTGTTATAAATATTTTTCCAGTCTAGACAGACGAAAGGTATTATTTAAAACATATATTTAATGTTGTATGAATGCGGAAGTGTAATATAAACCAATTTCTGTAGTTTCCTTTCGTATTTTTGAAAAGCGTTTTTTCTAAATGATCATGATTTTTTAAGGACATTTTGGTTCTCCAGTTGTAACCATATGAATTACCAACAATAAGCTTATTGTTACTTTAGCAATCATAAAATTTTATTGGAGTAGTTCCTTGGGTAAGGATATAAAACCTTCTACTGAAAGTTTTTATATGAACTGCATTGCATTAGAAAAAATGTAATAGTTCATTTGTAGGGGGTAAAAAGTGTATATGATTAATAGGCTATAGAATCACTGTATATTCTTTGTATGAAAATACTTCGATGATAAAAGTGGTGAGAAAAGTAATTTATTTTTTTCATTTTTTATTACTTTCCTTTCACTATTTTAAAAAAATCGTAGGTATATGTAAATATCTTAAAATAAGAATATTGAAATTTGAGAACATACAATATAATGCACAATTGATTATGTCATTTAAAAATTGTGAACGTACCAACAAATGGAAACAGTAAGTATCGACTTTACAAATAAAAATATTTTGATACAATGAATATGCTGGTATTCTATGGCCCGTTCGTCTTCGAACACCCTGTATAAAGTATTACATCAACCATTTTAAAATACAAAATGAAGAGTTATTTTGATTTAACCAATTGCTGAAGCATGCAAGTTTCGCAAACTTTTTCTTCACAAGTTAGTCTAGAAAAATCAGATATTTTGAACCTTTTCTAAGTCTTTCTCTCAATTTTTATTGCCATAGTGGGTACCAGATCACAGCAGGTAAACACTTTAAATATTCAATCAACCTGCAGTAAATGGATTTATTGCAGATTGTTGATTTTGGGGTTATAGGTTTTCCTCAAAATTTCTTTTATTCACCCATCTCAATATTGAAGGGAATAGACAGACAACCAGAAAGCTGACTCTCTTGAAAGTCGCTTAGGTCTTACAAATCCAAATTTCACATAAAGATAATTATTTCAGTTGAGTATTTTAAGGCGTATGACCTGTCACTGATCTCGAAGAAGCTTAAAATGGCTTTTATTTTTAGGTTAGTCAAAGTTTCTCGAAAAAATTTGAGATATCCTTCTCGCTCAGTTAAATTGGGTTAAATATTTTCTCGACCTAGCGTCTTATTTGACTTAAAAAAGACTGTCTCGCATGTTTACGTCACTTTTTGGGTATATCGCAAAAGTCCGTGTCTTTGACATACACAACTGTTTTCAAGGTTTAGGTTGATATGAGACACAAACTTTTTATAGACTTATGATGACAATTTAGGAAACGATAAAGTGAATTGAATTGTTTTTATAATAACGCAGAAATTTCTGAAATCTGGACACTATTGGCAAAGTCGCGTCAATTATTGCTATTGTCAGTCTGTGCCCTTGTTATTTTCATTCTTCATTTGGTAATTAACTCCGTGCCTTTTTCGAATTTTTGTGACAAATGTACTGGAAAACTTGTGTTTATGGTGAACACTGTAAGTAGGATGTGCTTATACAAGGGTAAGTGTTGACTTATGTTATGTTATATAAACGTCTATAATTTCTGCTTTCAATACTTTTTATTTTCAAGAAAGTGCAGCACTTAACTCTATTTGAATGAAAATTTAATAGGGTGTTTTGTTTTTTGAATGCCGCAAGTCTTATTGTTTGAAAGGCACAATTTGAAAGTACAGGTGCCGTTGGTTTAAAATTAGATTTTAAAACTCGCACATGCGTATGTTGAACGGAGCTTCTCAAAACAATTTTCATAGTTGCTTCATAAGTAGCTTTATGAAAAATCTAAAAAATACGGCTTAGGTCTTATTATTTATCCCATATAACTGTCGTTTAGGATTTTAACCAATATTGTTATTAAACAACAGTAGAACCAGTATCGTTGTGAATGTCAGTTTTAGATGAAGCAAGTATATATAAAAACGAACTAATTTCAAAAACAAAGACTGCGAAGGAAAAAATAAAGTAAAAACAACATATATTCTGTAATATTTCTCCATTCGTTTTATTTCTCACATTTGATATTTATACAGGGTGTTATTGAAATGATATTGTAGAATTTAATAAGTGAATCTCGAATAACAAGTGATAAAAAGACTGTTTATAAAGATTGCAGCCTAGTAGAAATTGGCAATTGATTTAGTCCAAAATAACAATGGTAACTAATTATGTACACTAGTGTTGGTAAAAAAAAGATCTTTTTTGAGGAATTTAAAAGAAAATAACTTTGTTCTGAATTTTGTTATGGACTGAAAAATAATTATCGTGAAGTGTTTCCAATTATTGACTGAAAAATAATTATCGTGAAGTGTTTCCAATTATTCGGTTAGAAAATTTAATGCTGTACAAAAAAGGTCTCTTGTGGTTTATCGATTATTTGAACCATTTTTAAGATATTTGCATTGTAATCCTTATGGGTACTTATATTCATAGTTTTTAATAAATATTTTCAGTTTATTCATCAAATTGACGAGTTTTCACAACATTTGTAAAAATTGGCGTTTATTTTAATAAAATGACAATTTTTAAATTATTTTTTACCATCAAACTCTTGACTGGAACCTTCGGCACTGCACTAACACACAATAATGCGTTTTACCACAAACCGAAACTCAATTTTACTTACTCGATGCGCGTTTCGCCAACCAAGTTGGCATCTTCAGGAGAAGATTAAACGCGCATCGAGTACGTAAAATTGAGTTTCGGTTTGTGGTAAAACGCGTTATTGTGTTATTTTTTACCATGTATTTGGGAGTATACTTCCTCCTAATCAAGTTCCAATTGAATAGTTTTCAACAACAAATTTTATAATGTAATTTTTGGTCTGGGGATTTAGTTTTGAAAAGTTGGTGATTCTATTATTCATTCATTTCTTGTTGTTATGCTAGCGCCATCTGTGGTTTTATATCGTTTCTATGCCGCCCCTTATATTTCTATCTTCCGAGTTCTGTCTTCTTGTGTATTACTGTAAGTTTTAATACGATTACGATAATTGTGAAATATATCCTATTTATTTAATACGAATAAAAACATATATTTCATCGGAAAACCGATGCCAAAAATTCTCGAAACAAAAGTACCAACAGTAAAGGAGGTTATGTGTGTATTTTTTCAACAACTTAATTTCCCGAAATAGTCCGCGAAACAAGGCGCTAACAAGTCGTCGAACTACGGAAAACACGTAGGGAAAAGAATTCTTCGATGTCTTAGCAAATGACAAAGAATTCAAAAAAAACTGCAGGCGTAAAAAATCACCGGCACAAAAATATATTATTAATATTAAGAGCTCGTACGTGGTAAGTACTTTCTAGAGGTAACTAGCAACTAGTTTTTGTGATCTAAAAAAATATATATAACATCTATTTATGTCAGTCACTTCCAACTGATGGGATGGGAAACAGAAAACACAAGGCCATGCCAATAAAAAAAACTTTAATGCCATTTCATTTAATTAATTTGTCTGTCAGGATCGAAATAATCTCGATTGCTTACCAAAACCTATTTAGGTGTAGGCTTTAAAAAAAAAAGAATGTTTTACACCGGCAATTTTTTGTTTTTTTGCGAATGTAACCAATCTTTTAACTGCGAGACCATCAGTCCGCCCAAAATAATTTGGGTGGGATGGTACACCAGCAACGGCAAGCTGATTTGACTTAGGTGCGAGTACCCGTGGAACATTATTCGCAAAATTGGAATACCTAAAACGATAAGCTTTTTAATCCTTACGCGATCCGGTAGATTTCGATGGAGACTTACCGAGAGTTAAGGACTTGTGAGTGGAACAGAAAACGACGGCTATTATATCCGACGGGCTGAAGAATTTTGACGAAGCCGCCGCTTTGAAGCTTAAAATTATAAGAGCTATTTGGAGTAGCAATACTGCAACACAAATATATCTGCCATATAACTACTACATACCCAGGATAGCTGACTATTGCGGGATTCTTTTATATCGCAAAATTTTAAATTCAAAAGTTGTTTGAATGTGCTACTTGCGATTATAATAGTTGCGGTTAACTTGTTAGGCAACATAATGTCAAATTTTTGGAAGAATTGTACGACCAAAAATATAGTGCATTTATTGCTTTGACGTTTCAAATATTTTACAGTACCTTATCCGCAGACCTTCGCAGGATCGTGATAAAACCCATCCCAACAGATGTTTACTCTGCATTAAGTAGGTGTTGCCTGAGATAGACCGTAATTGTTTTAAATTTGATTAAGCATTGATGCTGCTGGGTATTTTCGAATAATTAGAAGCGTTTATTTTAACACCAGGTGATATGTGTCGTTCTTAAGAGTTTAGTCTAAATTGCAATATGTACATATTTCGGAGGTATTTGCTGTTTTCACTGGATAGTTCAAAGGGTAAGGGCAAGTACCTGTACTCTACTTATTGTATAGGTAAGTTTGAAAATAATCATTTTTGTCTTGTGTGCCTATCGATTAACAACATTCTTCTTCTGGTATTTTTGTGTCTTCGATTTGTAAACAACAGTCTTTTTTACATCATAAGAATAAAGATAAATATTTACTAGAATCTTATAACACTAAATTGTGGACACCTTGGAATGAAGCGGATGTTCCCCTGTTAGAAGACGGCATGGACAACAAAGCAGTGGAAATGGTCGTCGAACCTAATGACCATTTTTGAAGACGAACTACCTCAGCAAATAAAAAAACGGATCCATTTTTCTTCGGATGCTAAACAAATTGTTTCGAATATTTACAATTTTATAAGGAAATCAGAAAGACAAGTAGGAGCAGGGATAAAACAAGTAACATGACCAAAGTTGATAGTCATGGGATAGTCAAGAGGAAAGTGAGTACTTCACAAGTATTTAACGAGCAACACGCAGATCTTATCAGGCTACGACGCTTATAAAGTGAATAATATTTTAACTCTACAAGAACTGCATAAAAAAGTACTGATAGACTTAAACATTAGTTGTGTCAAAGAGGCGTTGCGTACTTAACATAGAAAAGGCATAATAATTTTTCATGCTGGGTCCAAAAATGTTTGGGTGGAACATGCTTTATTTTTGTCTGCCAAAAACGGCAAAGATTCAAGTGTGGATAACCATGAAAATAACCTGTTGCCAAAACTATCGCCAAATACTGTTATTGTGTTGGATACTGCCTCGTGTCATTCAGCCCAAATGAGATAAATTCCAAATGATTCTTCAAATAAAGAAGATATTAAAGAATTTCTGTACGAAAATGACTACACAACTTCTGGAATTATTAAAAATAAAACATTTTTATAAAGACTACAAAATCGATTCTATAACACAACAAAACGGACATGAAATATTAAATTACCCTCGTAGCAGTGTATATTTAACCCGATATAAGAAGAAATAACACTGCACAAAAATTAAGTAATAGTATCATAAACGTAATTCGGCAAGAGGTACCTCAAATATCAGTTCAAACCTGGTATAACTGTGAAAAACGAGTAATAAGAGAAGAAAATATTTATCGAGAATGATTAGTGGCGGAGTTGATCATTGATCATTGAATAAAATGTTACTTTGTACTAATTTTTTTATGTACATGCTTCAATAATTGCTCGGCGAAAAAGATTGAAAACGTACTTATATCTTGCTTGTTAGGTAGATAAATTCCTAGGACGGTCCTCGACTTGCTACGGGTAAGGGTCTGCTCGGCAGGGTGTTCTATAAGGGGTAAAGTTAATCACGGTTGTAAAAGCACTATATTTCTGGTCGAAGTATATATATGGGGATATAAAACAATCCCGCAATTATGAGCAGAGTACCTGTCTGACTTTATTACCTGAAAATATCGTTATTATCACGTCCAGTGCCGAAAGACCCGTTTCGGGCACCAAAAATGTATCACAAAACGTGGTATATATCACAAACAAAAGTGCGCACTGGCTCACAGAGTTAAGCGGCAACTTGTGACTTCGAAAATTCGTCGAGATCTTGATCGCTTGACCTATGAGTAAAGGCAACAGTACGGTCGTCGATAACTGAACTACCGTGCTCAGTAAAGGAACGATAGTTGTAGAGCCCAGCTGAAATTAGCAGTTAATTAAATTAATTTTATCGCTTTTTGTTTCATTTCATTCCCGCATCAGTTCAACATAACCAGACCAGTTGTTTTGCATTGCAATTTTTATTTAAATCGTTATTTATGGCTTATAGGGGAAAATTGAGAAATAAAAAACAACCGTTATGTAAGTTTTGTTTTTGTAACGTTTTTTAGTTGGCAATGTAGAATTTACTTGCAAATTCAATTATTTTAAATAATTATCAGTAATGATTCCTCAGACTTACGTAAAACCCTATTGAATAAACAATAAAAAATTCAAGAGGAATTTTTAGTTTTGGTAAAAGTATCAGTTTTAGCTTTAATTTTTATATAATATTATATAGTTTACGTTCTATATAAGTAATGTACTTTTATAGTTATACAAGTATGATGAAATCTTTTCCATAACAAAACAATACAATACCATAATGTCTTGGACAATAATTCAACCATAAACGTTGTTTACTAATATGTCAAACATAAACATATTTTTATTTGTCAGTCAGGGCACTCTTTGAAATTCCATAAAAAATTTCAATTTTTGTCGATTTGTCAAAAACGAGAGTACCAAAATATAAAGTGTGTTACATCATTGTAGTCGGAATAAGATATTCTGTTAAACACATGTATAATATACAGGGTGCTCCATTTAAAAAAAATATGATGTAGGCTTATATGTCAGAACATTGATAGTGTTTTGTTTTATACGTCAGTTGGAAAAAAATGTTGCTACCAACCCTACATTTTGTTTTCTTGTTTATCTTGATATCTCTAAAAACAAAAAAGTTACAGTCAATTAAAATGTTATCAAGATAAATTATACGTACGGTACACCAAAAATATTACGAATAACTCTGCACAATTTGTAGACAAGAAAGCCAACCACTTGGCGCTCCAAAAAATAGTTCTGAACAATAGCGTTTTTAAATTAAAAATCTCAATGTACTACCGAGTGAGTTCAGATTTGACCACCAGGTGGCGTATCGCTTATTATTAAAACCCAATATATCACAGGATTCAAAAATACGTTACATTTTCTACATTATTGCGAAATAAATGAAAAAATAATGGTAAGGTCTATTAGTTTTTATTACATTTTTTATATACAAATTATGTAATATGGTAACTTTATACATATAGGTAAATTTATTTAAAATCCTACCGGGAAATTGGGATGGAGATAAATATACATTTGAAAAATGTCAACTTTATGGTGGCTTCAATATAAAAAAGAACTAAACTATTTAATAACAATTAACAACTTAGAACTCCAATTAATGTCACTTTTAGTGTTGCAAAACCGTGCACGAGAGCACACTAAATATTAAGTTTATTCAGCGAAAAGAAAGAAAAGTGCTTCGACATTTTACAAAGTCTAAATTTGATATAAAGAACGATTTTTTCTTCTAACCGCAGTGTAAACGTTAATAAACATAAATGTTAGTGCTAGTTAGATACCACCAAATGTTCCTTACAACATTGCTATTTTTAATTAAAACCTTATTACTAATGGGAGCATATTCATAATTGCTTATGCTCCACGCGTCATTTATATAACGTGAGAATTTGCCCAATTATTTTAAGGTATAAATTTGAAATTCATTACTTCTTGCGTTAAAAATAACTAATTTGTCCTAAACATCAATAGTTTCGACAATGGAAAAGTCTTTAAAGGAGACTCAGTGCATCTGTGACGGTTGATATTGATCATGATAATATAATGACAGTACCGCGCTAAAAATTGATGCGTCCCAGGTGGCTATGATACTTTCTTACATTGTTGCAACATTGTCGTTTTCCCTGGAAAAGTTATTTTTACGAAAACAATGTCTTTCAAATTTGGACCATTTTGGTCTTTTGTGATTATTTCTTTGCGTTTATCATGCCTTTGGAAAAAGGTGGCCCATTTGATAACTCGTTTGCGGTCGGTAACGAAAAGGTTGCCTTATGTATATGCTAATTTAAGATTTAAATGTGGTTTATCTTGGACTCCGATATCTATATGGTTGCTATAGCTCAGACCATTTAAACCTTTAATCGTGGCCGTTTAGTGACAGTCTACGGAAATTAGGTGTCTTCGGGATCGCACTAATCGTAATAATTGAACAATTTTAAAGTAGGTATCTATTTTGACAATTGTAAAAATTACACATTTACTCAAATTCTAAATTCTGGAGTATTTGAAAAGTAGTCAAAATTTAAAGGGATTGTACATATTAGAAAAAAACCCAAACTAATAAGCAGTATACAAATACATTCGAGTAAAACAAGTGAAAATAACAATAATTATCACAGTCTAATACACACACACACACACACACACACACGCTACTAACAAATCACAAGACAGAGAGGGAAATATATGCTTTCATAGTTACGTGCGACAAATAAACACAAGTGTTTATGATATGAAAAGTTTAATTGGCCTGGACACGCTTGAAAATGTATACGATTCGGAGGAAGCTGTTAATTGTTACTTTAATAGTTCTTGTTTTTTTAAACCACCATTCTATTTGCAAGCCATTAAATTCGTTGTAGGCCGCACACGCAACAGTCTTATCGATTACAATACACAACTTCGACCTACTGAAACCTAAACACTAATTACGGCACAGTGGCGTCGTATTTGAGGATGCCCCTACAAATCAGAGTAAACTCCAAAACGGCGTCGCACAGCTTCCGTTTGTTCGCTTTCTCCCGCAAAACCGTTTTAACGAAAGCCTCCTTCTGTTGCGCGCTGATCTTCGACGAAGGGAAATTTTCCTGCGCCAGCAAAGCGTTCAACCACCGAGTCAGACTATCACAGTACTTCTTGTTCAATGTCAGTATTATGTCACTGTACATCTCTATCGTGAGCCGGGGGGCCGTCGTCCCCAAATTTAACAAAATCCTTAAAACTAAACCCTGACCGTGATTGTGGACGATTTCCGATCGGGACACCTCCCGGCTTTGGGTGATGAAGTTCACCAGAAAACTCGACACGGCCTTGATCGTTTGCGTTTCGGGCAGCGTCAGACACAAAATGGCGCACTGAAACACCCCCACCACGTCGATCTCGTTGCACAGAATCAGCTGCGGTAGCTTTTTGGTTAGTTGCGACATCATCGTAAAAAATCCTTCGAGTATGTCGCTGATGTCGGACAACTGGTTATTGCTGTTACACCGAGCGCACAGCTGCAAAGTCGTGTTGCATATCTCGCTGACCAGTTGCCGGTTAATAGTTCTGAACGCGTCTTCTCTACCGAACAGTATCACCACGGTCTCCACCACTACCAAGACGTGTCCCTGTGGACACTCACGATATATCTGCACCACGATCTCCAATATATCGCTCACCAACGGTTTGCACTCGTCTTTTAAATTGGTCACGCCGTATTTTAACAGAGAGCTTAAGTCAGTCATAACCTCCACGTTGCGACAGTACCTTTCGGCTATTAACCTATATAAGGGCATCGTAGTTCGCATCAAAACGAATATAGGTTGATCCGCTTTTTCGTCGGTTTCGACGTGCAGCGAGCCGAACAGCGCCGCCAATATTTTCAGCTTCGTCATGATGAAAGTCGTCACGCTGACACTAGGTTCGGCATTCACGAGCTTCTGGAGATCTTGGAATGTCGGCGCAAGAATGTCGTTCAGATACCTCATCACTTTGTCCACTGGCGCGACGCTCAGCACTCTGCCAATACTAAACATCAATCTCCGACACTCGCTAAGCTTCAAGGCCCCACTCTGCAACGCCGTTTGAGCGGACATTAAAATATGATCCGTGTAGGGCACTACGAACTTTTGGCAACTTTGAGTGATGTCTTTCAACGCCATCGTCGAACTCGTAGCGACCTCCGGATTGCCCAAAGCCGATACCACCAATGGAAACACACTAGTTAACACTTCCGGGTGATCGGACAACCATTCCGAATAAGACCCGACCGTTTCCAATGCTGTCGTCAACACTTTTACCCGCAGCACGTTAAAGGGGATACTTTTGATGGTCGCCATTAATTTGGGTAGGTATAAATTTTCCATTTCGATACTCTCAGCCACTGCACCGAACGCGTGCAGGCACGTTTCGATTTCGTTCCACTTCAAAGGCTCTGCACCCGAGTTGGTCGGGCTAGGAGCCAACGATTCGTTCAGTCTAACGGTCAGTATATCCAGCATTTCCAAATTCAAAACGTTGTAACAGTAGATGAAAGTGTCGGCAATGTCTTGCCGATAGCACCGAAACACCTCTTTATCGTCCAGGGACCATCCGCTGTCGTCAATTGGAAGCAAAGACTTGCGCAGCAATATGCACACCAAGTTCCTGTAGTATGGTTTAATTAAAAGTAACAGCTGGGCACATTGGGCAGTATCCAACCCCAGTATGTCGTCTTGCAGAGTATACCAGAAGCCAAATGTTAGGGTGCTCGCCGATTCATCCACGGGATAAAGACCGGGCAAATCTGTACACTTTAAGATACAGTGGAAAAGATCAAAGCTAACCTTTTGCTCTTCCGTGTTGTTGAGGTTAAGATTCTCTATAAATATTTTCGAATGGGTATCCGCTAAAGTTATAATTAATCCATAAAGATTGGCCACTACATCTTTATTTAGATCGTTACAAGAACGTTCGGCATCCAGAATCTTCTCAAATTTGTACAATATAGAAGCCGCGTGCTTGTTGACACTGTTCCTGAACCTAGTTGTGTGCGGGTGTTGAATTACAGCGGTAAGTGCCTCAACTGTGACTTCCGTCAATTCGATTTCTTCGCCCGATAGGCATTCGGGGTCGCCTTTGTGCCAATAAACGAAACAAGTTAAATCTATCAAGAGGTCTATGATAGAGCCACACTCTTCAATATTCAACCCACCCAACTGGATCCAAGCGGAAGCGCATCTTGTAGCGTTCAAGTACGTAATTAAATTTAGAATATCAAAGCCTTGCGTCGGCAGAGGCATTAAACACATCTCTACTACTTTTAAAATATCTTTGGACACTTCTTGCAGAACCACTCGCACGCGATTTCTCTGACTTACTGACATCGTGGTACTTTGAAACTCTTCCGGTATCACAGTCAAAATTTCCAAAAGAATCCAAATCACCCGTTCCGGTTCTACGTTAGGTAAATGTTGGGGCTGAAAACTGGACACCAATTCTTCGAACGCTTTCGGCCAGTGCGTTGGTATAGTGTGGATAATATACGCGGATAAGGCGATACATAAACGATTTAAAACAATTTTGGGCCCCATTGCATAACCTATAATCGCTTCCAAAATTCGTTTTTTGAGCGGCTCGTAGTGATCTTCGGGAACTTCGTTCCAGTATTTCATAAGTTTGGTATGTAGAGTGGTGGCGGCGAAAAACTGGACTTGAAAACTCCGCTGGGGACTCAATAATTCCCAGACAAAACTCCATGCTTGGGACGAATTCTGTGCTTCAGTTAACCACTGGTGTGCTTCGACTTGCTGTTGCGCTTCCGTTCGATAAAATAATGTTACGGCTTTGTCTAAATTTTCGACGGTATACTCCATATTTGTTTTAAAGCTAATTTTCCAAAATATTTTTTACAAACTTCACATTTTCAACTGTACCACAGAATACGGACGTTTCACCAACCGCTAGAAGGGGTTGACTTTGACAAGGAACAAAATGAAGAAATGTGAGAGTTAAACCCTAACCTCAACAAACGAAAAACGGTTTATCTATGATTAAAATACTTGATTCTTCAAGGCAACAAAATTCTGCAATAGCCAAATTTTCCTTAAAAGTTGACTAGAAATGCTTTCATCTAGACTAATTTTCACTCTTAATAGAAACTTACATTAAATAGAAGAGATATGGGAGTTATAATTATTCCCAGAAAACTTCCCACTACGGAATTGAAAATTGCAGCTGTTTCGTTTCCTTGTGCTGCTCTGGTTAATATGACTGCACTTGAAACTGGTGGGGGCATACATGCCACTGTCACCAACCTAGAAATGTGCCCAAATAAAAGACGATACTTGATTGATGACCCTTTTTACCCCTTCAAAATCCAAGAATTGATTCCAAACGTCGACAAAAACGTAGTAAAACACCGAGTAAAAATTGGAATGAAGACAAATGTAAAGCATTGTATAAATAAATGCAACTTGTGTTGTTGGAAAGTGTGGAAAATATTTTCAGTTTTAAGAGACAACCCGCTTATTAAGAACATGAGAAACACCGCTCCGTATTTCACAGAATATTCCGTATTTAAAGGCCCTAAAAACAGTAATTTGGAGTACTCAAGATAGCAATAAAAACCGATCAACCTTCTTTGGAACCCAGTTTGGGATAAATTCCGGCCAGAAATATACAGCATAATATACCCACCAAGAGCCAATTTTTTTTAAGAAAATCGGCGGGTGTTATTCGGTGTCGCATTTTAACGAGAAACGATTTTACACCATCTCTTAGTCTTTGTTTAGAAATGATGATAGGTTAGGTTTGTTGCTGCATTATATTTTCTTTAATATACTTGTTCTTCTTCTTTAATTTTGAAGTCTGGAAACACGGTAACATTGATAACACTACACGAACTAATTTGCAAACAAAAATTTTCATAGGGTATTTAAATTATGTATGTGAACATTTTGATTTGTCCTACGTTCGCTTCAGGGAAATGACATTTTCCGCGCATGCTCTTAAATTGCACGTACTAACCTCTGTTTTTGTGCGAACTCATAGGCAGCGCACTTCACACACTTACGTCATTTTCCTCGAACATTTAACGACACCTGAACATATTTTGATTAAATGCTGCCCTAAAAATGCTATATTTAAACTTAAATTTGTCGAACTGCCGAACTGTCAGCCTCCATGTTGGTGGTGGAACGCTGCTAGGCAACACAACCTCCGCAATAAGCCGGTTTTATGTACGACGAAAACAACGACATTGGCGAAAACGGGTGAATAATTTAGTCATCGTTACTAGCATCAGAATTAGTGTGTGAGATTAAAATATTTGCGTTATTATCTCTAGTGTTTTTTTAATATTAATAGTATGATTATTGTATAAACAACGTTAAAACAACACCTGTAGTAAAAGGTTTTTATGAAAATCTGTAGTAGACAATCAAATGGCTACAAAGTTGTTGTTAATGTGTGTGGGATATTTACTAAATATTTAAACTGGGGACTGTAATAATTAGGGCTTGCGCTTCGTATGTTTTCTTTTTAATATAATTATAGTAAACACTTAGCTGTGTTCTGAACTGTAAGGGGAATTATAAGAATGGACAGAGTGGCAAAAATTAATTTAAGCAATAAAAAGAGAAGATTGACTCTGACAAGATGCGCTATAAAGTTAAAAATGTTCTACTATTATCCATTTTAACTCAATGAAATTGAGAGAATTACAACCTGCAATGTTGAAATACATATATATAAAAGCCGCATTTGAAAAAACAGTAGTTTTTATTACCTATTTTTTTTTAATTCAGTGCTAACAATATATAATGTGTTTTAGTGTTCATGGCACAAAGACAATTATTTAATTAAGTTTTAATTAAAGCTGACTTCTGCCAAAGAATTATATTAAAAATATAATGATTAAGTCTTTATGAAAACAACGCCACATTTAAAGTGCGTCTCAAGCCCTTCTTCGCACCTCTTGAAGCCCTTCTTAAAATTTAATTTTACTTAATCCTAATTAAATAATTTGGTTATCAAAAATACTTACAAAAATATGTTTTTCATATGATTCATAAAAAAAAGTCTACGCACTGTACGAACTTTTTGTGTAATTTTTAAACATTAAAATATATATTTTTAGCTTTTTTCACCTATGTTTGATATTACAAACGCCACAGACGCAGATATATAGCTTCTTTAAGCTGTCTCATATTTTTCTGGGTCTCATTGGTTGAAAACTGGATTTCAAAAGACCCCGCATGGGCATATTAAATGTCACATCTTAATTTTTTTTTCACTTCACTGATATAGGTAGCTAACCTTTTGATTTTGCATTAGCATTTTTAGTGACTCGGAAATGCTACTATTATAGAATTAATTGGGAATCAGATTTTTTTAATGTAAAGTTTAAATTTGTAAGTACAAAATGCTAAACAACACAGGTTTAATTTGTGTGTGTACTCCTATGTTCTAAGTTTTTAGGCATGTTAATTCTATGCTCATTATGGTGGTACTCTGTAAAATCATAATATAATTTAAAGAGAGCTTATATATTGATACTTGGTATCTTACGTTTTATAAGTAAATAATTACTTATTGAGTTATATATAAATATCATTATACAGGGTGCCTGCCAAAAATCTAACTGCTAATTCCACTTGAAAAACTCAAAAATTATATGGAATAATACTGCCAAACAAATGCTTTCACGAAGTTTCCTTAATAACTTTATTTCTAGTTTGCCAAATAACTTTAAATTTAGCACACTAATGACTTAATGCTCTTTTGCACTTTCAGACCAAATTTGACGTACAACCCTTGTGAATTTATCATGCACCTGGTAAAAATAAATCACTATTTTGGTATACGTTACTTACTGCCACAAAAATTTGTTTTTTCTTCAAGAAATAAAATATATTGGTTAAATGTGCAATTCAAACAACAGAAAAAGTCTGAGAATATGGGTTAGTTAGTTTTTTTTATCATTGAGGCTGTTTTCTGACTTGGTTAAAAAAAATTCGGAACATTCACGCTTCCAAACAAATATTACCAATAATTTATTTATAAAAATGTAAAACATCAATCAATTCGACGCAGATTTTCACACGTATGACAAAACCTAAGTAAAACGATACGGCAAGTACAAAAACATTTTTAAAACTTAAAAAATATGACGAAATAAGTAATCAGCCTTGCTAAATTTGCTCAGGATACGCTAGAGGTCGGTTTGATCGAATCTTACTTTTCTGGTCACTTCGGCAGCGTTGCAATCGGCCAGATTTCCCTCCAGACTTTGCACCATCGAACTGGTAAAACTGAACCTGTCGGAATCGTTATCCGTGGATTCCGACACCACGGAGCTGGTATCGAAATCCGCGCACCTCTTCGCCCCCACGAATTTGATCTCACCGTCTTGCTCGATGTACACGCCCCTCGAATTCGATCCGACGTACTTGAACTTGGCCAATTCCAACCTCGAGGTCGGAGGCGGCGACTCCTCCCTGCACGTTGCGTCATCTATCCTCAAAAACTCGATAGCGGCAAACTGGACGACGTAAAGGTATCGCTTGGCTTTATGGAAAGCTAGGGGTAAGCGAGACGACTTCAACTCTCCGGGTCTGGAGGCGCGGCCGTATTCGTCGACGAAAACGGAAAACTCGTGAAACGACAACAGGTACTCCTTCGGGTCGTCGGAAATCTGTAATACCGACAGCGGAAACGAGCCCAACTGGTAGCACTTGATAGCTTGTCTCAGGTGAACGTCGGAGGCATCCAAGAACTCCTCGGCTTGGAAAGTGTTTAGGTCGATTTCGAAGAACTTGTCCGCGCCCACTATGAGGCTGTGTGCGGTGAACAGGAGACAACTGGTGGGTCGTGCGGTATCCAGGATCCGCAGCGGAACGAACTCGTTACGGTCGAAAGAGTACTCCAATATGACCACTTGTTTGGCGGTGGCGACGCACGTTTTGTTCTGCGACGGGTGTTGAGACACCTGCAAATCTCTGGCTTATTTTTCGTTCGACATAAATTAGATAGGTCAGCAGAAATTGCCAGAAACGCTTTTTAAATGCCCATCTGGAGCGACAATACGCTTAAAAACAATATAAGGGGTATTTTACTCTGCACCTGCTTATATATCGTTTGAGGGGGGCGAACCTAAATGAGGGGCATAAACACCGCTCGGATGACTGATTCCCGTATTGTTGTTTTTCGTGGTTTCGTGATTGTGTTCGGCAACTGCCGATCAGTTTATTTGTCTTAGTCGTAAGGCTCTTCCATGTTCTTTGTGCCTAGTTGATATTCTTCGTCCGGTCTCTGCGATGTACTCTTTGCCGCATATGTATCTCAAATGAAATTTTGTCTTTGACGGATCGAAGATGTTGAGGGATTTTTGGTAAAAAGTGATAAATCTGGTTTCGACGTTATGTTTCTTTAGAATTCTTTATATGTGGTCAGTGATGTTTTTAATGCAAGGAAGGACAATATGGGCAACGCTATTCGAAGGTTGTGGTGAAGTGTATTTCGTCATGGAACGCTTAATATCTTTAATGTGGAAATTATTAGAGAAAAGAGCAGAGCGACTCTGTAAATAAGAGACTTGGTAAGCTTTCTGTAAACACAACGACTCAATGTTAGGTCTAATTTTCTATTGATAGAATAGACCAGAATAGAATTTATTGACCACGTTCTGTTCATACAATTATGGCAAGTTATAAATGCAATATAAATAAGAACTAAAAGTTCATATTTTCACAAAATTATATATCTTTATCAAATCACATTTGACACTTCTTCACAGCGGAAGTACCCATGTATTCCCCGACCGAGTAAAAGCAGTGCGGTTTAAGAATGGTTAAGATGTTTTTTTTTTAATTTCCTATTACTTAGAACGTTCATGTTGGCTAGCAATTTATTGCACAAGTTTAAGTTCAGTGATTTTTTTTTAATTTTGGTATATTTGAATCTTGAAGCACGAAGTAGCTTGTAATATTTCTAGTTAAATAGTCATGGTAAGAGGAGTTCTAACTGAAGCTGTCTATGCTTTTGTGTATTTCTAATAATTGATAATAAATATACAGACAAGGAAGTGGCATAACTTCCAACTTCTTAAAAATTGGTTAACAGTGTTCCAGATAACCTGCACCGGCAATTAAACGAACAACTTTCTCTTGGAGTTTAAATAGCTGGTCTGCTGTGGCAAAATTACCCCAGAGAACTATGCCGTAAGTTAGATGAGAGTGAAAAAGAGAAAAATAGGTTACTCCCAATGTGTCCACAGTAACGAGTCCTTTAAGTTTACAGATTATAAAAATATTAGAGGCAAGTTTTTTACACAATATGTTAATATGAGGGGCCCAATTTAAACTATCGTCAAGCGTTACTCCGCGTAGATTATTATTAGTCGAGAAACAAGATGTTGTGTCTTATCTGTGATTAGTTTAAGGTTATTGTTGATGAACCAAAGTTCCGCCATCTGCTCAATCTTATCAACATTGTGCATAAGTTCGTTGGAATCATTGCCGTAAGTCACAAACGATGTATCGGGAACAGAAAATAATAGAAGTCACGACCCTCAACTCAACTTATTGTTAAAGACGACACACTGTCTTCTGTCAGTTAAATATGACTGGATAAGATCCTGAGGGTGACCGCGGACACCATATCTGCCAAGCTTCTGCAGAAGCAGAATATCTAAGAATGAGGGTTATCATTGGTTTTCAATTTAACGGTAAAACGTATGTTAGGGTGTATAAAGTTTAAATGTCTAAGAAAGAAAATCTACTAGAGATTCTTAACCGTGAACCCCAATAACAAAAGTTTCATCGATGTAGCGTTTCCATAATTTTGGTTTTAGATCGAAGGTGTCGAGAGCTTTCTTCTCAAATATATTCGCGATGACTGGTGATGGTCGAGAACCCATAGCTGTTCCCGACATTTTGCTCAAAAATTTGACCTTTATAAGAACAATATCTTCCAGACAAGCATTACGCCATTAATAATAATGGAATGATACACGCTTCAACGAAGCATTCAAATCATTAAAATTCACTATAAAAATGGCGAAAATTTAGTAGCGACGCACTTTGTCAGTAATTCTTCTTCTTCTTAAGGTGCCTTATCCAATTAGGATGTTTTTTAGCCATGAGTGTTTTTTCCTTCCGATGCCTCGTTTTCCTTCTATCTTTCCTTCCATTATAAGTTGTAAGAACTGGTACTTGGAATTTCGAAAATATAGGACCCAGATAGGCACATTTTTCTTCTTTTTATTATTGGCAACAATTCTCTTTCTCTGCCCATTCGATTTAATACTTCAACATTTGTTGTGTGATCTATAGTAGTATGGAGTAAATGTAAAATTTTACAATAAAATTTTATGATATCGAAGCATTATGTTAAGGCCACTGTTGCTTAGCAAGGTTCCTGCTACGCATCTTTAAGTCTGGATCTAAATCTTCAGTTATCAAACTACTGAGATATCTGAATTTGGTAGAAAAATTTGGGCTGTTGGACAAGGTAGTGATGTGAACGTCGCTCACGAACATTTGCGAATATTGTTGCTGTAGCCCAAGACTTGGGTCTTAAGACTTATAAAGCGCTACGTCCCAGACAAGCAACGAAACCATCGATCTTTCACAAAATTGGTCACCCAGATCTTGGGATTTAACACCTTATGATTTCTTCCTTTGGGCCACGTGAAAGACCTACGCCAATAGCCTAGTATCGACTCAGGATCTCAAAAATGTCCTGTAAGCGTAGCAGTGGTGGCCATTTAGCCGACATTGTTTTCCATTATTAATGGCATACCTTCCTTTTTACATTGAAACAATCATGGGATCACTTATCGCAGAAAATGCCATTTCTCTATGAATATAAAAATACCACCTTTTATTGGAAGCAATTCGTTTTTGTATTGAAAACGCAATATAAATAATTGCAGTTACGTGAAAAATATTTAAGAGTACAAGAGTTCTTATTGTGAATTGTTACAGGTCATCAAAATTATTTGTAAATGTGCTTGAACAGGTCACGGAGGAAATCTTTATCAGTAATTGATGATTTGCGGTGGCATAGTCGGTCATAAAATTAAGAGGGAAGGTTCCTCGACAGAGATAGCATCTCTTACCGGATACCAATAGTTTCCACTACAAAACAGGTTCGATTTTTGGAAAATTGCAGTGGAAACTCGAAACGCCGCCTTTAGTTATTACAGATACTGCACGATATCATTCTAGACTTACTGAAAGTGTACCAAATGCATCGACAAGAAAAAAAGTAAAATGCGAGTTGTTAAAAATTGCCAAAAATTACAAAACAAACTTGCCGTATGCTACAGACAAAATACTCGAGCTCAGTGCAAAACATATTTTATTAAAAATATTGTAGGTAAGGCAAGGCACGATGATACTGCGGTAGGAAGGCAGTTTTCCAGACAGTTACCGAAGAAAATTTAATCAGTCGTATAAGATAATATATAAATGAATACTGGGAAAAAGAGAATACTCTTATTATTTTAGACGAAAGATCATTTTCTAGTAGTAGCAGTTCCGATGTTCTCAATATGGGTAAGATATTTAGAGACAAAAATAAAAAATGTGTCAAAAATTATAGACCTATAACTGCACCGTCTGTATTTCCAAAAATATTAGAATACGCATTCAACAATCGACTCTTTGCTTTTTTAATGCAAAATAAAATAATATAAACAACTCAATGCGGTTTTCAAAGTGGTTATAAATACAATGACAGTAGTACCCTCATTCTATAAATGAATGATGATAAATAAACACAACATTGATAAGGAAACCAGATGTTTTTTTAGATCGAGCACTTGGTTTACTTCCACTTAGGACCTTCTGGAAGAGGATATCACTGTTTTGTAACATTCAGACTAGAACTTAAAGCTAAGACAAAATGATTAAATGGAACATTTGGTACATGCTGTTGAAAAGGACCTGAAGCCAAAACGACGAAAGCTGCCACAATCAACCGTCCAGAAGCACCAGCTCCATATCGTAATTGAAAACATCAGGGGATCTGAAAAAGCACAAAAATAAGAGGAGTAAGAACGATTTTACTTTTGTTATATTATTTAGAAACCTTATCCTCCAACTTTACAGCTTCAGTGAAACTGCATTTTTGCATTCTATGTTCTAATTGGTTCTAATTGTTAATATAATGTTTGAGGGGGCGGAGCTAAACATGAACATGGTCTCCGATGACTCATTCGTATATTGATATAAGGTAAAAACCTATGATGTGCATAATTATTTAGTAATACCTAAGTAACATCTGCTGAACGATGGTGATTTTGATCAACCACAACCAACATCAATCGCAGCTATGGTGCTTTTACTTAGAGGTATTTATTTTGTGGTTATGTTGAAATATGACAACTGTGCTAGACAGGATTTTCACAAATTTGGGATACTAGTTCCTAAATAATTGAATGTGAATCTGAAAACGAGGAACTTTTATTACAAAGGTGATGCTCAATGTACCGTCCATTGAGAAACAACAAAGCCATTTTGTTTAGTGATTATTTGCATCAGTTGTGCAAGCCCTGTGTCTTTAATGGAAGGAAGATATTGAGCGATTTTTGGACAAATAGTAGACCTGGTTTTAACATTATTTTTTTCAAGAACGTGTGATATGTCGTCAGGGGTTGCTTTCGGGCTCTTTTCTTTTGGCCGTTCGTGGGCTAAGTGTATTTTATTAAATTATAGCCATTTTTATCAAAAAATATTAAATCTCCTCTCTTCAATAAGAAGTGTTAAATAGAAGCAACTCTGACGTATTTTTCCCCTGGCGGCCAAAATCGGAACTTAAAACATACTCCTCGCAATTTTTCTGGGTAGCTTTGTTTCCATAAGAAGTTCAACTTTTTCCTCTGTGAAAAAGTTCGATCGTAATGGCTAAATGACAAATAAAAAATTATAGGTTAACATATTTTACGCCCAAATGAAATAGTGTCTTACAAAAAAAATTATATTTATCACTATCGTAATGGCTAAGAGCTAAGATCCATGGTGTCAATTTTTTTATTACTGACTGAAGGACACAAATAAAAAATTATAGGTTAACATATTTTACGCCCAAATGAAATAGTGTCTTACAAAAAAATTGATATTTATCACTAGTCCGATGATTACAAGTTTATTGATCATTCGCCCAGAAAATACTTTGCTCTTATTTTACTTATTATTGTGCATATAGACATATTTTTCGGTATATAGATATTTGTACATACATAAATAAATTTTTATTGAAATTTTTGAAAAAAAAATTATATTAATGATAATTATCTATAAAAATTGGTGGAATAAGTTGAACAAAAAAAAATTTTTTCTCCCAATTTTCGATAGGCTATTCATATAGGTGAATCAATAAACGAATATACGAGTGGGTGGGTGGGTGTTTTGAAGGGTAGAGGGGTAGATAAAATAAGTTGCAAAAATAATTTTGATTTTTTTCAAACTATTGATAGGTAATGACGACAGTAATAGAAAAGTAATAGAGGTACGCAGAAGTATTAAGAGGGTGATAAGGATGCGCAGTGATTATAGGTAGGTAGAAGGAATGCGCAGTAGCAATAGAGATGCGTAATAATGACAGAAATGTGACTAAGATTAATTATTAATGATTAATTAAAGCTAATTCCAATTGATATTAATTAATGCTTCAATAATTAGTAATTTAGTACAAAATTAAAAATAATATTAATTAATGAATGCTAATTTTTTTAACATAGTAAAGAAAAACTTTTGGGGTGTGCTTTTTAGTTGTGTGCCTATTTTGTGAAATAAAAATTATGATTCATTTCATAAGTTCAAGTAGCTATTGTAAGCGTAAGTAGAAAACCAGATAATTGTAAAATACTGTAATCAAACATATCCGTATGCCCCATACTTGGGTTGGGGGACAACAATGATCATATCATTTTTTGTTTTATATTTGTTATACAATCATTTCAAGATTAAACTAAGAAATTTACTGTTAGTAATAAATTTTTGATTATCACCAAATCAACGTGTTTCACACCTGACCAGCTTCGTAGCTATTACGATCGAACTTTTTCGCAGAGGAAGAAGTTGAGAGTCTCGTGGAAACGAAGCTACACAAAAATTCAGCTTGTTATAATATATCTCAAAAAACAGGCTCCGGGCCATAGACTACTACCATATCGCGAATTAAATTGGAACGTTTGGGAAAAAAATCGTATTGAGGAAGTCGATCTCGCGAAATTGCTAGGAGTATGTTTTAAGTTCCGATCTTGGCCGCCAGGGGTCGCATAAAAAAAGGCAAACTTCTCAGTGTAGGTGGAGAAAAAATACGTCAGAGTTGCCACAATTTAACACTTCTTATTGAAGAGGAGACAATTAATATTTCTTGATAAAAGTGTCTATAATTTAATAAAATACTCTTAGTTCTTGAAAAAGATAATGTTAAAACCACGTTTACTATTTGTCCAAAAATCTTTCCATATTTTCCATCCACCAAAGGCAAAGGGCTTGCACGACTGTTGCAAATAATCACTAAGCAGTGGACGGTACATTCAGCATCTTTGTAATAAAAGTTCCTCGTTTTTAGGGAGAGGTTCATCTTTTTCAGATTCGCATTCAATTATTTAGGAACTAGGATCCCAAATTTGTGAAAATCCTCTCTAGCACATTTATCATATTTCAACATAACCACAAAAAAATACCTCTAAGTAAAAGCACCATAGCTACGATTGATGTTAGTTGTGGTTGATCAAAATCACCATTGATCAGCAGATCTTACTTAGGCATCACTAAATAGTTATGCACATGATCGGTTTTTACTTTTCATCAATATGCGAATGAGTCATGTTTGGCTCCGCCTCCTCAAACATTATATACATAATTAGAACCAATTAGAACGTAGAATGCAAAAATGCAGTTCCATTGAAGCTGTAAAGTTGGAGGAGAAGGTTTCTAAATAATATAACAAAAGTAAAATCGTTCTTACTCCTCTTCTTATTGTGCTATTTCAGATCCCCTGATGTTTTCAATTACGATATGTAGCTGGTGCTTCTGGACGGTTGATTGTGGCAGCTTTCGTCGTTTTGGATTCAGGTCCTTTTCAACAGCATGTACCATATTTTAATCATTTTTTCTTAGCTTTAAGTTCTAGTACTCAATGTTACAAAACAGTGATATCAAGTTCCGGATTTCTTTATCGGTAGAGTTGTTCGGTGTCGTAGCATCCATATTTACCTGCAAAATGTGAAATCCGCACAAACCGTTCACCGAAACCGTCTTGTACTTCAACGTCGGTTTGGTGCAGGACGCGCACTGGGCCAAATTGATTAAATGGTTTAGGTCGCACGATACGAGTACTGATTTTTGTTCCGCTATCATCAGCACTACGTTGCCCTGAGTAAATGTCGCCATTTGGTGCACTTTGAAAGGCCCGGTTATGTGAAGAATGCGCCTTTCGTAAAGGGCGTACAAGCCTTTTTCGGTACCCAATGCTTTGATATTGTCCGTGAGGTCGAGCACTTGATTTACTTCCAAATCGTGTACTTTAGCGATGGTATCCAATTTGGTTTTGGTTTGGTCTTCGATGAACACCTCTTGTAATGCTAAAAGAAGCCTCAATTAGCTTTGCAAGACCTATATACCGAGCGAACCGTTTATTAAGAGACAACTTATCTCAAAAAAAGGAAAAAATTGCTAGAGGCACTTAGGTATTATTTCATTGCACTTGGTTAAAAAAGCGTTTAGAATACATTCAAACAATTTATAAAAGTTAAATATGCAAATAGATTTTTCTCGATCCTAAATTGTGAGGATTGTAATACAGTTTATATCGGACAGCCTGACATGAACATCTTTTAGTTGGGTAAAAGGTAAAAGGACACTGGATATCAGAGACCAAATGTACTTTCGCCACTCATCTATTGTAAATAAGGCATAAGTTTTCTCCGAATAAAAATGGCACCATTTTACATAAGCACCTTTCTTCTTCTGAAGAAATTAGCAATCTTCACTTCAATTTTTAATAATATAAACTGCTGGTCTGGTGTTTCTACATTTTTAATTCGTTTTTTAGCCCTCGGCTAAAATAAAACACCTGTTTGTGTGAGCGTGCTTAGCTAAATTTATGTAAATTATTTTTATGTTTTAACAATTACTTTTATAGGTCTGATGATGACCGTGTGGACTAAAAACGCGATACATTTTATACGTAATTATTTTTGAGACTGTGACTTCGGGGTTTTCGATCAAATCGTTTTATTTTTTGTAAAAAATATCAAAAAATATGTGTAAAATGTATCTAATGTTCTGACGCTACCAAATTTAAATTATCGGAAGTGTATAGAGTATTTTATAAGTAGTATTTAAAGAAAATACGCATTGAAGATTTTTAGTTTTGGTGGTTCCTTTAATGGTTTAAAAGTTACCTATATGAAATAGAGGTCACCCAGCACACAAGATGTTTGTATTTTCGTAGACACAGAGCAATTTTCTTATTTTAAATAGAACACCCTGAATAGTAACGCAAGTGCAACAGTAATGACGGTTCAGTCTAAAATTTGGTCATTTTTGCAAGTAAACTCACATAAGAAAATTTAAGGTCCATCGTAGTGAAAACTGGTGCCTATCTAACCAAAATCAGAACAGTGACAATGTCTCCTGCGTTAAAATAAACCAGTTTTTCTTCAATGGGACCTTTGTTTTTCTTATGGGACTCCACATGTAAAAATCACATAATTTGCGGCTGAACTCTTATTCTACTATGGTATTTTTCAAACATGCAACCTTATAACAACGCCGCCCTCATTTTTAAGTGCCGATTATGATAAAATTATAAAAATGTGGTGATCCGAATAAAAAAAAAGACTTTTAACTATCTTCTCATTTTTACTATTAATAATTTAGTGTTTATTATTAAATTAATGTAATTATTTTTATTTATTTATTTATTCATTTATTTTTTATTTTTTAGTTTATTTTCATTTATTATTATTATAAAAATGTGATTTAATTAAAAAAAAAAAGACTTAACGATCTCCGCGTTTACATTTTTAATATTTGTAATTTATTATTTTTTCATTAAATTAATTAAATTAATTTTCTACATTAATAATTTTAATATTTGTTTTTTAGTTCTTATGTTCATTTAATTTTAAAATATCAATACGGACCACTGAAGTTCAAGTTACCTCCAAATATATAACAAAAAAGATGACGCAGCTAAAAGACCCTGGAAGTTCCATTATTTTTATTTTACTTAATTGCACAACATTTTAACATCCACAACAAGTCGAAGTTACCTTCAAATATATATCAAAAAAGATATCAAAGCTAAAATAAGTTCGAGCTTTTATTATTATTATTTTACATAATTGCACAACATTTTAATATTGGTTTTTTAGTTTTAATTCGTTTTTTTTTATTTTTTAGTTTATTTACATTAATTACGATAGAATTATAAAAATTAGGTGATTTAATTAAAAAAAGGCTTTTAATGATCGCTACATTTATATTTTTAATGTTTATAATTTATTGTTTTTTAATTAAATTAATTTTATACATTAGTAGAAGTACAAGTTATTCTCAAATATATAATAAAAAAGGTGTAGAAGCTAAATTAATTCCGAAATTCATTTTTTTTTTTTGCAAAATGGCATACTTTCTTTATTAGTGTTTAGAATTAACTGTAGAATTCAAAAATGAAGAAATCTATAGTGGGTTCCATAAGAAAAAAACATTACTTTCTTATGAGACACCCCTTACAAGCGAAAATAATTTTAGGTAACGCGTCTCACGCACCCGTGCAACTGTGCGTAATTAAGGCTAACGGAAATTCTTTAAGTTTAAAAGATTAACTTCATTTACTTTAATTACCTGCAAACCACATGTCTTTGTCTTTCGCCGACAGCGTCATCAGAATGAAATTTCGCGGAGGCCAGCAAGTCGTCTCGGGTACAACCTCAATTTTCATTATGAACGGTAGATCGCTCGTAGCAACCGATATACCAGCAATTTCAGACGGCAACGGCTCTAAAACCACCTGAAAACAAAGCGATACATCCGTCATAACTTAGAGTTCAAAGCCAGTAGTTCAAATGAAGATGTGATAGCGGGGAAAGAAAAAATATTTTAAAGATTAAATAATTAATATAATAATTAAATATCGCAGATTTTTCCATAAATCAGATAAACCAACTGAGTTTCAAAATATTATAAGAATTGGAAAAGTTAAAATAAATCGGAAAGCATTACAAATAGGTATACAACATACTTAATAGAAGTTGTAGATTTTTGTAAGATTTCAGAAAATATAATAATATATATGGTGTGCCATGTAAGAAAATCTAAATTTTTAAATTTAAAATGATCCAAATATATTCGTTATTTTCAACACCCTGTAGCATCTAATTCAAATTCCGTTGCATATATTATAATGCTTATATTCAAAAATAATAGTATTTCTAGTATGTCTTTGGAAAAATTAAAATATCGTTAAATAATTTCAAAACGAATTCAAAACACATTTTAAAATAGGTTGTTCCATTTTAAAAAATCTATGTTTCATTCGCCGCGCTTTTTTGAGTCACCCTGTATGCTTTTAAATGATTTTAAATTGTGCACCCCAACAATCTCTGCAATTTTTGTATTTACCGTTCTCTCGTAATTTTTGAAACCAATAAGATAATGAGCTTTACTCTAGCACTGACTCACCCTGTACATATGGCCTAATTTTTAGTCTGTTAAAATTAAATTCTTGCCTTCTTATTTTCAAAAATTACTAATAAATTACTAATAAGTTTTCTCACTTAATATTTTTATATGATATTTTTATGTTTACATTTTTTTTTAATAACTAATGTTTTCCGACGAAACTTTCCTTTCCAATATCGGTATTTGCGAAAAAATGTTTATTCCACCCTATTCTACTCAAACTGGGGCGTCTTTGGATAACAATAAAGAAAACCTACAAATTGACTCAAACCCAAGTGTATGTTGCTGTATTCGATACAATGCTTCGATGCTTGGGTTACTCTGTAGCCTTTTGCATACCTAAGGAGGTTTTACGACTCCCTACACCTTTCCGAAATGGACTTTAACGTTACCTTGCCGCGACTGCCTTCGGGTTTCAGGGGAAACGATTCTAAAAGTTTAAATCCCGCGTCGCTCGGTGGCTGGGAGTAAACTTCCAGGGACGATTTCGCTAGTCGGAGGTACCTTTTCTCCCAACCGCCCGACTTTAAACTCGGCACTTTAACCCATCCCTCCACGTCCGACTCTTCGACGAGATTCTTCTCTTCCATATTGATTTTTTCCTCTTCGGTGAGCTTCTGAAGGCTCTCTCGGTAGTGGTCTGCGAAGGCCCTAGGCAAGCCGCAAGTACTGGGCACCGCTGTGCCACAGGTGACGTGTACGATCAGATTACACTCTTTGCAAGCATTCATCGTACGTCCTATTGATATCAGACTGCCGCACTGGGCGCATTTTTGAGTTTTCGTGCACAATTTTGACTCGAACCTACGAAAATAAAAATCAACTCGAACCCACACCAAATTATTTAAGCTGGTCAATTATAGTCTTTTTGCGGCAAACAAACTAGTATGCTTAATATGATGAATGAATCTCATCATCAAGCAAAACTACATGATCGTAAACTGTTAGCAGACAGTTGCGGTTAAGTTTACTGGCCAGGATATCAAACCTCTAGCAGGCTTATCATTCAGTTCTGCTGAATTGCCACTAGATATAAATCAGACCATACTATATTATTGATAAAGTGAGATAATTTGGATTTCCGTTATTTTTAATATTTATTGCCATGATATTTCAGCTGCTCAAACACAGCGTTTTTGTGGAAAAGAAACTAGTATGCTTAGTATGATGAATGGATCTTATCATCAAGCAAAACCCCATGATTGTAAACTGTTAGCAGACAGTTGTGGTTAAGTTTACTCGCCAGTATATCAAACCTTTACAAGGCTTATCATTCAGTTCTGTTGACCACGTGTTTTCTTGGCTCTTGGGGTGGGACCAGGACATAGATAGTGTCCACAGTAAGCTAAACAAAACGCTATACCATTTACAAAACTTCTGGACCTCTCCTGCGTCGATTGTTGTTGAATCGATTGGCCAATCAACCTCTTGGCTTCTTCAGAGCTTAACTAAAACTGGTTCTCATTCTACTCTATACCTGCTCATATATTGTTTGAGGGGGCGGAGCTAACGGAGGGGCATAAACACCGTCGCGGATGACTCATTCCCATATTGGTGACAGATAAAGACCTGAGTCGCGGTTAAGATTGCTTGGTTGCTTATAGATTTCTATAGACTCTCGGATTTTTCGTTGGTAGAAGAATTGATTAAATTTTAATTTTATCAAATAACATTTTATGTCCGGTTTCGTGATTGTGTTCGACAACTGCTAATAACTTCATTTGCCTTATGTTCTTTGAGCCTAGTTGATATATGCGGTTTGATTTCAGAGAGTTTCAGGAATATACATTTCGTCGAACTAAATATACGTCGAAACTAAATATACTGTGGATCTAATGTTTTTTAATTGTTCAATGAAATAAAGGATTAAGTACAAAACTATGAGTTTTCCCTGTAAAGGGTTTTAATATAGAATCTAGATATTTTGCTAGAGCATATGTTGGAGAATCAAATCTTTTTTAAGGTGACGATAAGATTTGTCTGTAATAATATCTTGAACATTTTCATGATTATGATTTCGGGATTAGAATTTAGAGATTTTAGAGCAATGGATAATATTAGAATTAGGAGCATTTGATTTTTTAAAGATTTTTGCGGTATCAAATCAAATTTCATTAGCGGTTCAGATTACAGTTTGTTTAAGATAGACTCGACATTTCAAATGATTTCTTTCCTCTTTTGGGATAATACGTGGGGCAAGGACGAAATTCTTCTAGAAATGGAATCTATGGAATCTTAACCACAACTCATTTAGTTCCGCTCCCCTCAAACGATATATAAGCAGGTACAGGAGGAATCCAGAAGATTTCTAAATAATATTGCAGTAGCCTGGAGATGTTGCAAAGATTAATCGGGAACCCTTTTTAGTGTTAGTAGACAAAATAGGAAATGTGCAAAACGTTATTTTCATATTTGAGCTCATTAAATTCGCGGTGACATCATTTGGCAACCCCACACCTGGTTTATAGTTGTCATTTTCCATTCTGCCAAAAGATCTATGAACACGAGGCAACACCCGTTATAAGGAATTCAATGATGTATAGCTTATAACTATAAAGTTTATAAAGAAAATGGACGCCCAAAATATCTCATTCTCATTCAATTTTCATACCTGTGCGGGATATTGTGGTGCATCCTCTGAAGGGAATTTTGCCTTTGCATCACGTTGTTTTGCGACCCTGGGGATTTTACTATGTTATTCATGGTATCCTTGCTTTTTGGGGACAACACTTCCGACTTGGTCCTCGCCACTTTGCACAATTTGTCTGCGACGTTCAAATTTACCTAAAAAAAATGGGTTATTAATTCAACAACACCTTAAAAAAATACGTCCAAACCTCCGACACTTTCAGTTTGTAAATTTCTTCTTGCAGCTGCCGATTGGTTTGACGTTCTTTGGCCAACTGGTGTTCCAGATCTTTGTAGTTCATGGCCATCGATGGTGGGGGCTGATTTTCTTTTTTCGAACCGCCGAACAAAACTTCGGTCAGCGTTTTCTTCTTATGAGATTGATCATCGATCTAGAAAAATGATGGAACTATTAAACGACTTTCAGGAACGGAACGGAACTAATAGTGTTTTGGGTCACTTATTCCTTTAAAGAGTACAAATTTTACGATACCGTCGCGCTTTGCATTGAAAAGATCATATCGAAAAGTACAAAAATGTATTAATTTTTTTAGTCAATTGCCAATTTTAATATAAGATTTGGTTAGTTGTAAATAAGTTTGTAAAAAACTTAAGGGCACAAATTAAACAAATTAATTAAGTTCTTATTTTAAATACTAACCTCAGAATTTTGTGTTTTGAGTAGTTGTTAGCTTTTTTGGTTCTGAAAAACAGGGCATTTGTTTTCCTCAATTCAAGACCAATGTGTTTAAATTCAGCTATCGGGTTTCTTTTTTTTACAGTTATCTGTTAATAAGCGCAGTGTAAATTCAAATATATGATTGTTTAGGAAACGTTGTCATTTTTTTGTACTAAAATAACAACAAAAAATGATTAAGTAGAGCTTACTTGTTTTTTATCGACACGTTACAAAATTTCATACTTTTTGTAAAAATGTCAACACAGACCAGTAAATCAAATCAATTCCAAATACATAATAAACGCTCTTTGTTGGAGAAGTCGAGAGGTATATTTAGACTTTCAAGCATCATTTTTGATATAAAATTCAAAGTATGTCAGATTTTGAATTTGAAAAAAAAAGCTGGATAAGTGCGCGAATATTTAAATGCGGTATTTCCTGGATGGTGGATTGGTAGAAAGGGATCAATAGAATGACCTGAAAGATCTCCAGATATTATTCCACTGGATTTTCTCCTCTGCGGATATTTATAATCAAAAGTATAAAAAAAAAAAATCAAATTTTAATGATATAAAATATAGGGTATGCTGATCGTAACTCCATGAATTTTTTTGTCAAACAAACTTGAAATGGTGTTCTATTTAAAAAAAGAAACGTGTGCCAGCATTTTTTTCTTAATCGAATACTTAATTTTTAAAAAAAATTGTTGCACTTTTAGCCCTGCAATATAGAGGGTGTCAAAGAAGCTTGAAATTTGACAAAAAATTTGAAAATGGATTTTAAAAAATGGTGTTCTATTTAAAAAAAGATAAATGTGCGAGCATTTCTTTTTTAAATCAAATCCCTAATTTTTAAATAAATTTGTTGCATATTTTAGCAGTCCAATATACGGCGGGTTCTATTCAGTGTACAGAACAATTTTTTTACAATATTTTTACGGTATATTAATCTAAGACCGGAATTCGTGGTATACTTTTGGCCAATGAAACGCATGTGCGGTCATTTCAAATCAACCAATAAGATATAGCGGCGCATAACACCCAACATGGCCGCTGACAGTTCATCAATTCGACAGCTTTCAGTTTGCAGTTTTAAGGCTGTATTTTTTCAAAATATTAGTAGATCCAATTAAATCTTTAAAAAAAAATCTGTGTAAGGCTTCTCAACAAAAATTGATGTTTTTTTGTGTAGTGCGACAATATATAACACTTGTTCCCTTCTAAATAACTTAACAAAATGTTTAAAACATTTTTCTGGATTTTACATGGAAAATCATAAAATTTTTATTCAAAGCTTTTATCATTCGCATAGACTAACCATACAAAGGAGAAATCGACTTTTTAGAGAAACTCGCTTTTATTTCAGAAACCAAACGATTTAGGTATATTGACATGATACCTGGCGGCCCATTAAAAAAAATGCACATTTCACCATTTTTCTATCTGATTTTTTAACCAACCTTGTATAATGTAGAAGTAATTCAGATATTAAAAATTCTGTTAGATGCCTTCTACTAGCTCCAGTATTGCAACAATAAAAATTCAACTGAAGCTACGGTTTGGTCGGAAAAAGAAAATAATTATTTTCTTGAAAACCGCCGAAGACGGGTATAATTACGTATTATTCAAAAACAATCATAAAGTATTGGCCGAACGGAAAATGCAATAATATACATGGTGTCCCATTTAAAATTTCAATGCTGACGCTACTTTTTTGAACGTCGCGGTGTGTCATGTATGAAAATCGAAATTTATTTTTTTTTAATGTAATAATGATCCAAATATATTCGTTTATTTTGAACATTGACCATATCTTCGCTGGTATCAAATATGACTGATCTTCAAAAATAATGGCGTTATTATAATTCTTTTGCAAGCGCAAGTGTGAAAACTAGTATTATTTAGAAATATTGGGAAAACTATTAGGTTTAGGTTTGTATTGATATTAATAAAAATGTTGAAAGTTTTTAACCTAACAATTTTCTCATCACTTTGAACCCTTTACGGGTTAGTGTGTGACATTGAGGTGGTGCAGATCATCCCCTATGTACCACAATGTCATAGTCACCTCTCTAACTCGCCATTTAACCAATAAAAAGCGGAGCCTCAAAACGTTCGTCTCACTCACCTTGCTCTGCAAAAAGTCAATCAGCTTGGTCTGCTGTTTAATGGTGGCCTCGCTCTTCATATCCCGTTCGTTAAAATAATGACTTTTCTCGGTCAAAATCCTCTCCAGCTCCTTGATCTTCTGCGTCAGACCGGAATTAGTCTCCTTCAAGTCGCCTAGTTGACGGTTCAGCTTGTAGTTGGAGTCCTTCAGTTGGCTAATCTGCGTTATCCGGTCCGATATTTCCTCTTTCAATTGCTTATTGTCCACGGCCATCTGGTCCATCTGGCGTTCGCACGCGTTCAATCTGACCTCGCAGTTTGATAATTTCTCCTCCGCGACGGTCAGTTCGTCGGACAAGTCGCTAGAGTACTGCTTGTAGTCGACGCACTGCTGCTTATAAGACTTGCACTCGTTTTCTACGCATTTCACGTCCTCTTCCAAACGTTTGATCTTCGCTTCGGTAACTGCCCTCAAAGATTTCTCTTCGTTGAGCAGTTTGCGGGCCTCCTGGGTTTCCCGTTTCGATTCGCATAGATCGCCGATCAGTTTTTCGGTATTTGCGTTGTGCTCCGACTCTTTTTCCCGGTGAGTGGCGTTGATCCTTTCGAACTCGATCACTTGTGTCTCGAGCAAAGTGCACGCCTCTCGAAGAGCTTCCAAGTTCTGGTATTAAACAAAAAAATTATAACCACTTCAAATTAAAATATTTTTCTACTTTTTGCTGATGTTTGGCCATTCGTCCTGCTGGCTTCTTCAAACCTTAACTGAAACGGGTTCGCATTGTACTATGTACCTGCTTATCTATATTTTGAGAGGGGCGGAGCTAAAGAAGGGGCATGAATCGCGGTTAAGATTGTTAGGTTGCTTATAAACTCTGATTTTTCGCTGGTAGATTACATGCAAGACTTTTAGTTTTGGCCAATAAAATTTGTTTTTGCAGATAACCTACGCACACAGACCAATACGTTAATCCCTTGTCACCATCTGGCCAAAAAATCATCGGTTATCAACTCTCTTGTTTATAGAGCCGTAAAACTAGCTCAGTTCGAGTCACTGAACCTAGAATTAAAACACCTTACCTCTGTTCTTCTCTCTAATAATTTCCAAATTAAAGTTATTAAGCGTTCCATCAAAAAATACGCTTCACCACAACCATCCAATAGCAAAAGAGCAAAAAGAGCATAATAGCTCGAGATTAGGTAAGCAACCTAACAATCTTAGGTCTTTACCTGTCACCAATATGGGAATCAGTCATCCGAGACGGTGTTTATGCCTCTAATTTAGCTCCGCCCCTCTCAAACAATATACAAGCAGGTACAGGATGATTGGAAAACGTCAGCAAGTTTGATTCAACAAAAACCGACGCAGAAGTTTTGTGAAAAGTATTAAAGAAACCTGTGTAAATTTCTTTGAAAAAATAAAATTTTTCTATTTTTTGTGTAATATCGATGTTTTTCTAGAACTAGTTCGGGAAGACAATTTTTTGGGCTGATTCTACTCGACAAATTAATAGTAAAGTTCATATAGCGTCAAGATAATGTTTTTTAATGACTTTTCCATAATAAATTTCTTAATAATAACTGGAAAATATTACGATTTTGAATTTTTGTTACATGACTTACTTACTTACTTATTTTTCCATGTTGAATTTTTGGTCGAACTTTCCGAACTCCCTGTATATATAAACACGAAGTAATAGTTTCTTAATTATCATTGTAGGATTACACATTTAAATTTAACAAGGGAGGCTCATTTAAATCCAATTGGTCATTAAGTAAGTAATAGATTCCAAAAAATTTTCTGAATTAAAATGAATGGCATTGTTAAAATCCGAATTTTTATTTTTATACGCTTATTTATGTTAGTTAGTGCATTTCTTAAATGTATTGCCTGTTCGATATAAATTTTGGAATCAACTTGTAGAATCCGAATTTTTCAGTTTTTCGTGACTCAGTTTTATTGTTTTTTAAAACATTTCTCATAGTGTTTCCGGTTTTAAAAGCAATCTTAACACCAAATTTAGATAAATGTTTCGAAATTTTCTTGCTAGGTTCTCCTATGTATTTTCGGTTCGGTGCTGGTGGATCAAAGAATAAAAAGCAACAATTTTGTGTGTGTGTGTGTGTGTGTGTGTGTGTGTGTGTGTGTGTGTGTGTGTGTGTGTGTGTGAGGGTGATTTGAGTTATTATGTATTGCTGTGCCTGTGTGTAAGTGTTTATGGTAAATGCAAAAATCTAATTTGTTCTGTAATTTAGTTATAGTTAAGTCCAGAAAGAGTTATCTGGTTCTGTCCCTATTTTATACTCTTATGTATGGAGTTAATATGATTCAAAAAGGACTGCAGTTGTCTTTCCGTTCCAAGCAAAAACATCATCTACGTACTTGTGAATGTGAGAAACGTAACATTTTACATTATAATTTAATCGTGTTAAATTCAGTTCAATTAAAGCATAGTATATGAAAATTATCTACAGGGTAAGATAAAAAGCTGTCTTTCAAACTGTATAGGTACCAGCTTCGAAATTTTGTATTCGCTATTGCCAATGAAAATGAATCCTGGTAAAATTCGGATGAACGCTGGGAACCATAATTGTATATTTTTGTATAATTGTGGAAATAAATTCTAAAACTTATTTTATTATAAAAATAAGGTGGAGATCTTAAATTAAAAATTTTGAATGAATTAACTTTCTGTGTTGCATACAGAGCCAACTAATTTCCTTAACACCTGGATTTTTTGTATGGGTTCACTATCTGCAACTGTTATGCAACAATTATTGAGAATGTCGGAATAGTTAAAATGTGCCTGGACAAGTAGTCACTCAAAAGATTTGTTTACATGGACTACGAGTCTTGGTCGTCATATAAACCCAGGTTTTTACTAACAGAGTTAAATTTAATAAAATTAATCAACCCTGATTCGGACAGCAAAATTAGTTTTTGGAAAATTCTCTATTTGCCCTACTACGAAAAATAATTCCCATCGATTTACTGTTATTCGACACAAATAATAATTTAGTGTTGATAATGCTCGCGTGATAAGAATATGACAAAAATGCAGATGGAAATTTTGAAGTACAAAGTCCTAGTACATGTCTACAATTTACAGGTTGCATTTTATATTTATTATTATATTATATTTATTTATTATTATTATATTTATATTTAGCACGAATCATGGAATTATAACCTCACAGTTAAGTTGATCATTTACGGCCAAAAGTCCTTTCCAATATTCCTCAAAGCTAAGTTGTTGAAAAAATAGCACCAAGCGCATAAGTTTCATGGGAGTTATGGGATATTTATAATTATTTAACCTTCTTAAAAAAGCCTGAAGTAACCAAGAATAAAGATCTTATTGAAAAAAGTAACGACGAGTAACGACCAGCTAAGGAAAAAAGTTAAGTTTAAGTTAAAAATTAACGTTAATACGCCGTATATACAGGGTGTTATTTCGTTATTCAGATACGGGGTCCAACGTCTATTTTGTTTTTGACCTAGTTTTTATTTAGTGACGTTGTTTAAAATGGATAAAAAAGGTTATTTTTCAAAATTATTTCACTTATATAAATAAGACGACCTTTTAAACGCAAAAATGTTCGAGGTATTCATTTTTTCTTGACAAAAATTTAATACGAGAGTCGTGCGCTTTTGAATATATTATATAATTAATAACACCCTGTATAAGATGTACCGCAAACAACCAGCTAAATGCGATAAAAGTTGTGTATTTAGACGTATAACGCTCTAAAACTTCTATTAAAAATTTTACAAAAAAAAAGTCATACAAGGTGCAGTAATTAGAGTTTTTCCTAAGGAAAACCCAAAAATTTGCAAAACTACTGCTTAAACTTTCAATACAGATAGCTCAAAATTGGGACATGCTGGAGTCAAAACGACTGAATTTCGAAAAAACTCCTTTTGAGTCCTTTGCTTTGAGTTTTTTAAAATTTGACACCGCTGTGCTACGAAGAAACGAAAAATTTGGTTTCTCTCAAAAGTTTCTGGTCCACATTTGACAAATTAATTTTATTTATTTATTATTTATTATATATTACTATTACTTATTTATTTGGTTTCTCTCGAAAGTTTCAGGTCCACCTTTGATAAATTTATTTTATTTGTTTTTTATTTTATATTATTATTTTTTATTTATTATTCATTATATATTATTATTATTATTTATTATATATTATTATTATTTATTTATTTTTAAGCCAGCCACTATGGGGCCCAAGTTCCCTCTGCTGGCCATTCATATTTCAGACGCACTGTATACATCAACTTTGAGTACTTCCAACACAGTTAAACGTTAACCACCAGCAGACTCACCAAATTGGAGTTGTCCACCTGTCTCCTGCATTTATCCAATGCCGCTTGCAAGTCGGCCTTCTCCTTCTGCATATTTTCGATAAAATCCATCAACTTGAACCTTTCTAGTTCATCTTTTTTGCATCGCTCCTCCAGACAGTTCTTCTCGTTCCTCAGGCTCGCAATTTCAGCGTTCAAATTTTCCATCTTTTGTTCTCTCGAGCTCAACTCCTTGTTCAACTGATTGATTAGGTGTTTTTCCGAATTGCTCCTTTGTTTCTCATCGTTGACCTGCCTCTCCAAGTTTTTGATGTTCTCTTTCGCTCTAACTAGGTCCATCGAAACGTTCTCGTTGATATTCGATAGTTCTAGTAGCGCAATCTCGTGGGACTTTCTCAGTTCCGCGAGTTTCTGATCGTGCTCGGCGATTTGGGTGGACAAACTTTTGATCTCAACCTAAAATACATAAATATAAGATAATGCCCTATTCTTTGTAAGAAACTCTAAGACTTTGGTGAAAGTAGTATTGACTAATATATAGAGAGTCGGTAAATGTGTGACCTGAGCTTCCTTTAATTCCCTTTCCAGAATCCTCTTGTCGATTTTGCAATTTCCGAGTTCCTTTTCCGTCCTCCAGAACTTGACCCGCAACTCCTTCAACTCGTCGCTTTCAGTGGTCGAGGAGTTTTCCGCCTCTTTTAATCTCCTCGCTAAACTATCGCATCTAGCCCTCTCCCCTTCCAAGTCTCGCTCCAACACATGAATTCTCTTGTCGTTTTGGAGTCTGGAAATTTCCGCCCGCATCTCCTCGATTTCGACCTGGTACTTTTCCAGCGTCTCCGTTTTGCTTTGCAACATGGTGTTGTGGTTCTGCAAATCCTTCACCGCTTTCTGACTGTCGTCGAACATCCTTAATGCAAACGAATTATTATTTGGGCCGGTTATAATTGGCATCTGGGAATTGGTATGCAATGTTTCGTTTTTAAAGTTACACAACCGTGCATTTATTGAGAATCAACATTTTTTGATTTGTAACTGAAGCTGAAGGTTTTTTTTTCTTATACGAAGACTATGCGCTATGACGGACCTTCCCCAATAAAACTTTAACGATGTTATTACCTGTTGTTATTGGGTAAAGCTATTAACAAAAAAACATATTCCTACTTGAGAGACAATGGTGGGCCATTCACTCTTCCAAAATTTATTTATGTTAATAACTTTTTCTTTAAAATAATCAAAAAATTAAAATATTTTCTTAAGATATGTTCTAGAAAACTCTTCCCGATTTGGATGGTATGCTTAATCTTAATTGTTTAGTTAATTACCTTTTCTTATTTTGTAATTGTAATTGTAATTTCATAAATTAGTTATTGTTGAGTTTCCATACATACTGATTTCTTTAAAAAAAGTATTGTATAAATAATCATAAATAATACCTGAAAACTAAGATAAACTGGAGAATTATAATATGATTATATTGGAAACTAAATAGAGTCCGCCTCGATAGAGAAGAAACCAGTGATGTCAGATGCGCAGAAGATGAATTTGAAACAGCAATCAGCTGTCGTGGATCAAATAGTTCGGGTTGTTTACGTTTCATGTGTGCTTTATTTCGTCCATTTTTTTAGACTATTATTTTCGTTTTGGCTGCAGTATCGTCGTTAATGAAATAATATTATTTGCACCAAACCGGTAATAAAAACCTGGCGGATGCGCTAGGCATCGAACAATAAAAGTAATTGAAACGAGTGAGATAGGACTCTTATTTCGCGCATCGAACAATGACGTTACTGGGCTCTTCTCTATCGAGGCAGATTCTAACTGCACGTTCTCATATTGCATTCTGACTTAAATTCTTAGTCGATTCAAAAATTCTGACTTATTTCTCAAAAAACTTGCCCTATTAAACTAAAAAGTATATTTTATTTTTGGTAGTCTTTCAGCGCTTTCGTACTGTAGTTATTTTTAAGCAATAAAACCATAGCTTCAGCTAAAAAGCACACAGAAAGTATTAAAAAACAAATAGTTACCCCGACTTTAAACTTTGGATTCCAATTTATTCCAAACCTACTATCGAGTATGACACCAGACGCCAACTTTTATGAAAATCACCACGATTAGATTCTAACTTACCTCTGCAGTTCTCTTATCTCTCGCTTATAATCGTCTCTGGTATCGATATCTTTCTCCAACTCGGTCACTTTCATACTCAACTGCTGGATAACGCTTTCGGCTTCGTCAACTTTCCCTTTCAAATTTCCATACTTCTCTTCCGAACGTTCGAGATCGTCCATTAACGTCAGCTCACGTTCTTTTAACCTGACGATTTTATTTTGCAAAACGTTCGTCTTGTGGATCTCGTCGTTCAGCTTCACCTCTAACTCGGCTATGGTGTTCTGCGTTTCGCTGGTCACCCTTTCCAATCTGCTCTCCAAACCTATGACGCTTCTCCTGCTCAAATCTTGGACATGTTCCAAGGACTGACGGTGATCGTGTTCCATGCTCAACGCCCGTTGCAATTGCTCGTCTAAAATGTTGTTCGTGTTCGTCAATTGGATTATTTTTTCCTTCATCTGTTCAATTTCCAATGTGAGAGCGTCGACTTTGGTCTTTTCGGACACTTCCCATTTCAATTTGGCCGATTTGATCAGGTCCAGGGCTTTTCTCTCGAGCTCGGACCGATCCTTACGTTCGAGTTCCAAAGTTCTCTTCAGCGCCTTAAAAACAAATCAACTTGATGGCCGGGAGTCGTTATTACATGATGTTAATTCTGTTTAATCTATTTAATTAAAAGTGTTTTTAAATCCAGGCCCGATAAATGAGATGATGGAATATATAAATAGTTTAAAAAACAATTGTGCTTCAGGAAACGTTAAAATGGATGCAAAATTTTTAAAATTTTTACTTACACGTATTGTTGAGTCTGGTAATATACTTTACCAATTTAAAATAATTATCACCTAAGGATGTAGATTAGATAGCACTCATTAGTGGAATATCAAATTGAAGCTAAATATTTGGAAAATGTCTTGATATTCTTAGAAATTAGCTAACCGATGGGCCTCAATTTACAAAAATCGGAAACCTTTTGACTGACCAAAGTTTTGTCAAGATAGGTATACCGGCTAGGGCCATTATTATTTAATGTCTAAATAAATGAAACAGAAAAGTTAGACGAGGTGATTCTTCTTGGAAAGGTGTGAAGGTGAAAATGAAGAAAGGTTTAAAAATATTAAAAATGTTTTTGAATATTTTTAAACTATCCCTGAATATAAATTAGACTAAATATATATAACAATAATCATACATTGGATTTGTTTTTCCAGAAAATTGTATTGTTTTCGATTATATCAGAACACTCAGTATTTGCAAAATTTCAAATTTGTGGAGAATATCCCATTAAAATCAGTCAGTTAGGAATGAAAATATAAAGGGCACAGGAGGTACAGGATTTTTTCTTTGTCGTAGGTGATATATCTCACTCACTCTACCACAGTTTTGAAAAAATGTTGTTGGGTTGTGGAACACAATATACCGGGTGACCAAAAAGTGTGGTATACGGTCGAATGTCTCAAGAGTTACGAAAATGATCAAAAACCTAAAAAATACAAAAGACTGCTCAATATCACCCACACCTCTGCCATTTTTTATGGCATATTCGGATTCTAAGCACGAAAACGTAGGATTTGTCTGACATTTTCTCGCTAGATGGCGCTGTACTAGCAACAAAAAAACGTTCTATGGTCATTGTTAAGAAATATCCGGAAATAGAACTGAGGTGGCTTTTACTTGATGAAAATCCATTTATCAAAATAAATAAGAACTAAAAGTTCAGATTTTCACGAAATTATATATTATGACATGACAATTGTTTCGACAACACCGTGTCTTTATCAATTATTATATTATATATTATTATCAATTATTAATATATTATATTATTAAATATCCGGAAAATAATTTTAAATAATTATAGTTATTTATTATAGGATAAAACTTTAAGTTAGGAGTCGAGGTCGGACAGCCTCTCCCTAGTAACAATACTAGGGAATTTTAAATTATATGCATTTGAATCTATTGTTTTTTCTCAGGCCAGGAACGCTCGTCCGAAATCCCACAGTGCTGGAGATTGTTTGTCCCTTTTTTTTTAGATGTGACCGCCTTGCCTGTTTGTCATAGTTTTGTGTGCTCTGAGTCCGCCTACTAACGGACCCTATCCCCTCAGCAGCTTTTTATGCCTCTTAAATAGAAATAGAAGTCTAAAAAGTAAACTTCCCCAGGAGAACGGTCTCCATTATCTCGGGTGGTTCCAAATAGTGCTGGAAAATTGCCTAGTAGCAGCGCCAACCCCAAAAAGAAGAAGAAGAATATTTATTAATTCAAGAAACCTAAGTCCTTTTAATAAAAAAAGAGACTCTCTTTTGAAGGTCTTAATTTAACAACCTTTTTTATCTGCTACTTAAGCTTAAGACAAAACCCAAGTTTTTGTGGGATAAAATCAGGATCCGTAATAAAAATTGGGTGTTTCTATTTAAGAATTAAAATTTGCTCATTCCTAATAACATAGTCAAATGGATTACGAAAAGATTAGTAAATTCATTCAAACTTGACGAAATTTAAACGAATGTTTCTAATTTTTTAAACTAAAGACTAACTATTTTATGGTGCAATTGTTCCTCTAAAGCATTTTCAAAGATTCAAAAATATTCAAACCATTAAAAATAAGGCATGGAAATCAATTATCCAAATAAGTATAGCAAAGAAAGAGGAGCAAAGCGATTTAATGTTACAATTGAGAATTTTTGTACCTATAGAACATGGGAAAAAAGAAAATGCGTTCCTACAGAGGTGGCAAAAAAGAAATTTGATATTTCAATTTCGAACAGTGATTCTGTACAGGGAGGCCCAAATTCGAAGGGCCTCTATGGCTTTAAGCATTTGCCGCAAAGTGAGCTCAAAATTAATATGCATGTTACGGGCTCGATTTGCGAGAGAAGTCGAAAACTGAAAACCGCATCGTGATATGTCAAAGCGTCTCTGAGCTACAGGGTTATTCTTAAAAATGTGCGTTTCTAAAAATCCTCTATCACTTTTTTATTTGTAAAGATAGAGACTTTTATTAAAAACCTTAAAAACAAATATACCTGTTTCACCGATTTTGTCTTAAAATCTTTAAGTCTTAAAGTCGTTAGTTTTTTTAAACGGAATACCCCAAATTAAAAAAAAAAATCAGTTTTCTAATAAAATTTTCTGTCAAACGAAGTGCCATACACCTATTTTTATTAACTAGTTAAAAAGATATCTGCAATTTTTAATAATTACTATAGTAGGCTGTGCTTAACTCTGACATATACAGTTTTACGGTATCTATCTAGGTAGCTATAATCAGATAAAAACAATTGCCATGATACACAAGCCCAAGTGTCAAAAGTGGCGTCTTCATCAAGCTGTAAAAATGTTTGAAAACTTTGAAAATTACGACATAATAAAATGTTATATTGAAAGTAAAGAAAATCGACAGGCGGCGTTAAATCTATACTTTCAGACATATCCGGGAAGAAGGCAACCTAGCTCAAACATATTTTTGAAATTAAAACGTAATCTACAAGAATACAGATCCTATATTCACCAGGTATAACTGCTATTAATCGAAACAGCAAAATCCCTATATTAAAGTGGAACAAGCGAAAGAGGGAAGGTTCAGTTTTAAGGTATGGGTAGGCATCTACAGAGAACAAATTATTGGGCCATATATTTTTGATCGAAATTTAAATGCCGAAAGATACCAACAAATTCTAGGAGAGCAGGTAATTCCGTTTATCGACAATTTGCCACTAACCAAAATAATGAGCTTATATTTTCAACATGACGGTGGACCTTCTCCCAATGCACGAGACATTAATAATTTGCTAAATAATGTGTTTGCCGAAAACTAGATCCGAAATAAAGGTCCTATATCTTGCCCCGCAGGTTTCCAGACCTGAACCCTTGCGACTTATTTTTGTGGTGGAGCGGGAGAATCAAAGACCTTGTATTTCAAAATCACCCAACTACTAGAAGGGAAGTGGAAGAGGCACTTGTTATAGGTAGGTTATATGTAAGTGTTACAAAGTTTAATTAGTAAAAATTTTAAATAAAAAAATTGCTTTTAGTAAAGTGCGACGTTGTTAGGTCGCCTCGTGTCGTAGGCAATTTGATTTTGTATGAAAAAAAGAACAATAAAATTTAATCTACACACTACACAGCGCCTACTATTGTAAACATCAAAAATTGCAAATATCTTTTAAACTATTTAATAAAAATAGGTGTATGGCACATCGTTTGACAGGAAATTTTATTAGAAAACTGATTTTTTAGAAAAATTGGGGGTAGCCCATTTAAAGAAATATAACTTTGTGTGATATCTCGGTAACTAAAGGCTCTAAGAAAAAACAAGTAAAATAGAGATTCTCGCTCAAAAAAACTTAAAAAAATGTTTTTTCCCAAAATTATATTCTTACAATTAAAAAAGTTACAGTGGGCCTTTAAAATTTCACATTTTTGAGAATCAACCTGTAGCTCAAAAACGCCTTGACATATCACGATGCGGTTTTCAGTTTTTGACTTCTCTCGAAAATCGAGCTCATAACATGCATATTAGTTTTGGGCTAACTATGCTGCAAATGCTTAAAGGCATAGAGGCCCCTTGAATTTGGACCACCCTGTACATCTAAAGAAAGCTTTTCAGGTGAGGATAACGTGTTAATAGAACGTTTTGTGAACGCAGTTCTACAAAGAACAGTTTAATTTAAAAACAAAACAAAAAATCTGAAATGGATGAAGATTATTCCTATAAAATTCTGAAGAAACAATATCTATATATCGTTAATAAATCTCATCCCTTACTGTGCATTCAGCGACGGTATTGGCCAAGTCTTTTTCTAGTTTGTCTCTCAAAGATTCCAATCTATCGATTTTCCTTGAGTTTTCTTCCAATTTTTTTTCAAAATCGTTCCGTTCCCAATCAAAGTCCGCACACTTGGACAACTTGAGGCGCAAACTTTCCATTTCCGCTTTCAAATTTTCTACCAATTCATCTTTCTGAGTCGACCTACGCTGCAAATTTGGTTCTACGCTACAACCCGGATCGTGGGTGAAGGTAAAACCGACAAACGGCAAGTTCCTTCCGGAAAATTGTGACTTTTTTTTGAAATTTTCAATACTGGGGTACTTTTTCTTGGCTTGGATATCACTAAAATTGCTCGTGTCATCTTCGGACGTGATTTTTGGTACATACGGGGGCACTTGATCCCTCAAAGTGTCAAAATTGACGCTCTTGAACACAACGTGGCTTCGAATTTTGCTCTTGCTGAGACGAGCTTTGGGGTCAACTAACAAAGCCTATTAAAAATTTAGTTTTAAAAGCAAATCAAAATTGTACTTTAATATCGCAATCACCTTGACAAAACCAACGTATGCTTGACTCAGCACTATATCCGACGGAAATTTGAGTGAATTGGAGTGGTTCATAATTTTTGAGTATACAGAACTTGAACTTTGTCCTTGGAAGGGTGGGTTCCCAATCACCAGTTCATAAGCTAAGACTCCGAGGGACCAAAAGTCACACAAAATCTACAAAAATTGTATTTCTGAAACAATTTTTTTGGTTTGAAAACATACCCCGTATCCAGAACATTTATCATTTTTATTATCCAAACATTGTAGCACTTCAGGAGCAATGTAATCTGGTGTACCAACGGGAGGTCCCACTTTCACCAAGCCATTTTTGTCTAATTTAGCAGCTGATCCAAAGTCCGCTAATTTCAAATGGCCGCATCTATCTAACAATACGTTATCAGGCTTGACGTCACGATGAACATATCCCATATTGTGAAGATCATCTAACGCCAGTACGAGTTCGGCTATGTAAAATAAAGCGGCGCTCTCTGGAAGAGTGCCGCCTTGTCTATATAACAGTCCGAGGAGATCTCCCCCCGGGTGGTATTCCATAACAAAAAATAAATTTGTGCTATCCTGGAAAGCATATTGTAGAGTGGTCAACCATGGCGACACAGAATCAGCCATGATGTTACGTTCCTCTTCCACAGAGATTCTTTTCATTTCGTTATCAAATTTTCGCAACGTTTTCATTGCGTATACGTAACCGGTTTGTTTTTCTTTGACGACATGGACCTCGCCGAAATGCCCTCTGCCAATGATATTTTTTATTTCAAAATCACTAATGTTCACGCGCAACATCTTGACCCGTTTCGCTGCGCTTTTATACTTTTCCACAAAATTGGCGATGTTTGAGTCATACTTTTGCAAACCTTCCGAGCAACATTCGTCATAAAGGGCTTGGAAAGCATCCAACAAAGTTTCTCTAGCGAGCAAAGGGCATCGTTTTAACGCAATATTATTTCCGGTTATTTCTGAGTTAACACGCGCGATTCGGACGCTCACGGGTTCTTTCGACGGTTCCATTTTTTGTCGAATATAAAACTAACAGAACATTGTTTTTGTAAAAACGGTAAAAAACTTAAAATACGGCAGCGGAGGTTACTTTGTAAACAATCGTTTAAAAACGACCGTTACAAACTAAACCAGCTGCTAGCAATTTCATTGGTGGATTTTTTAACCCAAGATCACATGGTGCATAGAATCAAGAGTTTGAATGATCAAGTTGATAGTTATTTGTTTAGGGTGAAAACCTCATCTTATTTTTTACTTCTATGGCTACCTGAAGGTAACTTTCTTAACCGTGCGGAAAATGAAGTAATCTCCTTAATCCTTAATAATTAATTTGCGTTGTGTCCCCAATATTTTAAAAATTGTCAAATAACCACTTTTCCATAATTTGATAAAAAAAGGAAATAGTGATTCTAAAATGGGAAAATAAAAAACATGATCCATAATATTCTTTATTGGAAATTAGAAAATGTCAATAAAATATATTGATATCACAAAAAATACCTATATATAAATATATTAAAAGGCCAAAAACACCCAGGACTCTCCTCATACCTAAATAGAAGTTTTGAAATCACAAAGTTGAGATTCCCATTAAAACTAGAGAAGCAAAAATTACAAGCACATCTTTAAAAAAATAAACTGGAGTAAAAAAATATTTCAAAAAAATAATAAAGGATCCATGCACATCTAGCTTATTTTGACACTTTTTTTGTATTTGGAATTTTTATAATATCTTAGTTGATCATGTAATAGTTTAATCTGTTTATTTTTGTATTGTAACTTTTTTTTCAATAAAATATTTTTCCATTTAAGTTTGTCGTGTTTTTCTAATAGTTCTTTATACAGTTCTTCATAAGTGGGACTGAATAAAGAGCTATGAACTTTTTGAGAAGCATTTGTATCTTCATTTTCTATAAAATTCTCAGAGCCTTGATTTACTTCGAACTCAGATTCATCAATTGAGCTTTGGATATCCACAGAATTATCTTTTCCTTGTGAAGGTAGAATTGTATTTTTTTTAACTATTTGAACATTGCATGAGAGATTTGAAATAATGACTGGTTTTCTTCCACTTAAAAAAGTATGGTTCCCATCAACTGCCAATTTAAATTTATTTGGTTCCATTTCATAAAGTTTTTGTGATGGTAACGCAACTTCTTTCAATTGTTTTTTTATTGGCAATCCTAAAATAAAAAAAATGTTTTTTAAAAGCAAACTCTTGCAAGTACTATTATTTTCAACACCCAAATACTCTAAAGTAAAAATGTCACTACCATGTTTGTTCCCTATTTTAAACACCAATTCCATTGAAAATTTACGTATCCATACCCAGTAACTCATTTCTCAAATCGCGTTTAAAATCTTCTTCAAGGAAATGTTCGGAACAAATTCTGCCATTCGAATTATTAAAATTTTCATCTCTGTTGCATAATTGCACCCACTTTTTCCTCATGGCAACCGATTTCGGAAATCTATGAAAAGTTACGCCTGGCAAACGGTTTTTGTAACTGTTGTAGCAGTTATAAACAGCACACATATTTGCAGACATAGTTATTGGCTATGTAGACTTCTGCAAAAATAAATGAGTTAAAAATCAAGTTTTAATTCTTTTGTTGCCTAATTACCTTTTACTATGCAGCAAACAAGCAAGCAAGCAAGAAATTTAAGAAAAATCAACGCGATGTTTTTGTGATTGCAAAAAATATTGAAAAACAATACGTCTTCTCCAAGGCCGTTGGCCAAAATTATCAGAATCATTCGGCCACTCTTAGGGCGATTGAATTATGGATTTATAGGGATAGGTATCCCATTCGCAAGAAGTTTTGTGCGTAACTTATATTAGATACTAAAATAGCCTTTTGACAGTATTATAAATAAACATCATACGCCATGTTGTTTTAAATTTTTATTCAATAAAATAACGTCTGTCACACTTTTGCCAATTCTCCGGTTTTTCCGGACAGATAGACGATATCCCCGGTCTTGAACAGCTTGGTAACGTTTTTTACACCAACGATGCAAGGTAATCCGTACTCCCTGGCGACAACGGCACCTGACAAACGTTCGTAACAATTAAGATGGAAATGAAAGGAAAAACACTCACCATGTGAAACGAGTCCTCCAAGTTCCGTTACCACACCGGAAAGCATTGGGAAGTATGGGGACCACCCAATGTCGGTACTGTAAGTGATCAGTATATCGCCTGGAAGGGAAAAGAGAACAAAACAATCGATTTTACTAAGTAAAGTGATACATTTATATTGTACCAGTACCGTATATTATAGAGTAATACCTTATATCATAACCTACAAAAAATATCAAAGAGACAAAAGTACCAGTACACATAGTATATATACAGGGTGTTTGTATTTGCGTGGACAAGTAATAATTTTATTATTTTTTTTATTATTATATTATTATATTATAAAAATGGGGTGTTTGCATTAAAAAAAAGACTATTGTCGATTTTCAATGTTATTTGTAAAATAGATCATTCTATAAGATAGTCAACCCCAAATATATAATAACAGAGAAAATCCATAAATATATTCAAACCTGCAAAACGTCATTGCGGTGAGAAGTAGGTATATGATACACAAAGTATATCCAAAATTTTCGAAGAATTAAAAAAAAAATAATAAGAAAGTTATTACTTGTCCAAGAAAATATTAACACCCTGTATACATATACGGCAATAGAAACTTTTAAAAGTATCCGCGAATCAACGCAATTTTATGTCTTTATTTTTTCTAATAATTAATATTAATAATACTTTTTTGCCAACCTAACCATTATACAATAATGACACAGCCACGTCACAAAGGGTGAATACTTGGACACAAGCAACACAAGGTGAAGTTTAAAATAAAATGCATTAAAATTATAAACACTATTTATAAACACCCCTCCTAACCTTTTAACCCCCCTTATTTTGACTATGGCTTGGGGTAATATTCTAAATGCTTCTATTGCTATGTAGTAGGAACCCTTTTGAAAAAAAGGAGATCTATGAATGGGAGCACACAGGTGCGTTGCACTTGTTGTAGATATGGACATATCTTCTGAATTGTAAGGTCCGGTTGGTTACAAACAAGTGAGGATTTTTCTTTACAGGGATAACCAACCATAAAAAATAAAGAAGGTAATGCTACAGTACCCAGCTGAGCATAGTATGGTGGACACAAGGCTCTAGGATATAGATGTTACATACTCCTTATAAACTGGAGTATGGTATATTTTAATTGTAATTAACTGTAATTCCAAGAATCTGATATTCCAAATCCAAAACTAAAATACTGTTCGGTAAGTTCCGCAGACGTTGAGCGAAGTTTTTCATTTTTAAACATATGTTTACAGATAAGGGATGAAATTTTCTTTGGGAAATTTTGAAAAACATTTATTTATCAATTGTTTGTAAAGCTGCAAAGAATGCTTTGTTAATTTACTAAATGTATGTTGGGCAAGTTGCTCTTATCTGAATGTGTCAATGGTATTGTTGAATTATTAATTGTCCCTGGAAGATTTTTATGTTTTAGATTTTATATTTTGCTATGTTAGTATGAATTAGTATGAATAAAAAACTTATATTAAGATTTTTTTTGTTTCATATAGGTCTGCGGTATAGGTAAAAAATTATAGAATTTTTGAAGAACTGGTTTAAATATAAAGAAATAGTTCGGACTTGATTTAAAATAACATTAATGTTCATTATTTTTCATATAATACAATTTTTGTTCATTTCGAAGCATATACGAGGGTCACTTGAAAAGTTTCCGACCTCATCATGAAGATGGCGGCACTAGTTACTAAAAGCCAGTGATCGCAATTGTGGCCTGTTGATAGTTACTTAATAACGTTTTAGCCATTTTGAGTTTGAGTGAGTCGATGCGAGTATTTTCGTGAAAATTAAAGATGAGTTGAACTCTGTGTATGGGGACTCTGCACCGTCATTTACCATTGTCAAATTTTGGGCGGATGAATTTAAACGTGGCTGCAAGAGTTTAGGAGACGATGAATGTTCCCATTACAGGAGTATATTACCAACCAAAACTAACCAACCTCATATCTCAGCGGTTGTCATGGCGAAAGTACACGAATTACGGTTTGAACTGCTTTACCATCCACCTTACTCCCAATATAATTAAAATTAGCTTATTTGTGTTACAGAAATTGTAAAAACATACCGAACAACTTTTTTTCCTAAAGTAGTAATCAAAATCAAATTATATTTTCACAATTATACACTTTAATATTTCTTGGACCGCCTCACTGCATATTTCTTATACGTTTTCAATACAAAATCATCTGTACTTTATGCCGTCTTGCTTAATAAGTAGTTTTGTTTCTCTCACATCACACAAATCAGACATATGAACTTCATATAAATAGGACTTTTTTTTAAAATAACATACTAAAATTTTTTTTTCCGTTCTAGATCACCGACACCCAAACGGAATTTAAACTCGGCTTACTTGTTTCTAACTGGCCGATTTCTTCTAAGCTAGTGATGACGCACGCCCTGGCTTTGACAGACCCCATACATACTGGCGTGCCTGTGCACACACTGCCCGTCACCAGTTCCATTACGCAATCGGAATCCTTCTCCGGTTCAGGTATGCCGAATATCAACTCCGGATATTTCGTCTTGGACCATTTGGAGTACAATCTTTGACGTTTAGCCGCTCTGCAACATTTCCGTTTTAATAAAAAGGGCCCACCTCTCTTGTTTTTTTATACACACAAGAATTAAGCTGTAGAGGGATGACTTGGTATAGTGAATATGTAATATGTTACAGGTTTGACTGTTATAATACGACCAAAAATATGACTGTGGTTAAACCCATCCCAACAGATGTTTATTCTGCATTAAGTAGGTCTTGCTTATATTTGTAGAAACTTGAAATTTTTATTTGAAAAGTAAATGGACCGTTATAAATTTGATTTGATTCAGCCCAAATTAGAAAAATTCCAAATACTTCTTCAAATAAATGATTTATATTTTGAAGAGAAAAAAAAACAGCTTCTGCAATTATTAAAACTAAAACATTTTAATAAAAACTACAAAATCGAGTAGATTAGCACAACAAAATGAACACGAAATCTTGAGATTACCCCAGCCCATAACCCCAAGAATAAGAAGAAATAACACTGCACCAAAATTTAGTGATAGGTACCATAAAGGTAATTCGGCCGGAGGTGGCTAAACTATCAGTACAAAGCTGGTCTAACTGTGAAAAATGAGTAATAAAAGAAGAAAATATTTATCGAGAACGTTTAGTTGCGGAGTTGATAATTGATAGGTGACGACGGTAGTGATAGTGACCATTTTTTAAGTGACTGGTACTTTATTATTATTATATTTAATATTTTGTATATTAATAATGTATGTATTGTATATTAATAATGATTAAAGATAATTAATGTAATGAAATAGAACGTAATAAATTGTTACTTTGTAATAATTTTTTTATGTACATGTTTCAAGAATTGCTAGGCGAAAAAGATTGAAAACATATAGTTATATCCCCCCTGCTTAGTGTAGGTAGATAAATTAATAGGGTCTGCTCGGCAGTGTGTTCTATAATAAACAGTAGGCAAAGTTAATCATGGGGTGGGTTGTAAAAGCACTATATTTTTGGTGCAAATATACCGACTGAGTAAGGCCGGGGAGTTTAAACGTGCAATATTTTGACAAGGTGCACGTAGTCATGCGGGATGGCGGAATATAGTCCAAGAAAGTGGAGAAAACATTTGCAGAAAACAGGGCGAAAGATAATAATACTAATAATTTCAGTTTGTTTTGGAGTGACATGGTGTGAAGTGTGGCGTTTTGTTTATAGATTAGGAAATCTTTATTATATAGCTTCGCAGGATTGTGACTTTCTCGTATAGAGATAAGTTTATAAGAACGCGATGGCGGTTAATTCTCAAAAGAATTTAAGTTTATAATGTGGTTTTATCTATGTACACTTGACGAATTCCAGTTTGTTTTGACATGACAAATAAATAATAAAGCATGGTGTGAAGTGTGGTGTTTTGTTTAAAGGCTTATAATTTATTATACAATTTTTGGTGTTTTAATTATTGTTTTGGATTGTTGGTTTTTAAACACGTCCCAAGTTGCTTGCTATTAAGGGATAAGAAAAGCGATCCGAAGTTTTGTTGAATGTAGAAAACAATGTTGCAGTGTTGAAACTAAGTGAACTTGGAAGTTTCATTGCCCTATTTAATTTTTTGCATTTTAAAGAGAGATTTTTATTAATTGAAAAGTATAAAATTCAAAAAAGACAAGTAAACAACTATGCGTACGAATGTAATATAATCTTTTTCGAATCTTAAGACAATTTTTTTTTGAGATACCGTTTACGCTATATCCGATTTGGGTATCGTTTCGGGAAACAAACAAGACTAAGTCTTTTAAAATCAAGCCGTTTAGAAGTTACAAGGCATCCAACTGATGTAGGCAATAAGTTTTGTATGATTTGGTGGGTGGTTTTTAATATTAAATGTGTTCTCAGTGGTTTTACTGTCCAGTTAAATAATAAACCAAAAATGTTTCTAAATGCTATAGAACGTACTTGCTGACCAATAGCGGAGATCGCTTGTCAATCACGGTACCCAATTCCTGGTGGGTCAAATGGAACATCAGATTCTCCGCTGGCAAGAGGCCTTTGGCGACCATTGCCTTCGCTAGTTTTCTATACGCCATACGCAGTTTATTCAGCGATCGAATCAGCTCCGATTTGGTCTGCTCCCTGTTGCCAACCGCCCTCCTCAGGTTGGAAATGGCGTATTTTAGAATTTTTCTGCAACGTATCAAGGAAAGGAAGAGCGTTTAAATCGAAGGTAGTCTTTTACTCACTTGGTGACCGCGTTAACAGGCGAAACGAGTTTGCTGACGACCTCGTCCACCGATAAAACGATTTTGCTGATCGAACGGTCCTGTTTCGCGTTGGCCTGTATCATCGGGATCACTTTGGACGGATTCATGGCCCAAGACTCTTCCATCATTTCGAACTGAAAGGAGGCACGTGTCATTTTGATCGAAACGAACAAGATTGCTTTGGAAAAATCGTAGCCGGGCGGGGCAAATTCGTAACACGAATTCTTGTCCTAGTGAGACGCATTGTTTTTCTATCGTGCTAGTGCGGACAACTATGGAACTTTCGATGTAATTTGATTGTGCATACACCCTGTATAAAGCGTCCTTCACATCTCGTCGAACATCAAAGTTACGGCAAACTTCGGTAAATTGCAAAATTTGAACTGGTAATTGCAATTTAAAATTATGTTTTTTCAAATATCTCGCGCCTACTGCATTATAGACGAAACCTTAAACTCTCTCTCGACACAGTTTACTTTACTGTTTATATCAAAGTATCACATCTTTAAACGTTTTTCATTTATCGCCAATAATTCACCCACAAATGCTGAAATTTCTAGGATCTATTGGATTTTTTTGCCCACAAACGACGTACCCTACATATAATTCCAACATTGTTCGAAATAGAGCCCTGTAGGGTGTAGGGATTTTTTTATGAAGTACGGACATATAAACTAAACTAAATTTTTTTCAGATTTTCAGGATAAGAAGGCAAACACATCACAAACATCAAAAGAATGTGAAAATTCAACATCTGCTTGGCTGAAAAAAGCTAGTTTCATCAAAGAATGACAGAAAACCTGTCAAATATTAATTATTATTTTAGAGTTTTGTTCAGGATACTCTATTTATAAGATACTTTAGCTTAGGTTGTTCTATATTTTTGCTATATTATATATTTACAATTTTTTCATATCTAAAAAAGGAATGAATCAGATGTGTATAAAATATGTTTTATTAATGGTATCAATCGGCAGTCCTTCACTTTTACCATCAAAAGTAAAAATAAAGATTTATTGGAAAAAACTTGTGCATTTCAAATATCGCCTGCTATTCCAGCGATGACTTCACCAACCATACCCCATAGGTTAATTCCATCACACCAAATACTGGGATAGAATTTTTGTAGTCGTATAACCAATTGAACTACTGGACATTACCTTTCCAATATTTCTCGTAGGCTGTTGGAAATAACTTAAGATCCACTGGACGTTCCAATTAGTATCATCGTATATAATTGAGATGTCTTAAGGATGTCCCTTAGCTGAAACAGTATATCCCTAGGATATACGCTATGTCCCGTCAGATATCCCGAGGACGTTTTACGGACGTCCTTGTGCTAGTTGGGAACGGCTACGCTGTAAGATGCACGGTTATCGAGACCGGGTGTTTAGTGAGGAGCGCGTATACTTTTAATATCATTTCTATCATAATGTCTAAGTTTCTGAAATTATGTACCTGTTCGATTTTGAATCACAGAATTGGTTACTTGGAAATTACTTTCAAATCTATTTCGAATCTTTGTATAGTGATTTAAAATGTATCTTCCCAAATATTTTTGGTTAGTGTTATTGGACGAAAAGATTCGCGAGATTCAGTGCTATAGATTTTAAAGAAAATTGACTGTTACTAGAAGACTGAGATCCAGTACTCAATTTGGTTTATGCGGTGATGTAGACCGTATAGACAACAAAAACTTTTGTACCAAGGTTTTCGTCAGGGTATTCCGGATATTCTGTGCCATATAAGAAATGTATTAAGTGACCTAAATTATCAGCTATCTACTTCAAATTTAGCAGAGAACTAAAAGTCCGTACCCGCATCTAAATAGCAGAAATTGGGCGCAATCAAATGTTATGTTTAAAATGTTTAAAAAAAATTGAAAATTTCTTCAGGGCATTTTGGTTTCCGTGAAAACGTGGTTATCTCAAAAACTTCTTCACCCGATCGGCAAAATTTTGGAATCGTGAATCCGGAGATCCAGGGCTATAAATTTTGTTTCATGCATTTTTTTGATATATACAGGATATTTTAGTTACGGACGAAAATCTAAAAGACTCCGAAAATAGTTCTTATCGGGAGCAAATTATTAATTCGTAAAAAATAATCCTAATTGGTTCAAACAGTATCAAGAGTTACAGCGAAAGTCACTATTCCTCGGGTCTAGACACGATGACGTCATTGACCATTACGGACTACTGCCCAGTTTCAGAACAAAATGGTTTTTTCGAAAACCATTTAGTCTATTGGAAAAATTCATGGACCAGGAAACGTAGGAGATCCAGGCCTATAACTTCTAAGAAATCTAAAGAACTCTGAAAATCGCCGTTTGTGTGGATAAAATACGAGGGCTGCCTTTTATATTTCGGGATTTGTAATAAAAAACTGCAAGCTACCAACAAATGTGACCTTATTGTTTTTCAAAATATTCACCATAATGATCAATACACTTTTGCAATCATCCCCCGATATTGGACGACCTTCACGAAATTCTTCCATAAGAAAACTACGACCACGACTGAAGTCCGAAAACCAGCGATAAACAGTAGTCCCAGATGGTGCTTTGACTCCAAAAGTCGAATTAAGTTCATCGATGCATTGTTGTTGAGTTTCACAATTTTTTTAATTAATCACGAAGAACACAAACAACCCTCTTTTGCCAAAACCCAACTGAGTAAACCTAACCTCAAAATGTCAAACTTCCTTATAAAAAAGGATAGTCGCCAGATGGCGGCACTAGTTTAAGAAAATCATGAAATATAAAAGGCAGTCCTAAGATTAGCCGTAAATGAAAAACTGTAAAAGATGGGATAATAAAAATGTTAATGTAAATCGCTATTACTAATAAAAGACATTTTATATGGGGTGTCTGCATATTAAAATTACGTTTATTTTGCGAAAGTTCCGTAGCGGTCCGCAATGACCTTATGGCGTTCAACAACTAAGATGGCCGCTGATAGATCGTCGATAAGTTTGGACGCGGCATTTTTACTACAGTATTACTCAAAACACGCCGGGAATGATACTGTACATGTCATTATTCTTTCTGTTCACAAATTTTTTTTAAATTTGTCACTTATGTCCCTGTTCTGCAGTTGGGGTTATCCGGTTGATCAGTGTACCTAAATAAATAAATAAATAAAAAAAAGCTACTATTTTAACGTTTCACAAAGATAATTGAAATTTTCTATATGGCTATAACATGTGTTCCAATTTCGATTTCCAAAATTAAAAAAAAAAAACATGTGGCCCATTGTACGTTTCAAATAAATCTATAAATTGCGGCCGAAATAAGACCTTACCTCTCCCAAATTTCTGTGGCCGTGTCTATCCAGAAATTCGTCGAACACTTTGCCAGCTTCGGGGCACTTGGATTTCAACCAAGCCACGCCGAATTCGGGTTTGATCGTGCAAAACTCTTCGTCGTAACCTTCGTCTCTGATTATTCGGGCGATCCTCTCCAAATACATCGGCACTTCGGCAGACACGACGTCCTCGCAAGACGATAAGATCAAAGCAAAATCAGCGTAGTGCTCCATCGTCAGCTCTGTTAAAATGGAAATAATAAAAAGTTTATGCTCTGTTTTATCCGCATCTCTGTATAATTTTTGGTCAGTTTTATTAGACGCACTTTTAGGATAACTTGTTACAAATTCACAGAAATAAAGTAAGATGCGGATTTATATTAACTTATTTATGTAAGAAAGTAAGATGCCAATATAGAGGATCTGAGCCATGCTTAAGTGAAGGATAAATTGTATGAGACCAATTTGAGTCTAATAAAGTAAGTTGCAGATTTAAGGCAAAGAAATCCATTAGACGATTTATACCAACATGTAATAAATTCACCCGTGTAATAAAGTAAGGTGTGTTGATTTAGACCATTATACTTATATGAAGAATGTCATAAGAAAAATGGCCAATTTAAACCAACTTTTGACTGGCCTATGTAGCAGATATAGAGCTCACTATTTAGACATTTCCACACAATCCAGAGGAGGTATAAATAGTATTACATTATCCTGTGGAAGGTTTTTTAAAAAAAAAAGATGTAGATCTTATGTATGGGCAAAAATGAAGAATTTCACCAACAATCATCAATTCATTCGTCTTCATTTGATTTCTGACAGAGCGTGTGCCACCTTCTCACGATTTAATTTTCTTTCAGATTCTTAAGTCACTACTTTCTAACTTCTGTAATACAGAATGTTCTGGAATGAAACATGCCTCAAAATCGTGATGGGTTAATCAATAGTGTTTCTATAGCGACTATTTTTTTTAATTCACGAACTACAAAAATACTAGATGACAGTGGTTTACGCAACGAATCGACATGCTGAGCCCAGACCAAATTATTGTAACTCCCAAAAGCTCCACACTAGCGCCCATTACCAAGCCATTATTTGTTGAGAATATAAGGTGCTGTGTTTTATTTGCATTTCTGCATCAGCACTATCTTGCATCGCAGAGATAGTCTATATTGGCATCTCACTTTCTTACACTTTCTTACGTAAGTAAGCATCTTACTTTATTACACTGGCTGTGCATTTCTAACAACAAAGTGATAATACAACTTTGTGTTCTCAAGAAATAATAGCTGTTAATAGAGTTACAATAGCTGATACTTTGGGCTGGGCTTGACATGTCGATTCGTTGCGTAAACCACTGTCATCTATTATTTTTGTAGTTCGTGAATTATAAAAAATAGTCGCTATAGAAACATTAATGGTTAACCCTTACCGATATCCTCGTTAGAGGATCACGATTTTGCGGCATGTTTCATTTCAGAATCTTCTGTATTATAGGAGTTAGAAAGTAATGACTTAAGAATCTGAAGGAAAACTAAGCCCTGTCAGAAATCAAATAAAGGCGAATGAATTGAAGATTGTTGGTGATTGGTGTCGCAAGTCAGTTGGTCTAAATCGGCCTCTTTGCCTATAAATAAGTTCAACATCTGTTTTTTTTTTATAAATAGTATTACACGCTAGTGTAATACTATTTATACCTCTTCTGGATTCCTCCTGTGTCGATTCTTAATAAATCACAATGAACCGAAACAGTTAAGTTAAGCTATGACAGTTAAGTCGACAGGTTAGATATACCAACAACTCACGCAAGAGGAATAAAGAAAATGTGTAAATAGTAAGCTCTAGATTTGCTACATAGGAGAGTCACAAGTCGGTCTAAATTGGCCATTTTTTTCATGACATTCTTCCTATAAGTAAGATAGTCTAAATCAGCACACTTTACTTTATTACACAGGTGAATTTATCACATGTTGGTCTAAATCGTACCCTTCACGTAAGCATGACTCAGATAGTCTATATTGGCATCTTACTTTCTTACATAAGTAAGAGCTAATCTAAATGCGCACCTTACACTAGCTGTGAATTTGTAACAAGTTGGCCTAAGAGTGCGTCTAATCAAACTGACCAAAAATTGTTGAGTTGAGTATTGAAGTAGATGGTCGACAATTCCAACATTTGATTTGAGGTTATTTTTATAAAAATTTCACTAATTTGTTCATTTAACTTTTTGCCTACGGTTTTTGAAAACACAAGGGTAACGTCACATACAGCAAGCTGTATTGACAACATCTTGGTGAATTGTATTTGACGCCCTCATTTCTGATCATGCTGCTCAGAAAATTACATTACCTTTAGAGAATTTTAAACAACATACGGCTCATTTTAAAAGAATCTTTTCAGAAAAAAATAAGCAAACCAAGAACAAAAGTGGGAGGATGTAATTATGACAGAAACGGATGATGTCAATCAAGAGTGGAACTCTTTTATGAATCTTTTCTCTACACTGTTTGATCAATGCTTTCCTAAAAAAACAATAGGAAACGCTAGTGGTGTAAAATCATGTAAAGATAATGATAAGATTAGAGAATGGAAACGAAAACTAGATAACTTATTAGTTTTGGCTAGACAAAGTGCAAAGGAATAGAGAGTTGTTAACAGAAAATATGATAATCTTTTGAAAACTGAACGATCTCAGGCATATAACATTAAGCTATAGCTTTCTGATAATAAGACCAAATGCATGTGGTTAATATGCAATGAGATTTTGGGTAGAAACAGTTTAGCTGCTAGTGCGTTTTGGTATGAGTGGGGATCCAAATCAAATTTCAAATGATTTTAATGAATATCTGTTACACGTCGTACCCGAATTATTGAAAACCTAGAAAAAAGGCCTTTTTCCAATAAAATACTCCTAAATTCACAGTCCATGTTTTTAACACCGGCAACACCAGATGAAATCTGTCATTTTGCTAGACAAATTAAAAATAAACATAGTAGTGGAATAGACGAGATTCCAACCAGTATAATAAAAATTTCTGTCCCGTACGAAACAAATGAATCCTTTGAAAATGGCGTTTTCCCAGACCAACTTAAGACAGCTTTAATAAAACGGCTCTAAAAAAAGGGCGATCCAGAAATAATTACCAATTACAGACCAATTAGCCTTTTGCCCGGGTTTTCTAAAATATTTGAGATGGCTATTTGCAAAAGACTCTTAGTCTTCAAGTGATCAATTGCAGAAAATTTTCGTGGTTCAAAAGAGGACTCTTCGCACTGTCAAAAAAATGCAATTTAGAGAGAGCTGTAGAGGTGTGTTCAAGGCTGAAGGAATTTTTACTGTATATTCTTTATATATTTATGAAGAATTGATATTCTTTTTTAAAAATCGAAAGGACTTCGAACTACAGATATTTCACAGATATAATACAAGAACCCTAAATGTAAATTACCCTATTCACCGTTTAACCTTAACTGAAAGGAGTCCTTATTACATGTGCATAATAAGTTTCCAAATGAGGTAAAAACAATTGCAAATATAAAAATCTTTAAATACACAATGAAAAAGTTATTGATAGAGTTAGAAACTTACTCCATAGAAGACTTTTTCTATAATATTTAAATAATTGTTTAATTAATACGATGTAATTGATATTTGTGCTTTTTCCTTTGTGTTTGGTATATTATTTTTAGGTAATGTAATTATGACACAATGTAAAATAAAGTTGATTATTATTATACCAAAATTGGTATTGTTAAATGTTGGTTGGTCATTGGTCGCCTTACCTTTCATCTTTTATTTGTAAAAGAGTTGGAAAAAACACTTTGAGCTTTTTAAATGCAAACAAATGGAAAGTCTGTTTAACTCTGTAGAAAACGAAAGGTTAATTATATTGTAAAGGAGAAAATTCAGAATAAAATTTCTCCCTGTATCTCTGAAACCCGCTAGATTTGTAAGAGGAATGATACCATTTTGATGTCTTTGTCAGTTGATGACGTATTTACTTACCTAAACTTGTTTGGACCAAAATGTTCATAGCGATGATTTGATAAAATACAGAAGAACCAGTGTTGATCGCGTGTAAGTAGCCGGCCTTTGCCAATTCCTCCAGCTTATTGTCGATTTTATCGTAGATTTCCTTGGATCCGTCGTCGTCCTTGATTTTAAAGTCTAAACTTTTTGAAAATTCGGCTGCCTGGTCTCGAACCATCTCACCTTAAATTGAAAACGTTTTAAATTAAATTTTTAAAAGAAACGATGGGCAATGGTACAGATGCTAGTTAATATAAAAAAAGGTACTTGATAAGAATTATTTATACTATATTGGCATAAATATACAGGGTGTTATGGAATTTACATCGCATATTTTAATCGGTGAATCTGAGAAAGTCTAGTTCCCAGGCAAAATAACCCAAAATGTTCGAATGAAAAGAATTAGTGACAGGTATGGAGATTGGTAACATCGAGGCACTTATTTTTGAAACAAATTTTAACTTATGCTTAAATATACAGTTTAACAACTTATTAATTTAGTATTAATAGAAAAAACACTTATGTTCAAGTATACTAAGTTAAAAACTTGACAGCCATCTTTGAACATAACGCAGATTAATTTGACTATGTTTCCCATCTATTATATAATATGAAGAAAAGAAAAAAGAAAACCATAATATTCTACCAAAAAAAAAAAAGAAACGATTTTATATAGTTGCAATACATTAAAGAATCTGTGAATTTGACTTCACTTACAATTTAGCATCAATAAGCCACTTAGTTATTTTTTTTAATGATTTTTATTGTATTTTAATTTTCAATTCTCAGAGGTAGTGTGTTATAGATTTTTTGGCCAGTATAAAAGTAATTTTTTTGCCCAACAAATAAATGCATCTTTTGTAAAGTTAAATTTTCTCCAAATTTAAAGCGTGTTTCATACGCGTGAGTTTTTGAATTAACCAGTAAGTTATTTTTAATTATGAACAATACGGATGATTTATAATACAAATTAAGTCAGATAGATATCGGAGATTTAACATAAATATAATTTTCAAAATTCTTTTTTGTAGTACGTAAAGGGGCTGAAGAGTTGTGTGATAGGCAGCATCCCAACCAATTGTTCCCGATATAAGTGATTGTATCAGTGAAAAATAAGTAGAAAGAAGTAATTGATCATCAGATATTTTACTAAGTTGCCGGAATAAATACAATAAGGATCGTAACTTTTTCACTAACTGTTCGATATGGAAGTTCCACTTTAGATTTGAGTCAATATGAATTCTTAGGTAGGAAGCAACTGTTTCTAAACAATAGTTGTATAGTAAGTTTATTGTTTGTAAGTAAGTCGATTATTATAATTTGAAAAGGGCAAGTATGGTGTTTTATCTAACTTGATTGTTAGTAAAGTATTGACAAGCCACTGTGACATAAGTTGCAAGTCCGAACTAATGCGGTTGTCGATTTCGTCCCAATTGTTACCTTCAACAAATAAAACTGTATCATCAGCAAAAGAGATGATTTTACCGGAAATATCAATAGTAAGTAGTTGATTTACGTATATAAGGAAAAGTATGGGTCCTAGGACTGTACCCTGTGGAATTCCATAGGTTACAGTTCTAGGCTTACTGAAACAATTATTAATCTCTTCTATTTGTTGTCGATTTTTCAGGTAATATATATATATATATATATATATATATATATATATATATATATATATATATATATATATATATATATATATATATATATATATATATATATATATATATATATATAAACTTGGATTTACAAATTCCAAAGCAAATTTTTATGCAAAAAAAATAAAAAACTTAAATCAAAGTTTTTTAACGTTATTAATAAATTTCAATAAAAACTTGCATTAGAAAATTAAGAAACAGTTTCCGAAAATATCTGCCATAAAACAACAATGTGCAGTTGTTACCTTTTCTTGCCCAATACCACAGACGGAGAGACTCTTTGGCCAATTTCAGCGACCGCACTTCGCCGAGTCTATTTAAGACGATCTGGTTAATTTTTTCATTCATCACCTGGTGCCCGAATATGGCCAGGTCTAATATCCTGGAGCTCATTTGTACAGTCTTTTTGGCGTTTTTGTGTATGCTCTGAAATTTGACAGAACATAGACCATTATAACTAAATCACCTATTTCCAATGTGTAGGTCCCATTAGAGAACACTAATAAAGAAATTATCAGGGTATAGTCTGTCTCAATCTATATAGAGCTGTATTATGCAAGTTACCAGCAGACGGCAATAAAACTCTGGTCTGGAAGGTATTAAAGGAATATGCAGACTTGTTTGCATTGTAAATCACCGGCAAATGCTTGATGTTCTTGAAACATCGTGGGTCAGTTGATTTTCCAATCACGACTAGCTTTCTTTCTTCTCTTCCACTCATATTGGCGTCTTCTCCAGCCAATCTTTAAATAACGTTTCTGTCGACATCACGGTCCTCGCCACTTATCTGTCCAAAATTCATACCATGTCTCTGTTTGAACTTTCCCAACCATCCTTCCGAAGCCTTGAAATCGATAATGCCAAGCTGTTTTTACGACGTTGCTGTTGAAACTACTGCAACATTGCCCGATCCAAATCTTCAAATTTTGGCTTTCTTAGTTTTTTACTAGAACAGTCTGCCGCTTCAGCCTGAATGATTTTTTCTTTGCACTTCCGAATCGTGGATACAGTCTACGGTGTAAGTCCCATATCACTTTTATTTTCTCCCCGTTCTATCTCCCAAATTAAAGCAACTTTATCATCTAGAGGTAAAACTTTTCGCTTACTCGCCATTCTTGCCGCATTCACTAAGTGTGCCCTTTTTTCTTTCCGTATAGCGAGTGAGAAATTCGTTATACATAGTGGATTAATACATAGATTTGTATGGAGACCTAATAGTACAAAAAATTTTGTTCGTAATATAGAGTTTTACGGTATACAGAGTTTCGCTATATGGAGTTTTCACTGTATATACAATAAATTCATGGCTAGGAATACCTATACATAATTACATTTTTAGTCTAAATGTCTAAATCTAATTCCGTCATTGGTATTCATTATAATAGGATTTATGTTGTTCGGTATATTGTGCAGTAATGAATTTTTTCTACCCCCGTCTGTAAAATACCTAATTACCCACCTAACCCGCGCGGGAAGCGTCACTTTACCACGTCAGTTTCGTTTCCCATGAATCCGAGCCACTTCGGACATTTCCGGGATTTTAATGCACGGATTTGGGAGCAATCGGATGTTTTCGGAGATATTTCCCACGCTTGCAACACGTTCGGTAAAATTTTAACTCACTCGTTTATTAAAAACTCGTGAGTTAAATGCCGTTTACCGCATATTATACTTGCATATTATACTATTCACTGCATATTATTGTTGCATATTATACTATTCCCAACTTTCGAATGGTATGTTATCAATTACATTTTTTATCAGACGTATAACACTGAGACATAAAGTAGGAGTAACATTTTCCTTTGAATCTTCCAGTGTGTGTGATTTTCATTGTGATCCTATTTTGCAAGCAACTCTATGAAGGGTGACACGGCTTATATTTATATTGATTTCATCTTCTTCGATCACCATTGTCCATACGGTGACTTTGAAAATCACCATGTTCATTCCTTTTTTTCAATGCTCCAGTACGACATTCGCGTTTTTGTAAGTAGACAGGTTTCTTTTAAAGGTTTTTCTTTAATAAGTATTCTACTGGAGAGTTACGGCTCATGTATTCCTTTTTCGCCGAGTTAGTTGAAAAAAGACAAAACTTTGGGTAGTGAATGAATTCATGATTGACACAGAAAACAGGAAAACTATCCAATTTTAAAACAAAATACCCACTTTATGTTTTATACTGTCAAATTTTAGGAGTGTATCTGTTCAGTTTGAAACACATTGAAAAAAATAAATGAAATTTCAACAGAAAGTTGAATTGAAAGTGATTATATGGTTAAATAAAATGCTTCATTATGTATGTTGAGTATATTATATGTGCAACTACTAGTGAAAAACAGAACAAAAGCAGAAAATGCTAGAATATTTTGGGAAAGTTTTAGTTATTATGTTATATTAGTATATTGTTTCATTAGTTTTGCCTTTGGTGAATGTGAATGTACAGGGTAGGCTTTAAAATATTTTTAACTCTACGTTTTTCATTATAAATTTTGGATTACATGCGGACGTTAATCTACAATCGGCAAAAACGGAATTAAACTATACTTACTATAATAACGTCGACCATAACGCGATGCTGAAAGGCACTGACTGTTTTGTGCGCCAGTTTTTCGACTGTCTTGTAAATGTGCTTCTGGATGCCCCTGTCAGTGCAAACCAGACTGCTGGACTGAGACAGTACTGTCGTCGCGCCAGGGAATACCTTTCCATGAAAGAGCTTTTATTAGTTTTTAGAAAATGGGACGAAAAAAAAAGTAAATGAAACCACGTGTCACGTGACCACTTGAGAACAAAAAAACTTAATTTTTATATTTGGTTAGGGAGTTTAGTTTAGAACATGAAATTTTGTTGCATAATACCATGGAGGTAAAGCATATTTCCGATAGAAAGCAGCAATGGTTTAAAGGAAATCAAAATTATGAAGTCGGAAATTTTGGAAAACATGGTTTTTATTTGCAGACAACACAAAAAAATAGCCATAAAACGAAACTCTGATTCCTGATTATACAGGGCTTCATAAAACAAATGGTAAATTTATGAAAAATACAAATTTCTGTCTGCTAATTTAGGATCTGTTGGGGCAATGTTTCTGAGATGAAAATTGTTTTTATTATGCAAGAGGAGACGATAAGATGAATAAATATTTACTTCAAAAACAGGAATGAATAAGTGCATAAAGATTAATATTGTAAAAAATAAACAATTTATTTCATAATTATTTTATAGACTCCACTGCTTCTAATACCTTACCTATTCTAGAAACTCTTTGTAGCCCTGCAATTGTACCGTGCGTTCAATTTATCTCGATAACATTTTAATTCGCTGTAACTTTGTGAGAAGGGGCACCGTCTTGCTGCCATATAATCAGCGCTGATATATTTAATTCTAAATCTTCTTTACATTGTTCTATTTGGTTTTCTAAGAGTTGCAAATAATGATCTCCAGTTAACTTTTGATCTATAAATATCGGACTCAACATATGCCTATCCACCATACATTAATTGATTGGTACCACTGGGTTCTTATTTCGTGTATTTATCTAAAATTAAAGATCAATATTGCGTATTTTTTCTATTACAACCCATTCTTGTAGTGAACGAATTTTGATCCATAAAATGTTTTTCAAAAAATACAAACAAAACTGCATCCTCCTTTGACATTGTTCTGCACTTAGTTTTTGAGTTTTATAAAATTTAAATGCATTATATTTATATTCTTTTAAAACTGGATGTGGTTCACAGAATCCTAATATGTTTGTTTACTAATATGTCAAACATAAACATATTTTTATTTGTCAGGCAGGGCAATTTTTGAAATTATATAAAAAGTTTCCTATTTTTGCCGATTTGTCAAAAACGAGTGGACTAAAAGATAAAGTGCGTTACATCACTGTAATCGGAATAAGATATTCTATTAAACACATACATAACATACAGGGCGTTCCATTTAAAAAACTATGATGTAGGCTTATATGTCCGAAAATTTGTTTTTGTGTTTTGTTTTATATATCACTTGGAAAAAAACTTGGTTATTAACCCTACATTTCATTTTTTGTTTACCTTTTACCCTTTTTAAAAAACAAAAACGTTATGGCCAATTAAAATGTTAACAAGATAAATTGAACGCACGGTACAATGAATATTTTTATTCTTTTTACTGTGGAAACAAGCACAAAGGTACTTCTATTAGTATTCTGCCTACACCCTCGAAGATTCTGGAGACAATAATCGACAAGCAAATAAGATATATATTTATATATTATTTGTACACTTACATATTTTCAGTGTTTTGGGTGTTGGATCTGGTTATAGTCGTTAAAGCGCTATGACAGATGTAATAGATGATATTTTTAAGACTTGCGATGATAACAAAATTACTGCCTTGGTTTTCCTTGACTTTAGCAAAGCGTTTTACATGATAAATCATAAAATGCTCATTTTAAATCTTCATCAGATAGGATTCAGTGAAGCGTCTTGTAAATTCGTATCATCCTATTTAAATGATAGAACAGAAAAGGTAGTACTTAACCAATGAATCTGTAGCTGTACTTTTGTTTTCCTCAGAAATGCCTTAACAAAGCGAACTTAATCTAGATTGTAGGCTAAAATTTAGTGAGTTCAAGTTGCATACAATTATCTGAAATTAATTTATGGAAGTTGTCAATGTCTTTCACAAGATACTAAAAGATTTCTTTGCGATACTTTAGGTACTATCACAGTTTAATCATTGTAACAGCATTTCATGCATAGACGCCAAAAGACCTTAGAATGTTGGACCTCATCTTTCTTCACACCCTGTACAACAAAATTATATTTCGGACGGATGTCCACAAATTGAAGGTCCGTTAGACGGGGTCTCCTTAATGTGCTACAGCATCGAAAAAACTATTTGAAAAGGTCCTTTTCGTACCAACTAGTAAATATGATTAATCAATATATCTCCTGAACAGACTTTTCTCTGACGCTATTGGCCCTAAAAAGTATTTTGGGTAAACAAAATTAAACCTTCACTTATATACGTTGTCTATCTCTCTATATATCCGTTAATTTAATGCTAATTTCTGATTCGCTTCGTGCTTTGACACCAAAATGAATTCGAGATATAATGTTTTTAATGTTATTGTTATCCGATTGTTCATAGGGGTGGCAGTTTTTATTATTTTTAATATCTTTCTTTTGTAAAGTGAATTGTGTCTGTGGCTATCAAGACTTCACTTGGGACGAATCTACTTGTTTCGTACAGCTTGTTTGAAAATTGTAAGTGTTCACTTTTTTTCCAGTGTTTAGTAAAAAAGAAAGATATATGAAGTGCACATTATTGCTTGCACTTATATGCCCTAAATGTCTAACGATCACGATTATATTACTCAGGAGTAAGAGAGACAGAGAATCAGTTGTACCTGGCATTTATTAATTTAAGTAGTACGCCCAAGTAGTAATGATTGATCAGATCGATATGAGTGAAAGCCGTACGTTACCTCTATAAGTTTGATAAGTTTGATATCCGTCACAAGTTCATAATCACCACACCTAAACATTTATCCGCTTAGTTTCGACGCTGGTTTTCATTTGTAATAGCTAAATCATATAACAAAGCCCCATCTAATATCAGACAATTCTCGCCCTCAATTTAGACGCGATGACGTCATTTACTATTACGATGTACTGCGTGGTTTCAAAAAAACCTTATTTTCTCGAAACCATTTACTATTTTGGAAAAATTCTTGGACCAGGACTTGTGGGAGATTCAGGGCCATAACCTCCATTTCCGGAAATTTTTCAATTATATACAGGGTGTGTCGATTATGGGCAAATATATCAAAAAGGCCATGAAAATTGTCGTTTTCGTTTGCAAATTAATAGCCGTTAAGAAAAACCATAAAATTTGTAAAAATTTGCTCCAAACAGTATCGCAAGTTTCGGCAGTTTCAGGTTTCGTCTATCATACAGGGTGCGCGAGATACTTGGAATAATATCATTGGAAATTGTTACTGGTACATTTTTTTATATTTATCAAAGTTTGTCGTGACTTTGAAATTCGGCGATACGTGAAAGACGCTTTATACAGGGTGTATGCACAATACAGTTACATCGATTTTGGGCAAGTTCCATAGTGGTCCGCATGCGTCCCTCTAGGCAGCTTCTTTTTGAATTACAACGCTGCCTCGAGCTACGCACTACGAACTTGTTTGAATTACCTCTCCCGTATTAGCCAGAGTTACCACGTTACTTTCCGTCAAAATGGCCGAATCGCATTCGCGGGTTAGCTCAAACTCGCTCCACGAATTCAGAGTCGTTATCGGGCGTGACTGGAGCAAGTACAATTCATCCTGCAACAAAAATCGAAACGCTGTTTCGTTGAATATCCATGTGAGCACTCGCAATACCTTGTGAAACGCCCACTCGATGTCTCTCGGTCCTCCGAAAGCTTCCTCCAACGCCAGCCCGACCCTGCCTAATTTTATCGCCTGCTCTTTGCTTATACTCCATCCGTCTTCGTTTGCCGCTACTTCTTCGACACCGTCGCGGGTCAGAGTGACGACCTTGTTTTTGGTGCCTATTATTTGATCTAGCAGACAAATTTTCCCATCGAAAGTGCGATTCAAAATGAATGTGTCAGGATCGGATTTTCCCGAAACGACGCTCTGTTGGAATGAATTGGAAATTTATGTAATTGTTTATATCTCGGATGTCAAGGGTTAGATTTAAATAAATTAGCTGGATATACGATGGTGGGGTGAAAAGTTTCCGACGGCGCACTGTGGTCCCGTCTTATGGGACATGCGGTCATGAAATTCTCGCGCTAATGGGATATTAAAAAGTAAAATTTTCTTAAAAAAAAATTCACATTATTTTAATAAAACACATAAAAGTGAACACTAAATTTATATGGTACAATTAAGTCTAAAATAAATAAGAACTAAAAGTTCAGATTTTCACGAAATTATATATTTTTACATGACAATTGTTTCGACAACACCGTGTTTTTATCAAACATTTGATGAAGACATGGTGTTGTCGAAACAATTGTCATTTAAAAATATATAATTTCGTGAAAATCTGAACTTTTAGTTCTTATTTTTCTTGATAATAAATCAAAAACTTTAGGTAATAAAATGGACTTACTGCTTTTAGGTAATTTTATTAAACTAGAAATAAAAGGGCCGGAATTTAAAAGCATTCAATGAAGAACATCTGCGTTTATAAGAACGCGAGATATTATTCTTGTATTTTCACGTCTAAATAACTTGTTCCGAAAGTTCTCCTAACGATAGAAGTGGATTTTGAATAACTTTAGATCCATGCACGAGAACTTTGTGCACGGAGGCAGGTAGGTAATACCACAGACAATTTTTTACAAGGTCTTTTGCTATTTCTAAAGCGTAATTCTGATATTTTATAGAATTAATTTTATAGGCAGCGCCCAAAACCTGCAAAAGAATACAACATCGCTTGATAAGATCTTTATCCAAATCAGTTATTTCAGCTGAAACTTCATTACTTGTAAAAAATCTTCTCGCAGTATTACCATGGTTTGATGTCCCACTTCCTCCACTTCTCATTTTATCTATAATTAAGCCCAACTTTTCCCTAAAATCTTTTTGAATCCGCGATTTTCTCTCTGCAAGAAGTACCTTATCATTTTGCAATCTAGCTTGCCAATTTTAAAATCTAGCTTGTATGAAACTTGTATAAAATATTCAAAAAACCTAATCCATGAGTGAAGGGGAGATAAACCGAAACGAAAATTGTGGGTATCGACAGTTTTGCTTAAACATACCTCAATATCGTTCATTTCTTTAGGTGTAGCATTGCAAATGTAACACCTACTTGACGATGTTTCCGCTTAGGAGCAACATACTTTACCGTCAACCACCATCAACTATAAAGAATGTTGAACCTTTTCTTCACGATCGCCATACTTAAAGATTGTTGGCTTCAAATTTTTAATTTTTTTCTTCAAAATACTCTTCTTCTTGCAAAGAGAGTTCTTTAGTTTCCTTGGCAAGCTGAAATCGCATAATTCTGCAAAATTGAGTAGAGGAGGGGTGCAGATTCTTCCACACAATAACATTATCTGAAGTTGCTGATTGACAAACTACTTGGAGGGGAACATTGGATGTCACAAACAGATTTTCATTGCTGGTATTTGCATCAGAAAACTTCTGGTTGTATTCACTATGTCCTGAACTACCATCAAACCCCCATTTTCCTATTAACATTAAGTCTCCTTTTAGTGGAAATGTTGGCAAAATGTCTTTTTGTGACTCAGGAATACGGTTAGCCGTGTGATGCAGTTCAACTTCTGCAGATGTCTCTGACACTTTTTCATCCAAAGGATAGAATTTTTTCCTTGTCTCCAGAACTTTGTGATAGGAAGGAAAGACATTTGAGGCCATTTTTGAATTAACAAAATCTTTAATTAATGTGTATTGCTGCCTGGTCAACTTAGCTTCAACAAAAAGGGAGAGTATTTCGTCTGCATTGATCTGCGAACTGGAGGTTTTGGACTGACCTTCTTTTAAATATTTACTTGCAGAATTATCTACTTTAGATAACTCCGGCAATTTTCGGGGTTTAGATCGTTCACTACATTCTTCAAGATCTTTCAAAAATCTTTTTGGCTTGCTTATTGACGGCTCTTGATCGTCGGGGACCTGCTGGATTTCTGCCACTTCATCCAGCAGAATAGGTTGGGCAAGCGGAAGTTCACAAATTTCTGTCATGTTAAGCCATTCCTGGTGCTTAACTACTAGTTTTTATCTAGAACTAGAAGTTTGCCTCAAATACTCATTGAACTTCCTACAAAGATAGGAGACACGGTTTTCCAAGTTGGTAGTCTCGATCTCTCTATTGGGCAAAGTAGCTGTCAACTCGGCTAAGATTTTACGGATTTTTTTCCGAATTCTTGTCTGCTTTCTTTTCCACCCAAGTATTAAAAACGTACATCCCCGTGAAGATGCATTTGACTATTTGATGATTGTATTTTTTTAGTGTAAAATTGATAAAAAGAAAAGATTGGTAAACAACTTCAATAAATCGGGGCCCAAAAGTGCGAAAAATAGCATATATACCAGATGACTAAAGTTTGTTTTGTTTCTCGGCCATTTGTAATTTTTGGCCTCGGGATACACAGTGACAGTGTAGTCCCTAGATGTATAATGCACTATAACAAAAACAATAATATAAATAATTTTTTTAACAAAACGTTACGTAAAGCATTTGATGTATTCACGTTTTAAAAAAAAACTAAAAAAGGGGCAATGGTGTGCCATTCAAAAAATAAAAATAAAAGAAATATATATTCATTACATTAATAATTCTAAATATTAAAAATACATACCTTGAACAGCAATATCTATTGCTTTTACAGTTTTTAGTGTGCAACTATATAAATCCAGGTGGCAACACACACGAAAAAGTTCACTGACCTCCGTAATACAAAAGGTGCACAATTACGTTTGAAGAAGTCTTCACTTTGACGAACGAAATCTTAGTGAGGAACAAGTTAATATCGGATTTTCTTTTATAATGATCATAATTGGACATTTTCGAGAAACTTAACGAGTATTTAGTGCAAAATAAAATTAAGACTTTTTGGATACATGACCGCAGGCGAGACCACAGTACCATTACTACCGAGCTTGAAAAATGAAAAATTGAATTGAACTTGAACGGTTTTACACCAAACCAAATTAAAGAAGATATGGATTCAACACTCGAAGACTCCTCCCCATCGTATTCAACCGTTCAGAAGTGAATTCGTGAATTTCAAATGGTCACAACTACCAAAATGATTGAGCAAATCCATTCCATGAGCATGGAAATTCCAAAGCAGGCTAAAACCATTTTATCAGCATATACATGGACTTTTTTTTGAAACACGAGGTGCAAATTAAACGCCCTCATTTAGGAAAGAAAAAAAATGATTCTTCACGATAACGCGTCTGTGCATTCGTCGATTGTTGCCATTTCCAAAATCCACGAAATAAAGTTTAAATTGATGCCGTAACCTCCCTACTGTCCAGACTTAGCACACAGCGACTATTACCTGTTTCCTAACCTCAAAAAATGGCTTGGCGGTAAAAACATTAAAAGCAACGAAGCATTTTGAACAGCTTGACGAACCTAAGTTTAAAACTGGTATAAACAAATGAAGAGTTCAGATGAGGGTCCAAAAACATTTAATTCTGAGTAATTGTTAATTTTGTATTTGGTACATGGTAAACAAAAATAGGATTTCGGAATATAATTATTGCTAACTTGAACTAAAATACTTTTTGACAGAATATACAAAAACATTTAGTTGTCAACGCAAAAGTATAAAAAAGAAACTTAGATTTCAATACAAAAAAAACTTGGCAATAAAGATGAATGTTAAGAACCTATTAGTTTTCGTTGCTATATGTGAAACCCCGCTATGTGTGAACACGCCAGAGTCACGTGACTATCATGCATCAATCACGATCCAAGTGCGTGCCAGACCGTTTGTGCAGCCGAAGGGATGCCGCCCAGCGCGCCAGTACCGAACTGACCACCACACAGGAAAGTGCGTTTGACGGTACGAGAGCAAGATACAGTCCACACACGAAGGTGTATAGAGGTTCTATACATTTTTTGGTCCATTCGATCGGATTTTTGGACAGAAACAAGAATTTCTTGGCTATTCATTCGGATTCACGGTTCATTGAACGGATTCGGTTAGTCAATTGGTTTTTTCAAGAGTCTTCACATCCAGCAGCGTATCCTGGACAAGCATTTGAAGTTGTATTCAGTCGGGTGAGAGATTGTTGTCGCAACGATAAAAACAAACTCGCCGTCGGACAGCAAAATCAAGGTAACCTCGTTGCATGCAGAAAACTGTCGCCGTCGGAACTGTTTCATCGCGTTGTGCGTTCGCGTTACGGACAATCGGAAAAAGTGCCAAAGTTTTCCGTTTTCTAAGACAAACTGACGATCGACTGCGTATAGTTATTTGCGTCCATTCATTCATTGTTCATCAACGTTTTCCAAACAAAATTGTACATTTCATCCAAAGATCGTTGAATTTTTTTGTAAAAAGGAGTTCCAATCGTAAAGAAATTTGCCAATTTACATTTGGAAAAACTGCAAATGCAATTTTGGTGTAAATTTAATTCAAAGAGTCATTTACGTTGCATTAGGATCGAGATTTCAGTGCATCTCAGTGATATCGAGTTCGCAAAATTCTGAAAATAATTCATTGTTGATTTGATTTTAAAAATTTCAAAAAATGCCAGCAAAAAGAAAATCAAAAAACCCAAATATGCAAAGCGACTTCCCAGATACCGAAGATGGTGAAGTAAATGCTCGAATTCAAATTTTGGTAAGAAAACGGGCTAGCATAAAAAGCAGGTTAACGCGTTTTTCAAATTATTTTCATGCCGCGAAAACTGAAAATCCTAATCGAGCGACACTACTCGAAATTGAATTACGCTTGAAAGAAATTGAATCGAATTTACTTTCGGAATTTTCTGAAATTCAGTTTGAACTTGAGGGCTTAAATTCGAATGATTTCACGGAATCTGAGTTGGAAAAATTTGAGTTTTCGTATTTTGCTTTAATTTCGGAAGCAAAACAGTTCATTTCATCGCACAATGATTTCAACAGAAATTCAACGAAAGAT